CCCTTGTGGTTCTCATTGCCAAGGTCCAGAAACCGGAGAAGATCACGCAGTTCTGGCCCATAAGCCTGTGCAACGTTCTGTTTAAAACTATCACGAAAGCCATGGTCATACGCTTGAAGCAGGTTATGCCTAAGCTAATCGGCCCGGCTCAGGCGAGTTTTATACCAGGACGATTGAGCACTGATAACATCATCGTAGTACAGGAAGCTTTACACTAAATGAGACGTAAGAAAGGAAAGAAAGGTTAGATGCTATTGAAGCTTGATCTCGAGAAAGCTTATGATAGAATCCGCTGGGATTTTTTGGAAGATACCTTACGAGCTGCGAGACTGCGAGAGGCTTGGATTGGCTGGATAATGAAGTGTGTCACTAATCCGTCAATGACTGTTCTGTGGAATGGAGAACAAACAGATCCTTTTAAGCAGCAGAGAGGGTTGCGCCAAGGAGACCCGCTCTCGCCTTACTTATTCGTGCTCTGTCTCGAGAGGTTTTGTCATCTGATTGAAGAAAGCATTGAAGCTAACTAGTGGAAAGCTATAAAGATCTCGGGGGGGGGGGGGGGGGGGGGGGGGGGGGGGGGGGGGGGGGGGGGGGCAAGCTTTCACACATATGCTTCGCAGATGACCTTATACTCTTCGCAGAAGCCTCGGTGTCACAGGTAAGAGTAATCAGAAAGGTGTTAGAGAGATTCTGTACTGCCTCGGGATAAAAAGTGAGCTTAGAAAAGTCGAAAATCTTCTTCTCTGGTAATGTAAGCCGAGAGCTAGGGGCTTCAATCAGCTCTGAGAGTGGCATAGAGTCGACGAGGGACTTAGGGAAGTATCTGGGGATGCCCGTTTTACAAAAAAGGATCAACAAGGATACCTTTGGAGAAGTACTAGAGAAAGTGTCATCACGCTTAGCTGGATGGAAAGGGAGAATGCTGAGCTTTGCAGGTAGGCTAACGTTGTCCAAGGCTGTTCTCTCCTCAATTCCTATACATTCAATGAGTACGATTGCACTACCCAAGTCAATACTCTCAAAGTTGGATAAAGTGTCGAGGGCTTTTGTATGGGGGGATACCTCTGAGCAGAAGAAACAACACTTGATGGCTTGGAAAAGGGTCTGTTTGCCAAAGAAGGAGGGAGGATTGGGGATTCGTCTGTCCCAGGAGATGAATACAGCTTTACTCGCAAAAGTAAGTTGGCGGCTTCTGCACGACAAGGAGAGTTTATGGGCTAGGGTACTGCAAAGTAAGTACAAGGTTACATGGATCACAGACCTCTCGTGGACTAGCAGAAATGGCACATGGTCACCAACATGGTGTAGTGTGATGTCAGGAATGAAAGCTGTTGTACTACCAGGCATGACTTGGATCCATGGAGATGGCTGCAGGATCCGCTTCTGGCAGGACCGTTGGTTATTCAGCACATCTCTAAGGGATATGTCATAAACAGAGGTCCCAACCTTGATAGAGAGTTCGCTTGTTCGTGATTATTGGAGAGATGGAGTGGGATGGCTGTTCTCTCAGTTGTCAGGGTTTTTGTCACTTCATATCAGGCTTCAGCTTGCGGCTGTGGTAGTGGATAATATTACAGGAGCTAAGGATAGGATAAGCTGGGGGCATAGCGAGAATGGCGAGTTTACGGTGAAGTCTGCGTATGTATTTCTCACGAAACAGAGTATCCTGAGACCGTGCTTGAAGAACTTATTTGATCGTGTTTGGTCTGTAGTGGCCCCGGAAAGAGTCAGAGTGTTCCTTTGGTCCGTACTGAACCAATTAATCATGACCAATGTGGAAAGGCGGAGAAGACATCTCAGTGACACGGGAGTATGTCAGATTTGCAAGGGAGGAGACGAAACCATTTTACACATAGTGAGAGATTGCCCCGCAATGAAAGGTATATGGAATCGAATTGTCCCTTTACAGAAACGGAGATTATTCTTTGAAGAGTCTTTAATTGAATGGTGCTTTCGGAATTTGGGGGATCAGTCGGAAAACTTTGGTTGCCCGTGGTCAACTACTTTCGCAGTTGCCCTCTGGTGGGCCTGGAAGTGACGGTGCGGTAACGTGTTTGGGTTGAATGGCAAGTGCCGAGATCGTGTACGGTTTATTAAGGATCTTGCTAGAGAGGTTTTTGAAGCTCACTTGAAAACCCGTGGTAACAACTCGAGGACTGCTCGTGTGGAGAGATTAATTGCGTGGATACTTCCACTTACGGGGTGGATGAAACTCAACACAGACAGGGCGTCGAGGGGAAATCCGGGTGCAGCGACGGCTAGAGGAGTCCTGAGAGATGCAGATGGCAACTGGTGCGGCGGCTTCTCCCTGAATATTGGTATATGTTCTGCTCCTTTAGCAGAGCTGTGGGGAGTTTACTATGGATTATTTCTGGCTTGGGAGAAGAAAGTCATAAAATTGGAGATTGAAGTAGATTCGAAAATGGTGGTGGAACTTCTAAATTCGGAGGTTAATGCAGCACACCCATTATCTTTCCTAACACAGTTGTGTTACGGCTTTATCTGGGAAGTCCGGATTTCACACATCTATCGTGAAGCAAACAGACTCGCAGATGGGTTAGCAAACCTCGCCTTCTCATCTCCGCCGGGTCTCAAGTTACTGGAAGCTCCCCCTGACGATCTTCTGATGATTGTAATGGAGGATATAGATGGTTTCACTATTCCTCGTAATGTTCGTTTGTAAGAAACTCTTTCAAAATTTGCAATAAAACTAGGGACTTAATCTCCACTCTTCAACCAAAAAAAAAAATATAAATGCATTATGAAATACTTATTCTCTTAATGATTTCTACTAAGTAAATTTATAAAAAAAGAAGTCTATATAATATTTTCAATTTTATACCTTTATTATCTAACTATATATTAAAGTATAAACATTAGAGGTTAGATTTGTTGATGTGTCAACACCACAATTTTTTTTCAACTTGTTTTTATTTATTTGATTTTGTTTTTTACTACTATTCTTATAGTCAAACACAATTTTAAGAAACAACTAATCATTTTGCTCAAAACATATTTAATATCAATCATTAAAAATAAAATAGATATATATCATTTTTGCATATAATATTATATAATATATTTTTTAACTGTAAATAAAATATTTTTTAACTGTAAATAAAATATTTTTGAATATAACGTGATTAATAACTAATATAATTCATAAATATATAAATTTTATATTATTGTATCTTACAAACATATTTCAATATACCTAAAATAAATATATGAATTCAATTAAAAAAGAATAATTTAATTTTGTGCATAGCACGAGATAGTGACCATATATTTTTTCAAAGAGAGAGTTAAACTGAGAACATTAATGGATATATTTATTTATTTCAATCTAGAAATGATTAGTAATATTGTAAGTAATGATATAATTCACATAAACTACAAATATATATAAAAATTTTAGTTTTAAAAAACTTATATATGACTTTTAATATCATAAAAACAAAATTAACTATAGGACATAATATAAATTGTCAAATTACTCTTTTTGAGGTTTCAGTTTATGTGCTCTTAATCAATTTTGATTTGTAATTTAAGGCCCTACTCAAAAATATATAACCATTAATATTTTAATATATAAAAATATTTTAAAAAATTATTTTTAGTGATCAAAATTTATATTTAACCTAATAATTTTAATTTCTGCCATAATTTTTTATCTCCATGAATATAACATTGTCAGGAAGAATCCATATAAATTAACTTTTATAAAGTTTATGTGCTCTTAATCTATCTTGATTTGTATTTTAAAGTGTCATTCAGAAATCTATGATCATCAATAAATTAATATATAAAAATATTAAAGAAAATTATTTTTATTCTTTAAATAACTTTTTATTAATGGAAATATATTTTTACCATTACAATTTCAATTTCTGCCATAATTTTTATCTTTGTGAGTATAATGTTGTGTTGAAGAATCTACTTTAATTGTATTCTTCAGGTACGTACAAATATTTTTACTTATGTCACAATATGCCATATCGCATTGGCAATACATCCTGCATTGTTCGTTTGTTGTACAAAAATCTCCAACCGCTAGATGTTGCCCTAATTATAGATAACAAAAAGAAAATAATTTGAGAAACAAAAATATGAAAATAAACATGAAAATAAATAAACTACAAATTATGTATAATGAATAGTTTAATTTAGTTTTATCTATATTCAATTTTTTTGTAAAATGCTTTTTTTATTAACAATGATCAGTTTTAATTGACAGTAGAGAGATACATAGAATTCTTTTGGTTTGTTTAACAATGAAACTCTTGGTAAGGTATAACTTACGGAATAAGATGACCGCCAAAAAAAATATCAAGAACAAAAGTTTAAAGGATATGGTTTTCATTTTTTTTTAATGGTTAAATAAAATGTTAAAATCTCTTTTTATAATCTAGTTTGCATGATGGTTTGACCAAACAAATCTTGAAGAATTTATTTATTATCTACATATAGATATAAATATTTTTATTTGTTTGACTTACCACATTTGTTACAACTAAGAAAATAGAAATATAATAAATTTAATTAAACTAAATTTTGATTAATTTGACTATAGAATTCTTTATATTTTAATTTCTTTAATTAAACTAAAATTTAATTAATTTGACTATAGAATTCTTGATATTTCAATTTATTTAATTAAATTCTTGATTGCATAATCTTGTTACTTTAATAATTTAAAAATTTTAAATAACTAGTGGATGTTCTGTCTGACGCGAGATTTATCTTGAAATACTTATTTAATATACTTTGATACTGAAAAAATAAAATAAAAATCATTTTACTTTGGAAAATAATATTTGTTTCATTTTTTAAAATGTTTTTGTTTTTTGCTATATTATAATTTATATTTTTATAAGAATAAAAATATTATTAAATTTATATATTTTTAGTATATGTCTACAAATTTATATATTTTTAGTATATTTCATCCATATAAAATTCATTATATTGATCAGTGAAGAAAGTTTTTATTTTCCTTATCAGAGATGCATGGATGAGACAAGTGAGCCCTGAAGATATGCACATGAAGATGGAAGAAATTTGCTCGCATTTGTGAGCAACTCTATCAACTCCTCCCCTTGTCCCTTCAAAATGTAAACTTCTTCATCAATCTTCTTCACCAGTGAGCTGCTGCAATCTGAAAACAGAACCTTCACAATAGGGCTTAGCTCTAACGTGGAAGAACCTGCTTCATCTCGGCTCGAGCAAAGACCAGTCGAGGACCAAGAGCTTGGATTCAGGACAACGATCCGGAACAGAGGCGATTTCGTTGTCAAATCTTTGACCAACACATGAAACGATAACTCTTCTTTGGCACATTCCACAAGCTGATTTGTAAACATTTTTTCCAATGTGTATTTCCTGAATACATCAGAGGATTCACAAATTGCCGCCGATGATGTGGAGATATAGCACTTGAAGAGTCTAACTCCACCGTCTATGGGTTCAACGCTTCTCCCGCCGCCAGAAGGATAGGCTCCAAGAGGAGATGAACACTCAGGGCAAGCGAATTCGATCCAGTCGACATTCTTTGATACATTCGAAGCTTTCGCCATAAAAACATCCTCGAGAAACCCATCGAGAAGAAACTTCTTATCAAGTGTAAGTTGCTGCTGCTCAAACTGAAAACTTTCATCAGAGTCATGAACACAACAATCAGGCATTGATGGCTTGACTTCACAACGCAGCAGCATCGAGTCATCATCATCCACTTGACCACAAGCAAGTCCATGAATAATACTACTCTCACCTCCATTCTCATGGCTGTCACCATTTCCTTCACTTCCTCTAGATCCTGATTCAACTCCACCATGATCACAGCTCAGATCTAAACCAGACTCAAACTGGTTTTCAATTCCAGTTTTATCAGACGAGATACACTCTATGAGATCGTCCTTGCTAAGCAAAACAGTTGTAGCACTAAGCAAACAAAACCCACTAGAGCATGTATAAGAGTTTGTGTACTTTGCTACCATCTTCTCACTAATCGATCCAAATGCACAACAGCAATTACCAAACCAGTTATCAGCTGATTCTCGCCAGTTAATAGACGGCATCTCTGAGAAATCGAAAAGGGCTTTCTTTGTTAACCTAGCTGAGCAGTTTCTGCACTGTAGATGAACTCCTCCCATTGAAGTTAGAGTCTTCAGATCATAATCCATCACTAACGGCGCCGATTCTTCTCTATCTCCGAGAGAATCAGTCGCCAAATTCAAATCGGAGACTAGAGGATGGTCGACAGGGAGTAACAGAACAAGCCTAACCTCGATGTGATCGTCCAGAGCTCTGAAATTCACAGGGGATTCAGCATCGATCAAAACCCTAGGAACTGGAACACGAAGAGAAACATCCTCTTCTCTTCTTCCGTTTTCTCCACTCGTGGCTTCATCGATCCATGTGACGAGAAGCTGAGATTTGCCAAGGATGATAGATACATCGAGGCTCTTGAAATGGATCTTAGGGTTAGTGCTTGAATCGAAAAGAAAAAGACGAAGGTTCGGAGAATGAGACTGAGCTTCCCATGTGAACCGCCATTTCCTCTGGGTTTTAGGGTTTTGCTCCATTGAAAATTGGAAACTGCTCTCTGTTTCGAATTTTCTCATTAAGCAATTTTTTTTGTTTTCTAAGTATTTTTTACGATTGTGTGAATGGGCTTAATATATTAGCCCAGGAAGACTATGTATTTGGGCTTTGACGGATAGAAACTACGACCCATGATGGATCAAAATCACGTGCACCCACGTGACGGAAAAAGACAAGAGAGATACTGTTGCTGTAATAAAAAGAGACAAAAAAAGGGTTAAAGAGAGACAGAGCTTGCTTTGTCTAAAGACTGTCTAGTCTAGTTCCATAGGCAAGACCGCAAGATGACAAAACAAGAGGAGTTTTGATTTCTTAGGATTTTAATTAGTAATTACTCAATAATTTCACGCTGATTAGTTATCTTAATCGTAATTGAAAAACCAGGGATAAAGACATGGGTTTGAGTTGTGGAGCAGTAAAGCCTGTGAAAACGGTGTCGTTATGTACTTTCTTGTCCCTTGAAATCTAGACAAGCCTACTCCATTTTACTACATTATTAAACCTACTTCAACCCAAGTTAGTGGCCACTAACATGAATTCTTTTTCTTATATTAATCCTTTTTTATCTTTCGGTTTTTGGGTCAACCACTTTTCACTAATTTCAGCTTTTTGAGAATATCTGTCTTATCCAAGATTCTCTCCTCTTCCTTTTCTTTCTTTTGTTAATTCCTTTTTTTCTTATAGTAATACTTATCCACTCGATAGGCTCTGTTTAGTACATTGATAGAATGAATTGATGGAGTTATACAAGTACCATTTTATTGGGAATTTACTTAGTATAATATCTGTTTTTTTAATCTAATATCTGTTTTTTATATATATATATAGAAGAAAACAGATGTAGTGAAAAGTGTATGAGTACTATAATAATCAAATATAAAACGCTAAATTCAATACGATTTGGAAAAAAAATTGTGAACTTCTGCGTTTCACCGAATCTGCAAAATCCTTTAAAATTGATGTACAACTTCATTTTTTCTGCCAATTCGATGATTTCCATCTAAAACCTTGCACTGAGACATATATTTAGTATGATCAAGTATTCTAACATCATATCTTACATTTATTAATTGTCATTTGATTTAAATATAAAATCCAATGAATGTTTAAAATTTTTAATTATACTTTATCCTTCAAAATCTTTATTAAAGACATGCATATAGCTTAACTATGTGGAAAGTGGAATGACACTTTAAGCTTAAACATTCAATAATATAAAAGAAGAGAAAAGAAAAATATTTTAATAAAATGGGATCTTGATATATCTACTCTAAATTTGTCAGAGCTTTTTCTCTCGTTGTTTCCCATGATAAAAAGCTTATAACTCTCTTGCACCATACAGAGATTTCAAATTCACGTTCATATAGTAATTACGAAGACGAAGAGGAAAAATGCTGAGATCATTCACAAGGTAAAACACTCACAAGATATGCTTATAATCTGTTATTAATTATCTAATTAAATAACTAGTCTCCAATTCAGTTTTCTTCTCCGTGGTTTCTCTTTGCAGAAAGTTCAAACTCAATGTACCGAATGGTTTGATCTCCAAGCCAATTATATCTACTCTCTTCTATTCAACTTCTTCTTCAAGGTCGATTTTATAATGTTTTTGAATTATTATAACAAGGTTATATCTCCTGATCTGATATTAAACACGTGAAAGTACTCTAAATCTTTTACCCCACGAATATATATTAGAAAGTTAGAAGGCAAAGTCGCGGTCATAACAGGCGGTGCAAGCGGCCTAGGGAAGGCCACAGCGGAGGAATTTGTAAGCCAAGGTGCTCAAGTCATTATTGTAGATATAGACGAGGATGCTGGTCGTACGGTGATGACCGAACTTGGCTCTGCCGCACATTTCATTAGATGTGATGTCACTGTGGAGGAACAAGTCGCTAAGGCCGTGGAAACCGTCGTGGCTCGCTATGGGAAGCTTGACGTGTTGCTCAATAGCGCCGGAATATCATGTAAGATTTTTTTTTTTTTTTGAAAAGAACTATAATCTGAATCTCGTTTTTGTCTAAGAATCTGCAAAATACAGTAGAAAATTTTTGGTTTTAATGATGTTTCTTAAGCGAGAATATTTGTCTTTGTAGTGGTCTTCTTTTACGATAAAAAAAAAACGTGTTCGTAAGAAATTTGATTCTATTATTTTTTGAATGGTATGCAGCTTTTTCACGTTTTCACGTTTTGGAAACTTGATTCAGTTATTTTTTACCATTCATGTTATTTATCACGTTTTTACGTTTTTTTATGTTTTTGAAAGGTGATTCCGCTAGCGTGTTAAAAATATAACTAAAAAAAACAAAACGTGATTAATCTACTAAAAGTAGCTTTTCAGCGTTTCACAATTATTCGGCTAAAATATTAATTAGTTCAGTTCATTCCACTAATAATTTTTCAGTTATTCCGCTATTCTGTTATTCATCTGACATACCAGTCAGACCCCATATTTTTTTTCAACATAACTTAGTCGCTAGTTTTAAATTGCGTAATTTATTAGTAATGGAACTATTTAAAAAAATATTTTTATAGACGCATTATAATTCAATAAACCAAACACCTGACCTTCTATATTCCTTTGATTATACATTTATATATTTATACGCACACGAGATATTACCAAAATACATATCCGATATTTTTTAAAAAAAAAAATCGTTTTGTTTTCGTTAAAATTTTGATGAGTATCGGATATTATGCGTGATCTCGTTACATGGAATGTTATTTATTCAAAGATTACTTATACAATATTGCAGGCTCCATATCACCACCAAGCATAACGGACCTAGACATGGACATTTACGACAAAGTGATGCGTCTTAACGTGAGAGGCACCGTCTTGGGGATAAAGCACGCGGCTCGAGCCATGATCCCCGCTGGTTCGGGCTCCATCCTTTGCCTATCCAGCATCAGCGGCTTGATGGGCGGTTTGGGCCCACACGCATACTCAATCTCTAAGTTCACAATCCCCGGTGTGGTCAAGACGGTCGCTGGTGAGCTGTGCAAGCACGGTTTAAGGATTAACTGTATTTCGCCTGCGGGCATCCCGACGCCTCTAACGCTGAGAATGTTTCGGGAGGTGTTTGCGGGTCACAACATTCCGGAGGAACAGCTTTTGGCGATTGTAAACGCGAGTGGAGAGTTGAAGGGAGAGAAGTGTGAGGAGAAAGATGTGGCTAAAGCGGCTTTGTATTTGGCATCGGATGATGCTAAGTTCGTGACGGGTCATAACCTTGTTGTCGATGGTGGGTTTACTTGTTTCAAGTCTCTTAATCTCCCTTTTCCTTAACATTCAAGCTAATTGAAGTACTATATTTGTATTCCGTTATTGTTAGTTATTAAGACTGTTTTGGTGTAGTTATTGATATGATCTTTTGTAATCTATGCATGGGATCTTATATGGTTGGGATTATGCATGAGGTTAGCTTCTCTTTGGAGTTTGAATCGCTTTTCTTTTTGTGATTTGAATTGACCATTGGTGTAATCACCTCCTATGCTTTAACAAATATTTTCAAATCAAGCAAACGAACCTCTAGATGTTGTTTAGAAAGTTGGGAGCTGTCACTGCATATCATTATCACATGAGCTCAAATACTAAAGAATTTAAGAGATTAGTTAGATAGTTGCACATGTTAGACAGCTGTATAAATAAACAGAAACCTTATGGAATGTTACCAACAAAGCAAATAATGATATGCAAACAATTATTTGACAAAAATTGAAACCAATAATACTATTTGTTGATCAAGCATATCTTGTATAGAATAATATTTTATTTTCCAAAGATGTTGTTACTCGTTCACGGATGCTTCTGTTGGACATGTCAAGAGTTTAGCTTTTGTATCTGATTGCTTGGAACTACTGTTGGGCCGCATAAGAGAAACATAGTTGAACGTCTCTTTCAGGCCACATCAAGAAAGTTCTTTCTTTTACTTTTGTGATGCTGAAATCTTTTCCAATTGCCAAGAATAGGCTTAGATCCGATGTAGTGACCGATATGCCGCATCAGCATCTTTTTTAGCAACGAGTTTTTATAGTTAGAGAACATAAAAATCACGGATGCTTCTACTTATGACTATGTGACCATCGTAGAGAATCTCTACTAGAGATGCATCCAAATTGATTTAATATTTTACAACTCCACCCAAATATAGAATATTATCTTGTCATAGTAGTAACGTTTTAGAGTTGAGTTTCGCGGCTCCCTCCACCTAGCAAGCTCTTCTGTCTTTTATATACATATATGATAATCAATTACGTCATGGTGTTTAAAACCAAAACAGGAAACTTATAATAATATCTCAAAGAAGCAGTCATCCATGGCGGCCGTACTGCTCAGATTCATCGCTAGGTACTTCGAAGTTGTAAAACTAAGCTCATCTCGTACTTCCTGATTACTAATTTGTTTCAAACATTTTAATTACACCAGTTTAATTTTATTATATTTTTTTATTATAAAGGTTTAAAACCAGCTTACTTCTAATTTCTTTCTTCTGCCAGAATCGTTAACCGGCCAACAGCATCAGCCGCTTTCTCGACAATTGGTGGTGGCGGTTGTACTTGTACGAGGTAAGTTACTTCCTAGCTCTGTCTCTCGTTCTCTGAATTTTCACGGACTAAATATATCGAAATTATTGTAATATTCACATTTAAATGGAAAAGAAAATAAAATCGACAAAAATCTAACTCAATGGGTTTTGATCATTTGATAGTGACAACCCCAATGCAGATCTGCAGGGGTCTAATGACTAGGTCTTAGTAATATAACTGTATTAAAAAATTATGTAAAGTGTCTAATATTTTAAATAAGGATCTAAAATAGATTTTTTTTTTTTTAAGAACAGACAGTTGACAATATATGTATGGAAAAAAAAAATTTAACATATAAAATGAAAAAAAAAAATCAAAATTTACTAAATATTAATAATTAATCATTAAGATTCATATACTAATGGTGTTACCATTGAGGTGGCTCGGTATACAGATTATAATTTTTTACCAACTTAATTCGATATATCGATTATAATTTTTCTTCTTCTTTTTTGCTTTTTTGTTTAATCAAGATATGATGCGACGATAACACTAATACAAATTATTTGCAAACTATTTTCATCAATATAAAATATATATGCAGCAAGAAGCTAGAAGGCAAAGTAGCCCTCATAACCGGCGGTGCAAGCGGACTCGGTAAAGCCACCGCCGGCGAGTTTACCCGGAACGGTGCTCGAGTAGTGATCGCCGATTCAAATGCGGAAAGCGGGATTAAAGCCGCTAAGGAGTTAGGTTCTGTTGCAGAGTTTGTGCGATGCGACGTTACGGTGGAGGCGGATGTCGCCGGAGCCGTAGAAATGACGGTGGAGCGGCATGGGAAGCTAGACGTGATGTTTAACAACGCCGGGATTGTGGGGCCCATGAATCCTGCAAGCATATCGGAGCTTGATATGAAGGAGTTCGAGAAAGTGATGAGGATTAACGTTATTGGCGTAGTCTCCGGCATTAAACACGCCGCCAAGTTTATGATTCCGGCTAGATCCGGATGCATTCTGTGCACTTCAAGCATGGCAGGTATTAATATTGATCCGAGTTTAGTATCATGAATCAAATCAAATTACATCGTATTCGTAAATTGGGTTGTTTTAGGCTTTAAGTTATATTAGTAAGATTGGTATGAGTTTAGACACGAGAAAACTCGATTACACCAAAGTTATATTAACCATATTTCGATGTTATTGGTAAATTTTGGAGTTTGAATCAAAATGTGTAAACTAGTAGTATACTACTAGTATGTTACAAACCTCGATCGGCTCTTATTGGTGACTTACGAAAAGAGTCACATGCAAAATGAATCTCGATTTATGTTTTCGTCATTTTATGTTTTCATTGATGATCTTATTACCTACTTTTATTACACGTGGATTGTCGTATTTAAGACATGATTAATAAATAGTTCTAAATTTTTGAATTAAGCTCAATTTTTGTTATTTTTGTTTCCTCTCAATTTCACAAGTCAACACTCAATGTTGACTTTTTTTGCTATCCATCTAATGCAGGTGTGATCGGAGGGTTGGCCCCACATTCATACACAATCTCAAAATTCACAATCCCCGGAATCGTCAAATCGGCGGCTAGCGAGCTCTGCGAACACGGCGTGCGTATCAACTGTATCTCACCGGGTACGGTGGCGACGCCACTGACTCTCGGTTACCTTCGGAAAGTGTTCCCGTCGGTGACGGAGGATAAACTCCGGGAGGCAGTAAAAGGGATGAGTGAGTTAAAAGGAGCCGAGTGCGAAGAAGCTGACGTGGCTAAAGCTGCTCTATATCTGGCCTCCGATGACGGCAAATACGTTACCGGCCATAACTTGGTCGTCGACGGCGGCACGACTGCTTTCAAAATAGCTGGTTTTCCTTTCCCTTCTGATTCGTGATAAATTGATTTGCATCAATGAATAAGTTGTATTTTCAAAATAAGATATTAACATTCACAGACTCTTAACTTGTGTCTGTGTATGTTAATTTAAGCCAAATCATAGATCATCTGTGTTAGGCTAATCATGAGCAATAAAATGAAATCAAAATCTACTTGATTCGGTTTGATAGCTTTATGGTTTCGGTTTGGATTCAATTTCTATCCGGTTTGGGTGAAGCCCGAGATTCGAAACCTCTAACCTACCCGGAGGTTTCGCTTTCGATGCTAGATCTGATAATGGTTCTCACACTCGCGGAGCCATGTGATTGTGATCGGCTTAAGCTTAAACAAGCAAAACAAACTTTTGTTTGCTTCTCTTTCATTTCTCGACCACTTTGATTGACAAAGAAGATGGGGTCATCACAGTCTGCGCAAGTGGGAAACGAAGGAGAAGACGACGATGAAGAAGAAGAAGAGGAAACCGACGGGGAAGAAGAAGAAGAGGAGGAAGACGACAATGGCGGATCGAATATAAGAGAGCTGGACAATCTGCTGGTGAAGAGAGTTCTGGAGCAAGAGCCTGAGATGTTACCGTGTCACGCTTCGGCTTCGCCGCTTTCCCCGCAGCTATCATCTCTCGGAACCCCGCGGATTGGACCATCGATTAAGGTCTGGGATCCGTACAACGTCCTCTCGCCGCCTCCTCCTCATACTTCTCTCCTCCCTCCGCCTATCTTCTCCCGAATCGCGTCTGGAGACGGAGGTCGTGCCGTGACGGAGGTTTATCTCATCAGCCACGGAGAGTGCGACCTTAACCTAAGGCCTGATCTGGTTGGAGGGAGATGCCACGTCGCCGCGCTCACCGGCAACGGTGAACGCCAAGCCAGGGCTCTTTCCGTTTTCTTCAAATCCCAAGGTGTTCGATTCACGTCCGTCTACTCGTCGCCTCTGGATCGAGCTAGATCCATGGCCGTTTCGGTCTGCCAGGTAATCTTCTTAGTCTCTTCTCTTGGATCCACAAATCTCAAGTCTGAACAAGATCTAAAGAACTGTGTGAAATTCGAATCAAACTGTGTGAAATTCGAATCAACATTGATCTGAGAGTGTTCTTGGGGACGAAGTTGATTGGCTTTTGCTGCAGAAAGTTAATCAACAGGAATCCATTGAAACCACTCATATGGAACTGTGAAAATGATAAGAAAGCTATATACAAAGCCAATACATAGGTGTTTGTGAAACCTTTCTTCAGTTTCACTTGTGAGTCTCTTGCTCCTGTGCTCCATGTGAGCTTATCTTATTCATGGTTGTTTCCTCAAAGAACTTAGTATATCTTAAGATGATAAGCGTTCTTCTTCATGCACTTGCATACAACAATGGATCTTTAAGTGAAAGGATTGAGTTTGAAGTGGTAACGGAATAGACTTTGCCTTGATGCATTTTGTTTTTGTGCAGGAAATGAGTTTTCCAGAGGAGCATGTACAATCCTCTGATGCCCTTATCGAGATGAGCCTGGGAGATTGGGAAGGTTGTAACCAGTCAGAGATTTACAATCCTGAGACTTTGAGCTTGATCGAGAGATGCCAGCCTGATTTCTCAGCCCCATCTGGAGAATCACTCAGGCAAGTAGAATTCCGAATGGTCCAGTTCCTAAACGGAACAGTCTCAGGACTTGCAGAGAAGCTCAGGTCAGATTTTTCCTCCACCACACATCACAATGAATCACATGAGCGTGATGGGTTGCTTCACAAGCATCGTCCTAGCCTTACAAGGAAGAAATCTGGTAAAAGCAGGCTTCAAGTGATGACAAATCACGAGCCTGACGATGAAGTATCCCCAGGGGAAGAAGTTAACCATAATCACAGTGACCTGAGTGATTCCTCTTCTGTGATCTCGAACTGCATTGGGGTTTTCACGCATTCTTTGCCGATAAAGTGTCTTCTTACCGGAGTCCTCGGGTGCAGTCCGGTAATGACTCACAAGATCTGTGTAGAGGACTCTTCAGTGACTGTGTTACAGCACTCGTGGAGAAATGGGTGGCAGATCAAACGAATGAATGATACTTCTCATCTTAGATTGTTGTAGCTTGTGTTGGTTATTATTTCCACAAAGAAAAGATTTCATATTTATACCATGAATTTGCGGAAGATCAAGAACAAAGGTTTTGCAGATCACACGCGCCACGGCCTCTTTGTAATGTTTGTTTGGGAAGCGACAAAAGAAAACAAAATGGGTTCATTGATTTTGAGCTTTCTCCTTGTTTGATCTTTGAAGGGCTAGAAATGTTGTTAAATTGGTTTGTTTTGATGTATAAGATATGAAAACAAGACATTTTCTGGTTTATATGGTTTGGATCGGTTAAACCGAAAGGTTTTTGTGTGGCTGTGCTTCGTCCCTCATGCCCATTGTTACCGTAGGATTAAGGTTAATCTTCAAAATTATCATCTAAAACTAAAAGGTTTTGATTAATTAAAATATATGAATTGTGATAGTTAAGAATGAAATTAAACACGTACAGTATCATTATTAGAGACAAAAGAATGAATGAAGAAGGTTCCGAGTAAAACAGCTTTGGTCGCCTCCGTCTCTCGTCTTCTCCACACGGAGAGATATACAGACAGACAAAACCTAACGACTCTGTTCAACAGATATGTCGACAAGACAGATGTCTTCTCATGGAACTCTGTCATCGCCGACCTCGCTCGTAGCGGCGACTCTGCTGAAGCACTTCGAGCCTTTTCCTCAATGCGGAAGCTCTCACTCTACCCTAATCGCTCTAGTTTTCCTTGCGCCATCAAAGCATGTTCCTCTCTTCTTGACATCTTCTCCGGCAAGCAGACCCACCAGCAAGCCTTCGTCTTCGGCTATCAATCCGACATCTTCGTGTCCTCTGCTTTGATCGTTATGTACTCAACTTGTGGCCAGCTTGAGGATGCACGGAAGGTGTTCGACGAAATTCCGAACAGAAATATTGTATCTTGGACGTCAATGATTCGAGGGTATGACCTTAACGGTAACGCCCTTGACGCCGTTTCTCTTTTCAAGGATTTGTTAGTCGACGACAATGAGGATGCTGCAATGTTCCTCGATTCCATGGGTATGGTTTCAGTCATCTCTGCTTGTTCTCGTGTCTCTGCCAAAGGTTTAACAGAATCAGTTCACGGATTTGTGATAAAGAAGGGGTTTGATAGAGGAGTTAGTGTTGGTAATACTCTCTTGGATGCTTATGCGAAAGGTCGTGAAGGAGGTGTGGCTGTGGCGAGAAAAATCTTTGATCAGATTCTGGATAAGGATCGTGTTTCGTATAATTCGATCATGAGTGTGTATGCTCAGAACGGGATGCCTAATGAGGCTTTTGATGTTTTCCGCATACTGATGGAGGATAAAGCTGTGACCTTTAACTCCATTACACTGTCCACTGTGATGTTGGCTGTTTCCCATTCAGGTGCTCTGCGTATTGGCAAGTGTATACATGATCAGGTGAATTTAGATAGATTTCTGTTGTTTTGCTCATTTGTTGTTATATCTCTTATCAATGTTATAACTTGCAAAGACAATTTGGCTATGCAGGTTATAAGGATGGGTCTTGAGGATGATGTGATAATCGGTACTTCGATAATTGATATGTATTGCAAATGCGGAAGAGTTGAGACGGCGAGAAAAGCATTTGATCGAATGAGAAACAAGAACGTTAGGACTTGGACGGCCATGATTGCTGGATATGGAATGCACGGCCACGCGGCCAAAGCGTTGGAGTTATTCCCTGTTATGATCGATTCAGGGGTTAGACCAAACCACATTACTTTTGTATCGGTGTTAGCTGCTTGCAGCCACGCGGGTCTCCATGTCGAAGGCTGGCGCTGGTTTAACGCGATGAAGGGAAGATTCGGCGTGGAACCGGGTTTAGAACACTACGGTTGTATGGTTGATCTTTTAGGTCGTGCAGGGTATCTACAGAGAGCTTATAGTTTGATACAAACGATGAAGATGAAGCCGGACTCTGTCATCTGGAGCTCACTTCTTGCGGCTTGTAGAATCCACAAGAACGTGGAGCTCGCGGAGATATCCGTGTCGCGTTTGTTCGAGTTGGACCCTTCGAATTGCGGCTATTACATGTTGCTTTCTCATATCTACGCTGATGCGGGGCGTTGGAAAGACGTTGAGAGGGTGAGGATGGTGATGAAGAATCGTGGATTGGTGAAACCGCCTGGTTTTAGTCTACTTGAGTTGAATGGTGAGGTTCACGTGTTCTTGATTGGAGACGAAGAGCATCCTCAGCGCGGGAAGATTTACGAGTTTTTAGAGGAACTGAACACGAAGCTGTTGGAAGCAGGTTACGTGTCGAACACGGCGTCGGTGTGTCATGATGTTGATGAGGAAGAGAAAGAGATGACGCTGAGGGTTCACAGCGAGAAACTAGCGGTCGCGTTTGGGATCATGAACACGGTCCCTGGCTCGACGGTTAACGTGGTTAAGAATCTGAGAGTTTGCAGCGATTGTCACAATGTGATCAAGCTGATTTCGAAGATTGTTGATAGAGAGTTTGTGGTTAGAGATGCGAAGCGGTTTCACCATTTCAAAAATGGGTTATGTTCTTGTGGAGATTACTGGTGATTGAATCAGACTCATAATCATTATTGATTTAGTAACTTCCGTTGTGATTTATATCTCTTATATAATATGTTAGAAAATACTACAACGATTTCGCAAATCTATAGGTTTTGTTAACCTATTCTTAAAAACGTTATTTGCTATGGTGTATTTTATTCGATGAACATATTAAAACTATGTGTGTGGGTATTTTATCTTAATTAAATAACACAACGATGGCAATATTAGAAACCGTTAGATTATTCAAACTTATTAGAATCCAAACAAAAACAAATAAATAAGATATACAATACAAACAAACAAAAACACACAAACACACTCTATTTGAGGTGACCACAGGTCAGCCACGAGCCCACGACAAAAGGAAAAATAACAAATAAGCTGTAAGTATCCGTGTAAGCTCCTCCCAAGTCCCAAGTGTAAGTAACTCGCCAGAAATTTTACAGCATCCTCATTGGTATTCTCCTTTATTTATTTATTTATTACTGATCTAAAATGTTCATACAAATGTTCCATTTCGTTAATTATTTAAAAAAGAAGAATCATTTGTCAATGGTAAATTCTATATAGTAAACCAAATACTTTAAAAAAGAAGACTCAAACATGATTTATAAAGACCAACTGTTCATATATATAACGGTAAACATTACAAGAGAAGAAAAAAAAATAATCCCAAGAAAAAAACTGTGTTTTGCTTTTTTTTTTTATGCCGGGCTGGGATTAATAAATTAAAGCCGCGACACAAAATTACATTATTCATCAAACGCAAAACACTCCCATGACTCCCATTTAGCTATGATCTTCATATAAACTGTAATATTACACACTTTAGGGTATGCAAAATGCATTTAATTTTTAATTTTTTTTTTTATGTATCACCATTAAGAATATTCATCATGAGCCCGTTGATCGATCGGATCTTAGTAGAAGTCATCGAGAGAGATATTCTCAACAGAGCCAAACCCTTCGAATGATTCAAACTTGGAGTAATAGTTATTAGTCGTCGTCGAGAGTCCACCCAAAAAATCGAGAGGAGTGTCGTTGGAAGTTAAATCCGTCGTGTCGTAGACGAAAGACGTGGTGGTGGCTGCGGTGGTAACCTCATCGATGACAGGATAATAGTAAGAACATTTACCGTTGTTGGTATAGTGATCATGATTATAATCTTGGAGGAGAAGATCGTTAACCACAGTGTTTTCAATCCTTGTTAAGTCTGTGTAAACGTCGTCTTCTTCCACGTTGGTTATGTCTTCTTCTTCTTCTTCTGATGCCTTTCTTGCTTGTATCACCTGAATTAAATTAAATAAATAAACAAAATTGGGCATATATATATGTCACGTTTTAGTTAAGATGTAGGATTTTTTTTTAAAAAAAGTAACGTGTAACGTACGTAATTCTTGGAGATGAGACTTTGGTAGACCATGATGAAGTCACCTTGCTGCAAACCATGAGCATTCACAAAGTCGCCTGGAAATAGAACCAGGCTCGAATAGAGTATTCAAGCAATGATTTAACTGTCGGTTATATTGGATTGTTTAATGAAATACTAAACGTTCGGAATATGTAATTACATAGGAAAATCTGATTACTATTCTGTGTTACAAGTAAGATTACCTGTGTTTTCTAGCACGTACATTCTGCTATTGTTGTTTGGCCAGTACCTAATAAAGATCACAACATTATAGCTCAAGACTCAAATATCTAATTCGTTGTTAAGATCTCTTAAATGAAATGATGATGTATATATATTCCATCATTGACAGATACAATTTACAAATGAAGAATTGCATAGACCAATCTTAAGGTATTGATCTACTAAGAATATCTATAGATTTGTGTCAAACAATATGTAACTTATGAAATTGAATAGTTACAAATTGTTTGACTATGTAACATTAATTAGGAGTGAATAATGATTAAGTATACCTGTACTTGAAGGTCCAAACGTGAAGACCGTCCAAATCATCCATTCGTATAGGTATCCCTTCCTTTGATTCCAACGCCGGCAAGTGAGCCTCCGCCGCTTTCTGCACCGATCATCATCATGAATCATCATCTCTACCATCATCATGAATCATCATTATAATCATAATCAGAGAGATACCTTGGGGAGTATCATTCGGCGGAGAGAGCTGACGTCACTGTTCTTCAGTTCCTTTTGGAAAAGGAATCTTAGCTTTCTTGTGTCTAGTTTCTGTCATCATCACAGTATTCTTTGCTAACATCATCACAATATATATATACATTGAATCTTTTTTTTGTGTAAACAAAAAAAATAATCAAATGATAATATACATTGACTCTAAAAACAAATCAATCAAATGGAAATATACACAGACCAGATAATACACATGTAAAAACTAATCTTTTTATTTGGATCCACACAGATCTAGAGAGAATCATAAAAAAGCTTTAGTTTTTTTTTTTTAACTAATTGAGTGAGGGAAAAAAAAAGTCTTGAAAAAAGACAAAGAGAGAGAGGAGAGGCTTACACGTGCGGGAAGAGGAGTTGGCACGTGGGAGGAAGGAGGCATAGTAGGAAAAGAGAGAAGGTTAAAGGAAGAAGAAGATCGTCTCTGTCTAGGCATCCTTCTCTTCTTCCAGTTAACACCCAGAAGAGGCACAGACGCCGATAAACCATGATCATGACCCGACCCGGATCCAAACACGGGGTGATGATCAACACTTGCCACTAAAGTAGCGGCCTTGGTTTCCACATCATGAGCAGCAGCAGAAGCAGCTTCATACATCATTTTTAATCCTCAATTGGTTAATGAAACACTGCCTAGTAAAAAGGAAGTGTGGAAACAGTGCGTGAAGGAAAAAAGAACAAATGGTGGATGGCTTTGGGTTTCAGTGATAGAGAAAGAGAGAGAGAGAGAGAGAGAGATAGAAGAGGAGAGAGAGAGAGACTGTGTGTGTTTGTGTGTTGTGCAGATCGAAACAGTGGCTTAAAATGGACGCTGGGCAATCAGAGATTTGGGTTTTCTTAACACGAAGTTTTGATTTTTATTTTATTTTTCTTTACTATTTATGGTAAGGAGTGACATTTGGATAACTCACATTCATGTTCTAGGGTTTTGGAGGATGGGGTTTAAAAGGATTTGAGATAAAGATTATGATGATAGCAACGTTCGGAACGAGATCTGATGCCACTAAATGAATGTTGATTATAGTAAAACTCAACCATGGTTTAAAAAGAGGTTAAGTTAGATGGAGGCACCAAGAGGAAGGAGACGAGTGGAAGGTGAATGGTGAACAGGTGTTGCAAAAGTTCTGTTCCTCCCTCTTTTCCAGAATTCAATGGCGTCCTCTTTCTCCTCTTCTATCTCCTTCTCTCTCTACAACATTAAACTCTTGTTTAAGTCAATATTGTGTTTAATCTCTTAATTAATTAGTACTTAGTGGTCAACATGTGATTTGTATAGAGTATAGACGAATAATCTGTGTGTATTAGCTTTTCTTGCGGTTTTACATAATAAAAACGTGCTGCATTATCATTTCCTTAATTCGTTATTCTATTAATCTCTTTTATTCTACGAGATATAGAGATTACATATAATCAGTTTCCGTTAATTTGTTATTATTCTGTTACTTTTTAATTAGTTATCTAAGCATATTTAATTAGTGAAACTCATACCGTAGAAGAGTTCATGTGAGTTTTGGGACGATATACGGATATTTTTTTGGGGGGAAGGTGGTGGAGTGAAGAAGTACGTTCGTGAAGTTGAATACGTCTTCTGTGTTCCAATGGGATGAAGATGCATGGACAATTGGCAACCATGCACGTCCCTCTCTCTTAAATTTTAATGACAGAATCCTTACCCCTCCTTCCTTTACGCACTTTGAAATTTATAGTTAAATGGATTCTTCCCATTAATTGTTCATTTTTGCTTTTTACTTGTTCCCGTTCATGAACCATTATAGTCGTACGTAACTAAACAGCCGTTATAAATATATAAAATAGTATAATATTTTCCTCCTTTTAAAAAATCACTTTACAGCTAATTCTGTTTAAAACGGTGTTCTAGAACTTCAAAGTGAATAATAATTTATTTTTATATTAAGTTAAAAAAAAAATTGAAACTATTACAGTTTAAAATAGTATATTAGGGACATGTGCACATATTCTAAATTATTATGTAAGAGGAGAGTATCGTTTATTTGTTTTTGTATGTGATATAACATTATATCGTGTGTCAAATAGTACTATGGTTTAGCCATCGTATCTCAAAGAGTTTTGTAATAAAACCATTCGAAAGTCAACACAAGCTCATTGGTCGTTGAATTGGCTCAAGCTTGTAGCAAATGCATACCGATTAGAAAAAAGATTAACCTAAGAAATAGTTCAAAAAAAAAAAAGATTAACCAAAAAGAAAGAAAGAAAAACCTACACACAAAAAAAAGTTAATCGTATATAGTATATTATTAAGGAGAGAGATAGTGAGAATGAGAAGAAAAAAATCTGGCAATATAAAAAAAAAAAAAAACGGAAGGAATATATGTTGGTTAAGTGCTTTCTTCTTGGGGTCGTTTACCCAAAGATAAACAAATTGCCAGAGTGGTGCGCAATGTGACTTGCCCAATCTGCATTCCAATTTTAGAAGAAAAAAATAATCAATTACGCATATAAAGATTATATAAGTCTAGGTCTCAAATTTCACTAAAACAAAATCAAAATTATGCATTGAATATGTGATTATTAATTAAGAACATACTACGTATATATCTTACAAAAATTAATATAAAAATAAATTATAAAATATATTTTGCTATGATTTTTAAATTTTACTTTTTTCTCGAAAAATATCGATTCAACAGAAACTTTAATAAATGAAATTTTATATCTTTATTAATCATAAAAACTAATATTTATTTGATAAATAAAAAAATCATGCAATTTGATATTGATTTTCAGAGCTTTCTTACCCATATGTAAATACAGAAGATCCTATTTTTGCTTTTTCTTTGATTGTTTTTGCTCTATAATCCAAGATTGATTCCTCTGTTGGATTATCTTTCCAATCTCTGATTTATAATCTTCTTTCGTAATGAACTTTTTGAATTAAAAGAGAATGATCAAAGCTAATGGCTTGAATGAAGAAACAAGTAAACAACCGATTGTAATTATGATTTTTACAACTCGGTTTTTAAAAATTTTAAAATTTAATTTTAGAGAAAAAAAAACTACCTCAGATTTAAAGAATGAATGCATATTTATAAATTGAATTGCATATTTTAGCTCTGATTTCACGAGTAACTAAGATCGATTTTTATACCCGATATGTAAGTGTACATTATGATGCTTTTGAAGTATAAACCGGATCGAATGCCACAAGTAATCAAAAATTCGACGCGTGTATAAATAAACTAGATCGAATGCTACGAGTAATCAAATATGATAAATAAAGATCTTAATAGATGGATTAATTTTTATAATCTCATCATTAAAACTTAACAAAATCAAAGATTTTTGGAAAATATAGAAGAATTTTTTCTTTAAAAACTTAAACTTTACTTTGTTTATCTTAATTAGATAGAATTTTTTAATTAGAAAACATTTGAATCTATATTTTTTGTATGATTTCTTGAGATTAAGTTTGTAAATTCATCACAAAAGCTTTCACATCTTTGAATGAAGTTTTATATTCTATTTTATCGTTGATCAGTTCATCCATCAGTATTATTCAGGAGAGTTCTACAACCGATAGATCAGATCAATCTTAATTCTACTTCAAATTATACTTTCTATATATAATAAAGTTATTTTCTTAATTATTTTTTCGTATGATGATTATAAATACTAAAACATTCTATTTAATTTCTCAAATTAAAATATAAATAATATATATTTAATAGAAAATATAATAATATAAACCAAGATTAAGTTAAAAAAAAAAATCAATAAGTCAATTTGTAATTTGGAAAATAAAGTGTATAATTAATAATTAACAGTAAAATAGAAAACATGTATTCTTTATGTAGTAGGAAATAAAATAGTACATTATCTCATATTAGAATGAATAAAAATGCAAAAAAATCGGAAATGCTTTCATCAGCAAAATAAAAATTAAGCACTAAAAGCAACATCTTAGATTCACTACTTATTAGGGAAATATTTTCTGTCAAACATTTTTCATGCTATTTCCTTTGTGTTCTTCCACAGTTTCTTTATTTTTTCTATTACTTCGTTTTTCTGTTTTTTTTTTCATTTTTTTTAACTTATAAAAAAATAACATATTTCATCCCATCGAACATTGAGCATTTAACATTTCTTTAACCTTAATTTTCTGCACCAATAATTCAGTCTTTCTCTCTTCATTCCAATATCATTATTTTCTATTCATGTCCCAAAATATCCAAACCTTCTTTCAAAACTTATGAGCATTCACATTAGTTATCCCTTCTAATCATAGTTTGACAGAATTAAACTACAGTCTAAATTGAAAAAGATAAAATGTCACTAATTATAATATTCCTCCCAATTTATTAAATAAGTTTTGATCCAATACATATATGGTCCAGACAAGAAATTAAAAAAAGAAAATAAATTTCAAATGATCCAAAATGTGAATATGAAAATCTAACAAGGTTGAACATTTTTTTTTTCATTTCACATTCAACATACTTCTTTTTACACATTTTTTCTCGTTCATAGTTTTCATTAATCTATAATATTTTTTGTAATTTTATCAAATTATACGATCAAAATTTATATTTTTAAAATTATTTATCGTTATTTTTTTCATCTATATTTTTAAATAAATATTTTTTCTTATAGTTATATAATATTATACATATATTTCTATTTTGGATAATCTGGTTTGAATGCAAAAATTAGTAGTTTATAAATATTCTAGTATCATGTTGTATCGAAATGTAAAGCCTAGCGAAATGCTAACGTTTGAGAACAACACAATGAGTTCTTAGAACACTTCCAAAAAGAGGTTTTAAAGATAGTTTCTACATATTAAATATACTAAAAAAATTAAAATAGTAGAAAAATTAGAGAAAAAATATATAAACGGTTCTGAAATGAGAACATTTAGAATCGTTTCTAAAAAAGTTTTTACCACATGTCAGTTAATAACTGACTCATCTTTTCAATGTTTTAAAAATTAATTATGTAAATAAATAATACTATTATTATATTTGTTAGAGATTTTGGGAGGATATCTAATGGTTGGAGGTGCTCTTATCATCCTAACGTTCAATCGCAAAACGTGGGTTCCAAAAGTGCTCAAACCTTAGTTAGGTTTATTTCACTTGTAAAGGTAAGGCAACTTTATGAAAGCCAGTATACAAATATTCAATTTAAGAGCATTTCAAATCTTCACTATGATTGGAAGCAATAATGTAGGCTATGGAGAGTTTATTGAATCAACCATGAACTATGTTTAAAACGGACTGTTCGGATCTATTATACATTTCAAAGGCAGTGAAACTTTATAAGGGTGATCGACAAAAAGGGTAGAGAAGACCACATATCTGGAAAAGACAAATCAAAAGGGACACATATTATGTTTTCAATATGATATATGTATATATATATGTTGTGTTTGTATGTAGTATTGATGCACAGTGGGTGTTTTATCATTCATGTACCAAAGAGGCATTTTTAATTGTAGGACCACCAGTTATAATAGATACTACGACATGATGAAGCATGCGTTGGGCCTTCTTGGGCTTACTCTTTGCTTTCACGTGAACAAGCAAAATCGTCGTCGCCAGAGAAAAGAGAAGCGAGAACCAAAATGACTTCTTCATTTTCTTTTTGACATCAAATTACTCTAATTTGGAGTTGGAAGAGTAAATGAGTACTGTTTATGAACAGTACTATGTATACGCACAGTGAGTAGGGCCACCATTTAAACTTTTATGAATCGCAAAATTTTATAAAATCCCCATTCAAATTTCTTTAATACTATTTTAAGTTATTTATAAGCTATAAAATTAAGTTAATTCAGAGGTTATCGTTGTGTAATTTTGATAGCAACTAACACATTGCTAGACTCTGAAATGTATATCTTGTTATCAAATTTCAGCATTTACTCTCTTGATTCTAGCCATCTAGGAGATTTGGCATATCAAAATGTGATTTATTTTTTTAACTATGAATCCATTGCTAAATTGCTTTTTCAACCAATATAAAGAAACCAGCAATTAACGGCTAGATAATGATATCTTAAAACTGCAATTATGGTTAATTTGGGGTAATAATGAAAAACTTGACATAGGATTATATAAAGGGAATAGAGAGAGAGATGAAGTGGTGGTCTTCACATGGCAGCCATTTTTAGAATATGATGAGATTCAAGAGAGGAGTGGACCTATCCACAAAATAACAATGCACATCCACCACTCTTCCCTTTTATATCCATACATTCCTTCTTTACCCTCACATTTCTGAAGAGTTTAGATAAAAACATGTCTTGACAAAATTAGACATGTCTTCATTTCCCAAAAAGGTTTTCAATATTCACCGGACGGTTTTAACTTTTCACATTAATGAAAATTTACATCGAGGAACCAATCACCCAATTTATCTATCTATTATTATTTTATCTTTTTGTCAATATATAAGGCTTGCGCAGTACTTTTAATGTGATTTTTTATTCGATGGTAAATGTTTCGAAAATACTTCTATGTATACTAGCTAGTTGCAAGGTTTAAAATCTATGTTATGAATGTAAAGGGTTAGATTGCAAAGTGTCATTTGTAAGGTGTTAATATATTATATACATTAAAAACATGCAGCAATGTGTATTTTTAAACGATACTAATTAATGTTTCCGGATATACAAGGTTGTTATTCCATGTGATTGATTTATATTATACTCCAATGGTTAATTCATACTATTAAATTACATATTGCTAGCTAATTAGTAGGTTTTTTGGTCAAATTTCTCTTCAGAAACACCTAAATAAAAGTTTGGTGGTAAGACGCAAGGAAGTGAGTCTTCCCTTTCAACCAATAATAATACTTTTGTTTTGTGTGCTCCCATTTGTAATTATATGCAAGTGGATCTATAATTGAGTTCGATTATGAAGCCCTTCTTACACCCATTCTTTTTTTCTTCATATATATTTTTCTTTTATATTTTCCACTTTAAAATTTTATTGGTGAAGGATGTTTGATGTGTTTAGTGTGTCTAAAATTACTCATCTTCTTTTGTCACCATTGAGAAAATATGGTTAATACCTCCAAAATTGCTAAAATGTTTTATTTTCTTTATGTGTTTTTGTCTGCATTGGGGTGAGTTATATATACAATTTTCATAGATAATCTTTTCATCTCTTAAAAATGTTTCATTTAATATTTCAACCGACCGTTTCAACTTTCAACCATAAGTACACTGTATTTTTCACATCAAACATACTCCTTTCAATTTGCTGCCACCATTTTTAAGCTTATAAGTTAAATATATATGTGGATTTATTCTTTTATTTGAGTGGCGTTTGGATTTATTTGGTAAAAAAAAAAAGAAGAAAGCAATTTAATACTAAATTTGCTAATGTCATCGCCTACTGACTACGTATCTCCACGGATGGTGTATGTCCTCATACCAGACAAATTCAGCCAGCCTTGCTTTTCTATTCTTCTTTCTTTTATATCCCAAAACTAATAAATTTCAAAATGTGATTTCTCTAATTAATTAACCTGTTTTCGAATTTAAAAGCTTTTTAAAAACATGCTAACTAATAAGGTTAGATCAATTTAATAGTCTCTAAAATAAAGGTGATTTGGCGAAGATGACGATTTGTTAAATTTGTATTGAAAAAAAACGAAATATGTTTATTTGAAGTTTGAACACATGTTTTATGTAAAATAACGTTATTAGTTTGTAACCAATTATGTGATTTTTTTCTACTACCAAAGTCAACAATGGTTTACAAACCCTTATCCAAAATAGTTCCACATTTGAGAAATTTGAATGAAATTCTCTATCTTTTTGTAACATGTTTTCAAGTTTTGTTTTTCTTAACACTAGAAAATAATGTTAAAAAAAACAAGCACAATTAACAAATTGTAAAATTTTGCCATATAGTGTTTCTACAAAGAAAAATTACCAACATATAATCATTTAGTTAAGATAAGCACTAATCAACCTTTAATCACATATTAGTTGAATAATTGATCATTATTAATCTACTAACTTAGTACACAGCTTATATAATGACTCTCTCTCTTTTTCTCTTTCTCCTGCGAGTATAAAACCGTCGCTACTCGCCACGAGACACCGTGGCATTTCACCGTAATTAAATCCAAAAAACAAGGGCATTTCAAATTGTTCCTCAAAGTCTGACACTACTACATCACCTCCCTTTTCTCTTTGGCGAATGGCCTCGTAACCAGTGATTAGGACACATGCATGCCATTTCCATCAACGGTCAAGATCCCATTCCCTGGCTCTCCTTTGAGCTATTTATCACCGTTGGATCATCTCTAACCACGGTTTAAACTTAACCAAGGTTTAACCTAACCACGGTTTGTTTCGGTCAGCCAGGTAGGGGCCCTGTGATGTGCTTCTTCGTTGGTTAAGACTTATTTTCCATTAGCAAGTCATCGAGAGAGAGTAGAGAGAGAGAGAGGTTTTTTCTGGGCTTGTGCTTTGCTTTGCTTTGCTTGCGTGATCTCTCTCATCAATCTTCTGATCATCTTATCATCATTAGATTTTGATTTTTCTTTATTATTTTCATTTTAGCGCTTTTGTTTTCAGGAGACGAAGCGAGTCTCTATTTAAGGTCGAATTTGTTTTGTTCATTTTTTTTAGATTCTACAGATCTATTATGATTCTCGATCATTGTCAACGTTTTCTTCTTCTTTGTAATCATCACGTTTTTTGATTTCGACAGCAATCTTAGCTCCCCAGTGAATCTCTCACTCGTTTAGCTCTCCAGAGAATTTTTCAAAATTTTTACTATTATTGATTCTCTGAGCAGTTTCGAGTTCTTCACAAATCTTGTTTTTTTCTTTTCCCGGTAGATCTAAATTCTCCCCAGTTTCTAAACTTGTGGATCTGGTGAAAATTCACTTGGTTGTTATCAAGCTCTCGATTTCGAAGCTTCCGATATCTTTGGATATTGAGCTCCTAATTGTCTGAGTCAAAGTCCTCGAGTCTCAATTGGATCTCGCTGAAGTCAATCTGCTGATTTCTGTTTTCCCCGGGGGATTCGAATTAGGGCTCTTGCTGCTAGAGAGAAGAAGAAGGAAGAAGAAGAAGAGATGAACTATTTCCCAGATGAAGTGATAGAGCACGTATTCGACTTCGTAACGTCTCACAAAGACAGGAACGCGATATCGCTGGTGTGCAAATCGTGGTTCAAGATCGAGAGATACAGTAGGCAGAGAGTGTTTATCGGAAACTGTTACGCCGTTAACCCGGTGAGGTTGCTCCGGCGGTTCCCGTGTCTCAAATCCTTAACCTTGAAAGGGAAGCCTCATTTCGCTGATTTCAATCTGGTTCCTCACGAGTGGGGCGGCTTCGTGCAGCCTTGGATCGAGGCCTTAGCGAGGAGCCGCGTGGGGCTTGAGGAGCTGAGGCTGAAGCGGATGGTTGTGACCGACGAGAGCCTCGAGCTGCTCTCGCGCTCCTTCTCGAGTTTCAAGTCATTGGTGCTTGTTAGCTGTGAAGGCTTTACCACTGATGGTCTTGCCTCCATTGCCGCTAATTGCAGGTATAAATAGAATGTTTCCTTAAATGGTGTTGAAAAATCTGTTTGTTCTTGGTTGAATTTAGCGGCTGAATGATTCAGTTTAAGAATGGTTAGTTTCATTGGAAGATTTAGCTTTGATATGACTATAGATGCTTTGTTATGATCGTTGTTACATGATTTGTTCTGTTTTATGAGGTTTTGTGATCTGTGTTAGGCATCTTCGGGATCTGGACTTGCAAGAGAATGAAATCGATGATCACAGAGGTCAATGGCTGAGCTGTTTCCCAGACACTTGCACGACTCTTGTCACATTGAACTTTGCCTGTCTCGAAGGAGAAACAAATCTGGTGGCCCTTGAGAGGCTAGTCGCGAGGTCTCCGAACCTAAAGAGTTTGAAGCTAAACCGAGCAGTGCCGCTCGACGCACTCGCGAGGTTGATGGCGTGTGCGCCGCAGATAGTTGACTTGGGAGTAGGGTCGTACGAGAACGACCCGGATTCAGAGTCTTACCTGAAGCTCGAGGCTGCCATCAAGAAGTGCACCTCGTTAAGGAGTTTGTCGGGGTTTCTAGAGGCTGCTCCTCACTGTCTCTCAGCGTTCCACCCAATATGTCATAACCTCACTTCACTGAATCTTAGTTACGCAGCCGAGATCAATGGCAGCCACCTCATTAAGCTTATTCAGCACTGTAAAAAACTCCAGCGGTTATGGGTAAGCTGATTTTTGAGTTTCTTTAAAAGAAGTCCTTAGATATATATATATATTTGTTTGTAATCGTCTTTTTGATGGTGTTCTTGCAGATATTGGATAGTATAGGTGACAAAGGGCTTGTAGTGGTAGCTTCTACATGTAAAGAGTTGCAAGAGCTTAGGGTTTTTCCGTCTGATTTGCTCGGTGTAGGCAACACAGCTGTGACCGAAGAAGGTCTAGTCGCCATCTCCGCAGGTTGCCCTAAGCTTCACTCGATTCTCTACTTCTGCCAGCAGATGACAAACGCAGCGCTCATAACCGTTGCCAAGAACTGTCCCAATTTCGTCCGGTTCAGGCTCTGCATCCTGGAGCCTAACAAACCCGACCACCTGACTTCTCAGCCTCTAGACGAAGGCTTCGGAGCAATCGTGCAAGCCTGCAAGAACCTGAGACGGCTCTCGCTCTCGGGTCTCCTCACAGACCAAATCTTCCTATACATTGGGATGTTCGCGACTGAGCTGGAGATGCTCTCCATAGCTTTTGCAGGCGATACAGACAAAGGCATGCTGTATGTTCTGAATGGTTGCAAAAAGATGAGGAAGCTAGAGATTCGGGATAGTCCGTTTGGGGACACGGCGCTTCTTGCTGATGTGAACAAGTACGAGACAATGCGATCCCTTTGGATGTCTTCGTGTGAAGTCACGCTCGGGGGATGCAAGAGGCTCGCACAGAAAGCGCCGTGGCTCAATGTAGAGATCATTGACGAGAACGATAATAACCGGATGGAGCAGAACGGGCACGAGGAAAGTCAGAAGGTGGATAAATTGTATCTGTACCGGACTGTGGTTGGGACAAGGACTGATGCGCCGCCATTTGTGTCGATTCTCTAGTTTTTGTTCCGACCAAACTATGGACCTGGTTCAATGCTTCTGGTCTTCTGAGATTCTGTTTGGTTGTCTTCCGTTAGTGTCCTTTCCAAATTAGGTGTACTTTTTGTTTTTTTTTTGTTTTCTCTTTAAGACAAGAACTGATTCTTTCGTGAAAGCCTTTCTGTTTCTTTCTTTTCTTTTGACTTTCCTCCGATTATTTATTGTTTTTATAGTTATTATTTACAAGTGCAACGGCTTGTTTTTTGATAAGCTTTTAGGCTAGATTAATTTAGTTTTTTTACCCTTGCTAGGAATATACAAGATGATGAACAAATGGTACATAAGATAAATATAATCAAGTAATTATAGTTCTGAAATAAGTATTCAGCTTCCCTTTATCCAGTTTCTGGGAAGAGTATAGGTGATAAAATGAGAATGATATATATAAACCATTCTTGATCTTTTAACATAATGATATGTTAATCTTCACCATGGTCTTTTAAAACGTTCTGGAATGCAAAATTCTACAAAATCTACACAAGTCATAAAATATGACATCCACTTATGTTTTTTCACACATTTATTCAATAATATTTCTGGATTTTCTATGGACAAAGATGTAACATAATGAAATAGATCAAAGTTGGTATAAATAATATTCGAAGGTCTTGTTTTCAAATAAAGCATATAAATATTAAAGAATGCCCTTAACCTATGGTTTCAGAACCATGGCTTTGTAGGCTGATTCCAACACCCAAAGTAATAATATCAATTACACATTAATAACTTGAGAGAAAGAGACATTGAATCATAAGTTTTTCGGTGAACTGTTTGATAATTAACGCTCCAGACTTAGAAGCAACATTCCTCTAACACACAGCAGCAACAGAGAGCGGCGAGACTGATTCATCGAGACACACACACAACAACAGAAAACGAATGTTAATTGAGTAGTTGTAACGAAACATAAAGGGAATAAGATGGTAATTTAACAAGTGAAGAAGCTACGTAAAGACAGAACAACAACAAAGAGGATATAAAATTTGTACTTGTGTTTGAGTTAGTTTACAAAAGAAGATGCTGTCACTCAACACTTCACATCGTGTTTTAAACATTATCGAAGTCAGAAGTGTCAACGCAAGAATCAAACCAGTATCACTCCTAAAAGATATAGTAGCTTAGTTGGTAAAAAAAGTGATCAGAGATAAACAGGGGATCGAGGGACGAACCAGCCTCGGAGAAAAGAGGTGCGGCCAGAGTTTGAGTCCTGGTAGTAGTGATGATCATGATGGCACTGGTTGTAGTCCTGCGGCGGAGGAGGAGGAGGATAGCCTCCGGCGAAGTACTCCTGATAGCCGCCTTCGTAAGGAGGACGCGAAAACGGTTGTGGCGGTGGTGGTGGATATCCGTGTGGCTGATGTTGGTGTTGAGGATATCCCTCGTGCTCGTGGTGGTGGTGCGGTGGAGTACTATATCCTGGAGGCGGTGGTCCTGATGGATATCCCGGCGGCGGATAGTGAGATTGGTAACCTAACCGATTTTGATCACCACGAAAAACGAGATTTAGAACCGATCCAGAAAGATCATAAGTTTCGTTCTAACTGAATCCAAGTTGAAAAGTGTATCACAAGAAATATAAATGGATTCTGATTCTACGAACCTGGAGGAGGCTACGATTCCGGCGGGACGTTCTCGTAGCTCATTTTTTTATTGCTTCTTTGAAAGAGAAGAAGAAGAAGTTGAAATTTGTTGTTTGGTCTAAGAGGAGAATCAGAATCGGGATTGACGTAATGATAACATACTCTGGGTTTGAGGGAGAAAGATCTGCCGACAGTTAAACCAATTAAATTAAAACACGTCTCAAGTTTTTATTGGTTATCTCGATTTAATTGTTAAAATCTTAAGCGGGCTCAACTGCCTATACAAAACATTAAACAGTCCAATGAGCAAATAAAGAAGTCTACAAAAATAACAGTGAACAAATACAAATCCATCAAAACATGGGCCTTGACTCACTCACACTTCAATATAAGAATTCACAAAAAAAAATATACAGACATACAATGTTAACAAAACAAAAATAAATAACTGACAGACCATTATAATATAAGATTTAGACTTATGTTAATATACCTTTCAAAGTTTCGATGGAGAAACTTTGAAGTAAATTACAACAAAATATGACCTAATTGATATTTTACTTTTATATATTGAAGTTTATTTTACCATCAGTGATAAAATTTGATTTTCTCAAACAAGGTTGTTATCAATTGTTGACATTCTAACCAACAACAACAACAAAAAAGATATGGAAATGAGATGAGAAACAGAATTGAAAATGCATGGATGATAAAAAGAAAAGATAGAAATTTGTAAAGTAGGATATGATTACAAGAAACATAAAAGATTATTGCACTACCCATTTCCAAAAGAAAGCTCAAGATTATATTAATGATTAAAGTTGTCTTGTCATTGTTATGACTTTTTTTTTTTTTTAATTTGGGGTAAAAGGTTGTGCTATTGGTCTGATCAAAGATACACAGAAAAAAAAGTCAACTACAAATGAGAAAGGTTCCAAAAAAAAAAGAAAAAAAGAGGATCTTTTTTTGCTAACAAGACAAGTAAATAACGCCCACAACAAACCCAACATCAACGCTTCTTCTTGCTTCCCTTTGATGGAGTTGCAATCAAATACACAAACGTCATAATAATCGAAATCACTGAGACTTGAGGTCCAAATCTACCTACCAATCTCTGCAGATGAAAAACTCAAAATCATTAGATTATATAAGACAAAATTCATGTTGCTTAAAAGTTAAAACTGTTCACAAATGGTCATGGCTCATTAACATTTGATGGACATTAAACTGTCACATATCAGTGAAAGTATCTTAATAAACTTTTGATACAATTTTCACCAAAATTTCCGATGTTCATAAACTACGTTATAATGAATGAGAGAAGAGACAACATGCCTTTGCCTGAATTTTAGTCACGTTCAAGAAGGATTCCATGAAAAAAACAGAGAAAATTCAAGGTTAGTTAATTATACAGCCGATGAATCAAGTAAATTTTAACGAAAGAAATGATCTGAATTACCCATTCAAGCTTCTTCTCCGGGATGCTCTCTGCAAGCACATCTAGAGGCAATATTGGAGTTGAATATGCCTAAATTTGAAGGCAAAAAATTTAGAAGACGCAAATCATAACTAAAAGACCATTTGATTAATTCTGAATAATCATTTGTAAAATTACAGAAACCAGAAAGCACAAAATACCTGAAGAACACCCTTAGATGGGACACGGAAAGTAACAACAGCTGGTGAGCCATAGAAGAGACCCTTTGTCTTAGTCTGCAACTCAAATGAATGTGACAGAACTTGACCGCTACACACAAAATCAAAGTCAACAATCTGAATTTTCTGAAAAAGATAAATAAAAACGAGTGTTTAAGTTTTTGTTGGAAAATTAATGAGAAACTCTTACACATCAAGCTTTTCCCATGACTTTGAAGTGTTTCCACTAACAATCTCAAAGAGATTTGAATTCCAGTTATCATCTGCCAGATTTATATCATATGCTGACCTGATAAAAAAAAATTAATTACAAACATAAACGTTTTTGATTACTTGTCTCTAATGTTTTTTTTTCAACATACAAAATTCAGAATCGAATATGAGTTTGGACAGATCGATATAATCTCTGATCGGCGCGCGACGGCGCGAGAGCATGCAAACGTAAAGAGATCTAAGAAACAGTGTTATGGATTAACCGTGCGACTTACGAGGGTCCTTGATTGTAGATGTCGATGGTGACGGAGACGCGTTGGGATCCTGATTTGATGCTTGAGAGAGACGCCTTCTTGTGGACTACCATGAAAGGGACCTCCGTGGTCGTAGCGATTGAAGCAGAGATCAATGCCAGAGATAACAGAGCCAACGCCGAAGAGAGCTTCCTCATTCCGATCTCCATTTCTCCGACGGTCACTCGCTAGAGCTTCTTCTGCGTGGGAGACAAAACATATGATTAATATTCGTCATCTTAATTACTTAGTCTTTGACTTTGACCATATGATTTAATAATATATATATATATAGTAATTAATGTATTGCCAAGAATTAGTTAATATGTATAGTTTAATGTTTGTCATCGACAAAACAAATTATACTTACGTTAAAAACGATTTGATTATAAATTTCATGTTTGTTCATGGATCGAACGTGCTATGTGGTCATTTCATGCATGATCACGTTCTTCGTATTTGATTAATGTTTCTATCTATTTACAAATCTGTATTTTTTGTGTAACACCCGAAATCAATTTTCTTGATTTTTTTTTTGTTTTAAATCTTTCATTAGAATTCCTATAAGAAGACATTGCAGTATGTTTTTGGTAGCCGCCCATAACTTGTTTCTAGACCAAAGTAAAAAAACTAATGTAAAATTCTGTAGTCGTCACATTAACTTTTCATATTGATATTATAAACAAAACTTAATCTATTTAAAAACGTTCTTTCCAATAACCTTTTCGCTAAATACATCGTGGACTATCTATATATGTGTATGTACGCGCGCACGCCCATGGTGTATATATTTTTTTTGCAAAAGGGTAAATATCATATAATGAAGGTTTGGTTTTACAAAACTGTACTACCAGAAAATTGGTACCTTGGCAAAAATAAAATAAAAAACAAGGTAGCAATATAATTTAGACATAAGCAGAGGGAATTAACGGATCCACAGAGTCATGAGGTTGCTGAAACTTGTTCGGTGTCTCCTTGCTGAGATTGTGTTTCTAATATCACGGTCGATCATTAAGAAGATAGGGTGTGGTGGGATCTGCACCTGATTGTGAAGGACATTATTTCTCTGTTTCCAGGTATGAAAGATAACAGCTTGTGCCACCAGTTTCCGGAGTATTGATGGAGCGTTGGTTGAATTATCCTTCATCCAAGATAGCAAATCATCCCAGACATTGAAACTTTGCTGAATCGGGGACATTCTAGCCATGGTTAAACGCCACAACTCGATGCTGAAATCACACAGAAATAAAAGATGGTCTCTTGTTTCTGGAAAAGCATTACAAAGGCAACAATCAACGGGAGTTTGAATTCCCCAGCTGTGAAGACGCACTCTAGTTGGGAGACGATTGAGTTGCGAGATCCACATATTAAAAGCATGCCGAGGGACGGCTCCTTTAAACCACACCAGTCGTCCCCAGGTCGTTAGAGGTGCCCGCGGTCTTAATGCATCCCACGTCTTTGATGAAGAGAATCCCTGACACTTAAAACCATCAACTACCCAGGATACAGTATCCTCGAGAGAAGAGGCACTCGGCAAACTTAGCGTAGTTAAATGCATGTGTAATTGAAGTGCATGTTCAGATCTTGGGTGGGGCAAAATCCATCCCTGAGCATTACACGCATCTGCCACTGTTGCCGTTATAGGCAATCTAAGAGACGTCGGGCCATTAATCCCCAATAGGTTGAAGATAGGGCCCAAGCTTGTCCAATTATCATGCCAAAAGCTCGTCTTGGTGCCGTTTCCGACTTCAAATTTAAGAAATCTCATCGCCAAAGGCCTAAGCCGAAGCAGGGAACGCCATGTCCAAGAGTGCCGGGGAGATTCTTCTATAGCCCAGAAGGAGATCCCCTGAAGATTTGTGTCTTTATGCCACGAAGCCCAAAGCGAACCCGAGTTTGAGATGAGAAGCCAAATCAACCTTAGACAGAGGGTTAAGTTCCAGGGCTCGAATCTCCTCAATCCTAGACCACCTTCACTCTTTGGTAAACACACCGTGGACCATGCAACCTTTGCACTTTTAAAAATCTCGATATCTCCAGACCAAAGAAACCGGGAACAAAGAGATTCAATTTTTCTTATGCAAGCTTTGGGAAGGATAAACGTAGAAATCCAGAAGTTAACAGTTCCAAATATAACAGAGGCTATTAATTGAGCTCTTCCTGCAAAATAAAGGGTTTTTACAGCCCACACCGTAAACCTCCCCACAATCTTGTCGATCAAGGGAGCATATTCCGCAATACGCAGCTTTCTGTACATAAGCGGAAGGCCTAGATACCGGATTGGGAGAGAGCCAAGAGGGAATCCGTAGCTTGCAATCGCATTGGCTCAGCCCCGCGTGGAAGAGCTGCGTTTTGTCCCTGTTCATTTTTAGACCAGACCAACTAGCAAAATCATCCAAAGCTTCTGTGATACCATGGAGAGAGGAGCTACCTCCATCGAAGAAGATCATGACATCATCCGCGAACATGATATGAGTAATTTCTAATCCTGATTCCATGGGGTGATAGAAGATATACCCAGCGTTAAAACGAGATTTCAGGAGTTGAGCGAATACCTCCATAGCCAGGACGAATAAATACGGCGACAATGGATCACCTTGACGCAATCCCTTAGTGCTACTGAAAAATCCACTCGAGTGACCATTAACCGTTATGGAAAAAGATGGCGTGGATATGCACTCACTGATCCACTTGATAAACTGTGTTGGAAACCCAATGGCTCTCAACGCTGCAATGATAAAGTCCCATCTCACTGAGTCGAAAGCCTTTCTCAAATCAACCTTAAGCATTCCTCTTGGGTCAATACTTTTGCGATTGTAACCATGAACGATTTCTGTTGCGAGAAGGACATTTTCTGACAGAAGCCGCCCTGGCATAAAAGCCGATTGAGAACTAGAGATAACTTCAGACAAGGTTCGTTGCAGGCGGTTAGCGAGAAGCTTTGAAATAACCTTGTAAACAGTGTTGGGGCAGGAGATTGGCCTGAAATCTGTTGTTTTGGAGGCGTTAGGAATCTTTGGAATTAAAACCAGAGAAGTTGCATTCCATTCCTTGAGGAGGAAGCCTGTTCTGAAGAATTTCAACACTCCTTCAGTAATTTCTGGGCCAATTATGCTCCAGCATCCAGTAAAAAACTCTGCTGAGTAGCCATCTGGGCCGCTAGTTTTGTTTTTGGGCAAAGAGAAAAAAGCTAATTTTATCTCTTCCTTTGAAAAGTCACTCCCAAGATCACTTATTTATTGCTGGGAGCATCTGAAGCGTAGAAGCAGGTTCATATCATCTTGGATAAACATAGGGGGCCCGACTTCCTCACCCAAGAGGTTAGACAAATAGTCAATGCACAAGTCCGAGATACCTTTTTGCGTGTCAATACATTCTTCATCTACATTCAAGAGGAAATGTATGTGATTAATGGCGTTTCTAGTGGCGGTCATACGGTGATAGTAGGCAGTATTACAGTCTCCTTCTGCAAGCTTAGTGATCCGAGACCGTTGAAGAAAGAACTTCTCCTCCGCTTTGACTAGAACGCCCCATTTCCTTTCTGCTTCTAGCTCTTCCTCAGCACTGATAAAAGATGGGTTTTGGAGTGTTTTTTCTTGACAGACCACGAGGTAAGAGTGCGCCTCAACCACCCGCTTCTCTAGCTCCGAGTAGTTTTCTTTGGCAAAGGCTCTGATATGCTTTTTCAAGGCATGAAGCTTCTTAGAGACTATGAACATAGCTGATCCGAAAACATTGATAGAGAACCAATGAACCGCTATCAAGTGAAGAAAGTTCTCATTCTGCAAGAGAAGGTTGAAGAACTTGAACGGTTTTTTCAGCCTGTTTAGATTAGTAAGCACTACTCCACAAGAGGCATGATCTGAGAAGGAAGGCTCACCAAAAAAAGAAACCGAGGAGGGGAAAGAGTTATACCACTGGTCGTTGACAAGAACCCTATCCAGTTTCTTTGCGATAGGACCGCCTTTTCTTTTGTTCCACCAGGTGAAAGTACTTCCTCTGTAATTAAGATCAGAAAGAGAAGCATCCAGTAAGCAGCTCCTGAATTCTCTTGTTCTTCTATCAACGTTAGGACTTGTAACTTTTGAATGCTCACAGGGGTTTAGAACTTGATTAAAATCACCCAAAATACACCACGCTCTATCATGAAGGATGGAATTTGTAGATAGCCCTATGATTTCATCCCAAAGAGCCTTCCTAGTCTCTGCATCATTCGATGCGTACACTATCGAAGCAACCATTGGATTCTGATAATCAGGTAAGAAGACTTCACAGGTTATCATTTGAAGTGACTTAGACAGAACTGTCACTTTAACACTAGGGTGCCACAAAACCCATATTTTGCCAAGCTCGAAGAAGCTATAATTCTCCTCAAAAGACCAGCCGGGAAGCAAACCATTTACAAACTTCTTAATCTTCAGCTGGCGAACATGAGTTTCTAGAATACCGCCAAAAAGAGGTTTATTATACTTAAAACATTTCTTGAACCTGCTACGATGGCTATATATGTTGAAGCCGCGGACGTTCCACCCAAAAAGGTCTGTACACATAAAGTTAATTGATATTGGGGCCCTTGCCCCTTGAATCCTTGCGCTGCCGCCGAGTAACGACCATCGTAAAGTTCTTTGAAGAGTCCACAATATGATCAGAATCACTAGAAGAAATATCAGACGAGTCCTCTTCAACTTCTGAAGATTGACCATTGATGTTAAGAGCCTTTACGGGAGACATTGCACCAGGTGATGGAGAAGCTGACTTACCACTTGGCCCACCTGAATCTAAAGGTTTCTGATGATATGAGTTTATGGGCACAGAAGTTTTAGAGAGAACCAGTGTTTCCTTGGCAACCAGAGTTTCCTTTGCAACTCATGACCCTACGTCACGAATTCTAGATCTGCTTCTTCTAGAATTCTTTTTCTTAGGTCCCTCCCTTGTTGCTCGTGGGCATTGAATTGCAGAGTGCCCCGATGATTTGCATGTCACGCACGTTATTGGTGCCTGCTCACATCTCTTAACAGTATGACCAATCTCTTTACAATGGCCACAAACTGGCGGCATCCAAGGACTTGAGACCAGAACTCTACATCTCTCCCCCGACTGGAATTCAACATTTACTGCCTCCGGGAGTGGTTGACGTGGATCGATTAATGTGAACACTTTGGCCACCGCAAGGTTCGTTTTGTTTGCTGTTGACGGATGCAAGAATTTAGGATGCCCAACCAAACCGGCAATGTGTTCCAAACCTTCATCGTTAAAGAACTGAAACGGGACATGCCGGAGCTCAAGCCAAATCGGAGCTGAAGTGAGCTCTGGCTTCACCGGCTCAATTCCAGGTTCCCACTTTGCAACGAACATGGTTTGTCCCTCCACCTGCCACAATCGCTGGTTGATAACACGAGAGCGAGTGGCAGCATTAGGGATTCTGAACAGGAAGGAGAAACCCTCCATTTTTGTCATCGAGATATCTCTGTATTGTTTGCTCCAAATACCATTAACTATGTTATGGATGAGGCCTTGGGGTGGGGGATCCGAATAGAATTGACCCAACACAAAACATTCCCAAGATTTTCGGTTTCTTTCTATCACAGAATTTGGGATCTTCACACAGGCCTCACCCGATGGAAGAGTGAAGACTGTACCTTTCTTTTCCAATTTTCTCGTGGAACCCTGTACAAGGTTACTCCACGAGTCGACTGGGGGTTTTGTCACTGGGTCGGCCGTTTTCACAGTAGGTAGTTGAGCTTCGGGAGAGGCTGGCATGACCGGCATCACTATCGAAGTCAATGGCGGTTCGGTAGAGATTGGATCTGTAATCTCAACGGAAGCGCTTGGTACATCTGGATCTGATGCGACAGCCGGGGCTGACTGTTCAGGGACAGAATTGGTGGCGAGATCTGAACCTAGAGTAGAGACATCGGAAGTTTTCTTACAAACGGACGGAGGAGGTGGGGATTCCTTAACCGGGGAAGACGAACCAGAATGACAGGGTGATTTGGGAATTGGCTTTTTTGGTGGTTTTCTCTTCCCCATAAGGAGGGGAGGGCCTGTGTTTTGAAAGAGAGAGGGTTGCCGACGCCGTGATCGACGCCGGAGGATTGAAGAGAAGTGTGTCACTTTATCGCTCTTTTGAGAGAGGGAAAAGTCAATTTTTTCGCCCCCACTTAAGGGATTATCTCTTAAAACTAGTATTTTGTATACATATATACTATGTATACGCAGAATATTAAAGATATATACAGTATACATATATACTATACAGATACAGAAAGCTCAAAGTCAGCAATCATTCATGTCGTGTCTCTCTTATTTTGGATATGAAGGTAAATGTCAGAGATGAGAGAGAAGAACATATAAGGATAGCCAAGGAGACTGCCTAATGTCTTTTTATAAGCAAACTGGTCATAAGTTGGTATATAACCTATAGTCATTTTTCAAATATGACACCAAAACCATAAACCATTTTACTTTTCAAAGAAGTAGGCAAGTCATCCTTGGCTACCAAATATGATTCTCCTATCCATCTTTGACATCTCCTTCTAATTAACAATGCATACACTCATGATGACTCACCGCATATAGTTATAGCAAATGTATTTCTAAATAACACAATCTACTAATCAAACGATTTTTGTAGTATAAATTTATATAAAAAAAAATTATATGGATTGAAAAAGATAGAAAGAAAAATTAGGTATAACATGAATGAAAAGAGCATGTCAAGATAGCCAACGAGACTGCCTGAAACATAACCCGCAATGATTCAACATGATTCGAATTATTATACATTTTTAAATGCATAATAATCCAAAACCCATTTAACTTAAAATTGAATCATCGAGGTGAAAAAGAGCAGGCAAGTCATCCTTGGCTACTAAACATGACTCTTTTCGCCAAGTTAGACCTCTCTTCCTCATTATACACTTCACTACTCTCTGTATGTTTTTACTCATTCCTCACATGCATGTGCTCCCTTTTTATAACCCTTGAAAAGGAATATATGCTTATTGATTTCTAAAATGATATCTTCTTTTTGCATGGGCTAAATATGGTCAACTTTGTATTCTCCATCACTGGAATATGTTCCTATTAATGGACCATTTTTGGGTGTCTTTAAGATAATATATGTATCTATAATTTTTTTGTCGGTTCATTCACATTTTTATAGATCGTATTTGGTTGGTGGGTATAAGAGTTTCCACGTTGTAGATCAACTTTACGATGTTGAATCAAATAGAGTTAGATTTGTTTGAGTATGGATTTAGAAATAGCATTAACTAAGCTTGAATATGTTTAACCTAATTACAATATGTCGATAGCTAATTACGATATGAGCCAAGAGGGCTCAATATGTAATCTCAAAAGTTGAGGAAAAAATCGTAGCAATGGGGATTAATCTCCATAATTTTGAAAGTTTTAGAAGTTTCTTAGTGTCATATTAATTGCCAACCACGCGGTATCACTTGATGTAATATAGATTTAAAAGTAATCGGCATTGTGGTTATCTTTTTAATTGCACCTAATTTGGAAAAAGAAGAAATATTGTGTATGAATGCATGGAGTCATTTGGTCGATCCCTTTAATCTAAGCGCAACGTGTAAAAATATGTTCCTTTGAATTGATGCTTCTGCCTTCTGGTATGGGCAAGTTGACGTTCTTAACTTTTTCTTAAATTTAGAAATCTATTTATTATTTATTTTCCTTAAAAAATCCAAAATAGGAAAATTTGCAATATAAGTTTCACCTTTAATATCACCTCTTTTTGATATCAAAAGGTTTGACCGCTAAATTAAAGAATCAGAATACCTTTAAACTAAAGAATCAGAATACAATTCATTTTAAAGTAACCTCTATTCTCTATGCTATCATCCATATATTTTTCATTACCGATTGTTCAGATGTGATTTTGGTTCGAATGTCATCATCATATATCGTAATGTCGTATCACTAAATCTTCACTAATATTTTTAACAAGCATGCGAGTGATTGATTCAATGGACGAAAGTACTTTTTTTTTTTTGGGATTGTCATGTAATGGGCCTACATTCGTACCCAAAAAGCTATTAAATATGGCCTAACTTTGAGAAGGGCCGAGGCCTATCACATAACTACATTTTAATGGACAAAAAATTCGCTTTGGTTATATTATGTCCCACATCGTTAAAACAGAAGCTGCTCTCTTCCAAAGTTAGGATATAAAAAGGAAGCACGGCTATTCTAACAATTCATACCTTTCTCGGCCTTTTGGCTAAGATCAAGTGTAGTATCTGTTCTTATCAGTTTAATATCTGATATGTGGGCCATCGGCTCACACGATATTAACTTTATTTTTTGAGGGGAAAGACCCATTAAGATAGCTTGCTATCTGGGTCTTTATGAGTCGCCCATGCCTTGCACTACTGCACGGGCCTGGCTCACCCCACCAAATAAAGTTCAATTTTTGTTTGTCTTATGAATTTGTTTAGCCTACTTTGTTTGTCACTTACAGATATTAAGCCAAGACATCAAAAACTTCATTTCTGTTACGTTGGTTTATTTAACGGTAATATTGCGTCCTCATGGCTCTTGGGCTTTTGGTTTGGGCCCAATAAAGTCTGATGCCAAATCCCGACCAAATTAGTTAAAATATCACTTCTTTTAGTCTGAATAGAATTTTAACTATCAACATTTAATAAATCTATTATATTAACCAGAATTTTCATCTTATAATTTTTTTTATTAGATGATTTACTTATTCTTTCTCGGTATTTCCATCTCAATATCCAAAATAAACACATTTTCACTTCTTTAAATCAAACATAAGAGGTTTGGTTATTTAATATTTAGAATTTACAAATTTTATTAAAATTAAGATTTATAATAATTTTACAAAATATAGATAATTATATTAAACTAAAATAAAAGCTATTTTTATTTAATTTATGACTCAAACTTTTTTCTTTAAATTATAAAATAAATATCAAATTGTAATATTCAATTTAGATATTTTTACGATTTTTTAAATTGAATTATATTCATAGTCTTGACAAGAGAACATAATTTTTTTTATCATATTGAATTTTAAATGTTAGCATAAAAATATAATCTTGTAAAATTAAATCTTAAAATATAAAATTGTTGCAAAAAAAGAAAATATATATTTTATTCAAAAAAGAAGAAGAAAATATAGATAATTTTAACCAAATTAAACACCTTACAAAAATAACACATGTGATGATGTGAACACCACCTCTGGGATCCAGAGACTTGGCTCACCCTGCCAATCGAGGTTCAATAAATTTCAGTTTGTAAATTTTGTTTTGTTTGTAAAAAATCTAGAAATTTTAGAAGACGAACCTTGCACGTCTTAAACTTGTATGTTAATTATAACAAAATCCAAGAAGTCACTGTTGTTGGTTGATATTCAAAAGTGTATTTGCTTCTTTTTTGTTTTTTCCTACAGAAGGAGGAAAAAATAGACTTTCAGTCCTTTAGATACAGAAAGATGGAAAAGAATCTTTCTAATTTTGTTTTTGACTAAGTGACAAACTAAATCAATCGATTTATCAGTCTGAGTAACGATATAATAACACTGATTAACCATTACCTAACGACTTCGTTCAGTTGATAAAAATTAGTTAGTCAACCCACTTTCAATTATTTTTGCTATTTTTAATACTAACTACTTTAGGCAAAGTATCATTCTCTAAGTTCACATTTATGTTATTTTCTAGGATTACAAACAATTCTTTTCGTTATTCAGAACTTATACTCTACTTTAATCATGTTTTTTTTGTTTTCTCACTTGGATTTATTTCTTTATACTACTAACCTAATAATTCAACCAATTAATTCTCCACCTCTTATATTATAAAAAAAAAACACAACATGTCCTTTTCTCATGTACCAATTCCAATAATTTTCAAGTAATATATTTGAAAAAAGGAAATAATAAAGTGTTTCTTTTCCGCGCACTTTCTTGGCTCTTTGTTTGGCTGAGTTTGTCCGCTTTCTCATTTCCCGACGATAAAACAAATCGAAAACGGCAAAAAATAACTATCCCTGAGAAAATAAACTCAGCCGGATCTCCCTCGAGCTTCTCTCCAATGGCGGTTACAGTTCTTGGCTCCATCTTCCGTCTCTCTCCCGTATCGTCTTCCTCAAGAGAATCATTTCGCAACGCTGATTTCTCCCCTTCGAAACAGAACTCCGCCTCCAAGAATCGAATCACGGCGATCAAATCCGTTGAATCTACCAATCCCGGAGGTCTTAAAAGAATACAGAGAAACAAAGACGATGCGGCGGTGGAGAAGGTCCAGGTGGTGGAGAATCCGTATTCGAGAGTGGAGGCGGCGCTTCCGGATTTGCGGAAGAGCTTGTCGGACTTTTTGGAGGAAGCGAGAGATTTCGTCGGAGATGAAGGTCCGCCTCGTTGGTTCTCTCCATTAGAGTGTCGCGCTCAGGCTCCAGGCTCTCCTCTTCTCCTTTTTTTACCTGGTTCGTCTTCTAAATCTGCGTTGACTTCTCCAATTTTTATTTCAATAACCGGCGTAGATTCTGAACATCGAGAAAACCGGAAAAAACCGATGATGTCATTTCTACAATATTGTTTATCTTAATTTCATCTCCATGGAAATCTCTGATGAAAGGATAAGTTTTTTTTTTTCATGTTTAACAAAAACTGAGAAACTCAAAAACTTGCAGGGATCGATGGTACTGGACTCGGCCTCATTCGCCATCACAAGAAGCTCGGAGAGTGCGTAAATTTCATATTTTGTCTTTTTCTTTCTATTGCCTCTTCATTTCGTTAGAACTTAGAATACGGTTTCTCTGTTTCTGTCCGAGAACTTTGATTTTAGGCAGTTATTATTGACATGTAACTGATAATTTGTTTTCTTTTGAGTAGGATATTTGATATATGGTGCCTTCACATTCCAGTCACTGATCGTACTCCTGCTAAAGGTTCCTCCTTTTGTTCCTTCTCTGTCTACAAAAATGGTTTCTCAGAATCTCAGGTTAAAAGCCTTTTTGTTTGTTCAGACTTGGTGAAGCTTATTGAGAGGACAGTTAAGTCGGAGAACTCTCGTTTCCCGAACAGACCAATATATCTAGTTGGAGAGTCTATTGGAGCATGTCTTGCTTTAGATGTCGCAGCTAGGAATCCCAACATCGATCTTGCTCTCATCTTGGCTAATCCAGGTTCGAAATCTCGGTCTGTGAGATTCTTGTTTTGTCGGTCTGTGACATTGTAGACATTGGTTTGTTGCAGCCACGCATGTCAACGACTTCATGTCGCAACCATTATCAGGAATGCTGAATGTTTTACCAGATGGCATTCCCACACTACTGGAAGAAGTATTTGGTTTCAAGCAAGGTTCACTAAGTTTGTTCTCTGATTGAGTTGTCAAGTTGTACAAAACCATGTGTTTCGTTATTAAAACATGACAAAAATGCGTGTTCCTTTGTTCCTCAGGCGATCCATTGACTGCAATGTTAGACGCTTTGTCAAATGAATTTGCTGTCCATCATATCGGTGGAAGGATGATTAGAGATCTCTTTGCAGTTTCAGCTAATCTTCCTGTAAGTGTTATTTTATTTACAGTTTATAGTGTTACATCTGGTAAAATGTGATCAACAACATCTAAAAAAACAATATTTGCAGACTTTGAGTCGGATGTTCCCTAAGGACGCACTGCTTTGGAAGCTGGAACTGCTCAAGTCTGCTATTGCATCTGCAAATTCTCACATATACGCGGTCAGAGCTGAAACAATGATACTTTTGAGGTCCAATAAAATTTCTCTGTTTTCATAAATTCTGAATCTCTTTTATTAGCTTAGAGCTTAACTGTAATGTGAATATCTGGCATTGACCATTTGCAGTGGACGCGACCAATGTTTTCTGAACGAGGAAGACATTGACAGATTCTCGCGCACATTGCCAAAATGTAATGTCCGTAAGCTTAAAGACAATGGACAGTTTCTCTTTTTCGTAAGTGATCTCTCTTCATCTAATGTACAGAAGAAAGATGTCATCAAATATTGATAATAACCATATCTTTGACGTCTCATGTTAGGAGGACGGCGTAGATCTGGTTACCATCATCAAGAGTTGTTGTTTTTACCGCCGTGGGAAGTCTCATGATTACCTTTCCGATTACATTATGCCTACCCCATTTGAGCTAAAACAACAAATAGACGACCACAGGTTATAACTTCTCTGAGAAAACATCTTAGATTCTCTGACAAGTATACTGAATGATATACATTTCTTGCGGTGCAGGTTTCTAATAGATGCTACTTCCCCTGTAATGCTGTCAACTCTAGAAAACGGCGAGCTTGTTAGGAGCCTTGAAGGGTTACCATCAGAGGGACCTGTTCTGTATGTTGGTTATCATATGCTGTTGGGATTTGAGTTGGCTCCAATGGTGACTCAACTCTTGAGAGAGAGAAACATCCACTTGCGCGGTTTGGCACATCCGATGATGTTTACCAACTATAAAGATCCGTTAGTAGATTTACAGATATTTGACAAATATAAGATAATGGGTGGAGTTCCAGTCACCAACTTAAACATCTACAAACTTCTTCGCTCAAAGTCTCATGTGCTTCTGTATCCTGGTGGTGTCCGTGAAGCTTTGCATAGAAAGGTGATTTTTTCATTTATCGCATTGAGATGGAAAATAAGTTTGGTTGTGTTTTTTTTCAAGAGGCATAAAGCATGGATAGAGAGACTTTGCAGGGTGAAGAGTACAAGTTGTTTTGGCCAGAGCAACCCGAGTTTGTGAGAGTTGCATCTAAATTTGGAGCTAAAATCGTTCCTTTTGGTGTTCTTGGAGAAGATGACATCTGCGATGTAAGCTTTCTCCCACTCTTTTCTTAGCTTCTACCCTATACACTCTACAGATTGCCTCTAACATTTTAGACTCTCTGTATGGAAATGCTGATAAAACTGTATAATGCTCTCTACTTCATTATATTCACACGAAACCTTGGGTTTGAAGTAACTTTGGTTTGGACATTTGATGAATCTTAGATTGTCCTGGATGCAAATGATCAAAAGAACATCCCTATCCTCAAGGATTTAATGGAAAAGGCAACACAGCAAGCTGGAAACTTAAGGTGTTTTTCATTACACACATGACACATCTATATATATATATTATTTTTCTCATTTTAAGTAGAACTCATATGAAGGTTAATTTTGAACTGTATCATAATTGTTAGGGAAGGTGACGAGAGCGAATTAGGAAACCAAGATTGTTATTTCCCAGGAATTGTACCTAAGATTCCAGGACGGTTCTACTATTACTTTGGAAAACCAATTGAAACAGCTGGTATATACTAGTGTTGCTCTCTGCAGTCTGCTTCAAATCACTTATTGTCTATAAATACTTACTTGCAATGGCTTTGGGTTTTCTTTTCATGGTAGGTAAGGAGCAAGAGCTAAAAGACAAAGACAAGGCTCAGGAGCTTTACTTGCAAGTCAAGTCTGAGGTCGAACAGTGCATTGCCTATTTGAAATTGAAAAGAGAGAGTGATCCCTACAGACACTTGTTGCCAAGGATGTTGTATCAGGCCTCACATGGTTTCTCTTCTGAAATTCCGACGTTCGATCTCTAAAATTATTCTCTCTGTGATTAATTTACATTATACGTGTGACTATTTTGTATACGTAGACATTTAATTATGATGTTTTACAGGGTTTCAATCAATTCAAAAAAGCATGCAAGTCAGTTTTTAGCAATAATCATTTTCTCTTTTTTTTTTTTTGGTCAACAAGATAGCAATAATCATTTTCTCTTTAGTTTCTCTTTTAAATATGGATTAGGATTATAGAAAATTTAATCATTAAATATTCGTTTTCCAACAAGATAGAAGAGAAAACACTTACCAACTTTTAAAATTCAAAACTTCAAATCCATGATGAAGTGTATGTATATATAATTCTTAAAAATTGTCACAACCTGAATTCCATGATCATCCAACACTTGCCCTAAAATTCCTCCGTCTCCATTTCTGCATGATTTTAGCTGCATACAATGTTCATGCCTCCATTAAGTTGATAAAATTATCATACTAATTAAGAAAACAGAGCTTTTTTTTTTGTTTGTTTGCCGCTCTTCTTCTTCTTTAATCGAGGTTAACCATGAAAAGGAGTGAGACTGCTCTCGTATGATGGAATAGTGCAGTCTTGAGTTGTCAAAGCAACAAGATTCTGAAAAGTCACTAAAATCCCATTATCTGTTTTTTTTTTCTGTAAAAAAAAAAACGATTCAGAACATTGCCATGAGAGGTATATATATCATCACATCTTAACTTAATGAGATGATTTTTCTGACGTTTAAAATACAACAGAGAGAAGGTTATTTTCACATATATAATTCGGTTGAATCACAACTTTTCGGATATAGTGCTTGGCTCCATCTTCGGTTTCTCTCCCGTCTCGTCTTACTCAAGAGTAAGAGTTCGTAGCAATGATATCTGCTGTTCCATGTATCGACACACGGCGATAAAGTCCGCAACATCGACGAAGCCTGGAGGTGGAGCTACGGTGGCGAAGAGTCCGTATGCGAAAGTGGAGGCGGAGCTTCCCGATTCGCGGAAGAGCTTGACGGACTTTTTGGAGGAAGCGAGAGAGTTCGTCGGAGATGAAGGTCCGCCTCGTTGGTTCTCACCCTTGGAGTGCGGTGCTCAAGCTCCAGGATCTCCTCTCCTCCTTTTTATACCTGGTTCATCATCTAGATTCTTCTTTGGAGCTTATGGCTGCTCCACCTAATATACAAAAACCAATAGCAGCCTCTTCTCTCATGATCTCATATCCATGGAATTTAATAAAACCGAGAAACTTGCAGCGATCGATGGTACTGGACTTGGGCTTATTCGCCATCACAAGAAACTCGGCGAGTGCGTAAATTTCATTTTCTTCCCCTATTGCTTCTTCATTTCGCTACAAGTTTGTATACTAAGAAAGATGAACCAAGATACACATGTATCTTTATACCCAAGAATATGGTTTCTCTGTTTCTGAAAATTCCTCTGTTTTTGAAGTTATTAATGGCTTGTAACTTGTAAGGGGAAATCTTCATTTCTGATGAATGTTGTCTTTTGAGTAGGGTATTTGATATATGGTGCCTTCATATTCCAGTCACTGATCGTACTCCTGCCAAAGGTTTCCTTCTTTTTTCTCCTTCTCTGTCTACAAAAATGGTTTCTTAGGTTAAGGCCTTTTTGTTTGTGCCTTCAGACTTGGTTAAGCTTATTGAGAAGACAGTTAAATCTGAGAACTCTCGTTTCCCAAATAGACCAATATATCTAGTCGGAGAATCTGTAGGAGCATGTCTTGCTTTAGATGTCGCAGCCAGGAATCCCAACATCGATCTTGCTCTCATCTTGGCTAATCCAGGTTTGCGAGATTCTTGTTTTGTCTGTGAATGTCAAGTCCGTTTTTTTCTCATCGTAGACATTGTTTGTCGCAGCCACACATGTCCACAACATCATGTCGCAACCTCTATCAGGAATGCTGAATGTTTTACCAGATGGCATTCCCACACTACTGGAAGATACATTTGGTTTTAAGCAAGGTTAAATTTCTTCTAGTTGGACCTTTAAAATGTAGATAAAAAACTTATTAAAACAGGAAAAAAATATGTTTCTCTTGTTCCTCAGGCGATCCTACATTGACTGCAATGTTAAACGCTTTGGTAAATGAATTTGCTGTACATAAAATCGGTGGAGGGATGCTAAGAGATCTCTTTGCAGTTTCAGCTAATCTTCCTGTAAGTCTTCCTTCTTACAAACTCATGATCTATGCGTTTTTCAGTTTACTGTCTTTGCATTTGCAATTTCAGTTTCTAGTGTTCCATCTAGTAAGGTAAAAATTAAACCTCAAAAAGCAATATTTGCAGACTCTGAGTAGGATCATCCCTAAGGACACACTGCTTTGGAAGCTGGAACTGCTCAAGTCTGCTGTTGCATCTGCGAATTCTCACATACACGCGGTCAGAGCTGAAACACTGATACTTCTGAGGTCTAACAAATTTCTCTGTTTCATTAGTCTAAAAAAACTTCTGAATCTCTTTCATTTGCCAAGAAATGTTCTTCCTTAGAGCTTAGGTGTAATGTGTTACGACCATTTCAGTGGACGCGATCAGTGGCTGCTGAAGGAGGAAGACATTGACAGATTCTCGCAAACATTGCCAAACTGTATTGTCCGTAAGCTTAATGACAGTGGACAATTTCTCCTCTTGGTAAATGACCTTTCTTCATTCAGTTCACACAAGAAAGATGAAACTTAGGGTTAAATATTAATACTAATTGAGAATATCGTTTCATTCATAACCTACACACTTAAACAATCTTGTTTACATCTCATGTTAGGAGGATGGCGTAGATGTGGTTACTATCATCAAGTGTAAATGTTTCTATCGCCGTGGACGGTCTCATGATTGCATTTCGGATTACATTACTCCTACCCCATTTGAGATAAAACAACAATTAGACGAACACAGGTAAAAAAAGGCCTCACTAGATGTATCTTAGGTCAAATAAAAATCAGTCTATCAAAGCAAATACTGAGTAATACATTTCTTGCGGTGCAGGTTTCTAATAAAAGCACTTTCCCCTGTATCGCTGTCAACTTTAGAAAACGGTAACGTTGTAAGGAGCCTTGCAGGGTTACCATCAGAGGGACCTGTCCTGTACGTTGGTTATCACATGATGTTGGGATTTGAGTTAGCTCCAATGTTTAGTCAACTCTTGAAAGAGAGAAACATTCACTTGCGTGGCTTGACACATCCGCTGATCTTTATGAACAACAAAGACTCGGCACTCGACATGCTCGACTCGGAGCTGTTTGATAAATATAAGATAATGGGTGGAGCTCCTGTCTCCAATACCAGTATCTACAAACTACTTCGGTCCAAGTCTCATGTGCTTTTGTATCCTGGTGGTGTTCGTGAAGCTTTGCATAGAAAGGTGATGTATAGTACTGCTTAATGGAATTATAAATGGTTTGTGCATAAACATGTACAGAGATTATATTTTCTTAGAGGCATAAACATGTACAGAGAGACTTTGCAGGGTGAAGAGTACAAGTTGTTCTGGCCAGAGCAACCCGAGTTTGTGAGAGTTGCAGCTAGATTTGGAGCTAAAATCGTTCCTTTTGGTGTTGTTGGAGAAGACGACCTCTTCCATGTAAACTTTCTACTCAATTCTGTGATCTTAATTATTTATAATCATCATAACCTTTACTCTAATCTAATTCCTTCACGTTACACGTTCTACTGTTTATAAACTCAGCACCAATGGTTCTATTCAGAATTCTACATTACTCGACTTTTTCAGCACCAATGATAAGCTCTACAATGCTCTGCTTTATTATATTCAACCAAACCTCGGTTACAAGTAAATTTGGTTGACTCTCAGATAGTCCTGGATTCTAATGATCAAAGGAACATCCCTATCCTCAAGGATCTAATGGAAAAAGCAACAAAGGAAGCTGGAAACTTAAGGTTACACATTCTGTATTCTCATGTATACTAAAACTCATATAAACATTGATTTTGAACTGTCATAATTGCTAGGGAAGGCGACGAGGGCGAATTGGGAAACCAAGATTTCTATTTCCCAGGACTTATACCTAAGATTCCAGGACGGTTCTACTATTACTTTGGAAAACCAATTGAAACAGCTGGTATCTATATATATATATCTTATAATCCAAGTGTTGCTCTCTGCTTCAACTCACTTATTTTGATTACTTTACTTGCAATGGCTTTGTTTTTATTTTCGTGCCAGGCAAGGAACAAGAGCTAAGAGACAAAGAGAAGGCTCAAGAGCTTTACTTGCGAGTCAAGTCTCAGGTAGAACAATGCATTGCCTATTTGAAAAGAAAAAGAGAGAGCGATCCCTACAGAAACTTGTTGCGAAGGATGTTGTATCAGGCCTCACATGGTTTCTCTTCTGAGATTCCGACGTTTGATCTCTCAGACTGAGATTATATACGTAAAATGACATGAATAAATAAAAAATGATTTTTTTTATTATGAATAAATGATAGAAGCAAAGCCAATAGTCTCCTTGTAAAAAATGGTACAATCGTTTCTTACGTCATAAATGAAAGAATAAGAAACGACGACATTTACATATTATGAGTTAGCTTGTTAACTAAGGTATCCAATCAAACGCTTTATGCATATTGACCTCGCCTCTAGCATGTTTGCCTCCCCACACTTTTAAATAGATCCCATTCTCTCTGGCTCTCCAATCCCACAGGCCTCCATTATCCGAAGCACTTTGCTGTTTAAATGCTGTAAACTTCTTATGGTGTCTATAATTAGGGCCTTGTCTCAAGGTACACATGAATTGAGTTCCCCCAAAAACGTTTGTCGCGAAATTGCGTTGCCAATGTTGTCCGGGTTCTACTACTCTCGGAGATATCCTGTCGTCTCCGGAGTAACAGCTCACCCAGAGTTTTTTCTTGTTCTTGAGTTCGTTCCCGATCCTGAATCCGCCGCCGTATACATGGCTAATCATGCAGAGGCCAAGCACAATCAGAAAGACCGAGATATTTTTCATTTTTTTTTTTTGAATAATGATAGGATAGAGATGTTTAGATCTTTTGTCGTTTAGATATATTTATAGTAGACATGTATATTGCTATTTGTGCGTTTACAGTTTATTCTTTCTCTATTATTATATAGGTTTTCTATTGATAGTTGACCAGGTGCCAAAACTTTCCGTTTTATGTTGGATATAGTTTGGACTTTGACTTTTCCAACCAAACAGGAGGAGATGTAATTTAAGAATTGTTGACGTTTTTTTTTTTTTTTTTTTTTTTGCCGAGAATGGTGTGCAATCTACATATAGGGTGAATGTTTAAAAACAATTCGCAATCTAAAAGCTATTATTTCTTTGAACAAGTATATGATAATGCTTTAATATTGTTAATTGCTTTGATCCGAGTTACGTTGCACTTGCAGTGTATGTACACACAATGATATAGATAAGATAACTCAGATAACATGAAAATGAGGACTGTAACTTAAAAAAACTAATGTAGTTATATAACAGTGAGATCAGAGGTAGGCGAAGAATGAAAAATAAATGTTCTCCGTGTTTTAAACATATAAAAAACTCTATTAAAAATACTTTTTTTACTAAGTAGTTTTTTTTAAAGGTTTTTTAAACATTTGGAAAGGTTTCTCTCTTTTTTTTTTCTTCTTTTCTCGTTCTTTATTATTTGAGGTTTATTTTTATTTTTATATATTAAAATTTTTTATTAAAATACTTTTCTGATAGAAATGCTTTTTGTTGGGATTGATTTTACCAGATAAAAAAGGATCCGACATATGGATTTTAAGTTGTTCTAAACACTGGCATACGCCATGTTAGCTTGGCCAACCCATTTCTGCGTACTGTTCCGGGGCAGTTGGCGAACTTCCTCAAATACGCGAGAATCATTACTCCTACCTGCTTCTCTGGTGCGTCAGATTGAAAAGACAGGACAAAAAGACCACGAGTATAAAAAAGAGGAGATCACAACACAGAAGAAGATCAACTGGTGGGATCTGGGTAAAACCCCACTCGAAGAGAAGGTAACTACTTGTATCCAGATCAGTCGGCTCCAGCAAGCAACATGATCACGGAAGAACTCCATGTTTTCCCCAGGTGAATGTCTTTCAAGATAAATCTTTATTAACCCGAAACTCTGTCTTCATACTTGCTCCATCTTCTTCCTATTACGTAGAAACCCCTTCGAAACACCTGTAAACAGATAGATGTCACGATTCCCGGACGAGACATCTCACCCAAACCAGTAGTAACACCTCTTCTGAATATTTGTTTCCGGTAGGACGTTCATCTTGGCCGTCGAAAAATCTTCGAAAGGGTAACTCCTTTTTGGTCTTTCCGGAGGCCCGATTGACCTTCCTTTGAGTGCTTGCAGGATTATGCACAATGACCTTCTCGTCACCAAGACGCACGAAGGCTTCTTCTCGTAACGACTCGTTGCTTTTTTCCTAAAGATGAAACTTGGAGACGCGACTCCACCGCCCGAACGAATCACACATCCCCACGTGATATCCCAAAAATTGGCTGCAATTAATGTTTCAGTAACATATAAAAAAAACCTTTCAATATATGCTAAGGAAGGAAGTTATTAATGTTCTGTTGACAGTGTATTTAACTACACCTACTTGGAAATTTAATCATGATTCATGCATGAGAATATATATATATTCAAGGTGGAAACAACAATGGGTGGATAATTAAAAATTTTAGTTAAAAAAAAAAACAATTAATGGGTGGAGAAGAGATCTCTAATGATGAGACGGGAACTCGATTAATTATATGCAGAGTCAAATATACAAGAAGTAAAGCTCACACTGAGACTAGAAGATTTGTGTTTCTTATTTTTTATGTGCCACTTTAAGTTGTTTCCTCTCCTTCTCTTGTGATGTAAGGTTAAGATCAAAACCGATTCCGATGAGTTTAAACATTCTAAACTAGTTTAAGAGATTTTGTTTTTATCAAAACTTGTGTAATATCAAATTGTAATTAGAAATGAACACCTGTATATATATATATCTATACAAGATTGAATACATCGCCAAGTACAACTTTACAATATTTAAAAAAATCATGAAGTAAACATATGCTAATTATAATTAGCATATATATCATGAAGTGACAACTGACAAGGATCGTTATATCTACATCGTAGAGTCTCCAAGTTTAGAAAAATATACCAATAGAAGAACAATTATTATTATTAGTTCGTTAATGGAAAAAAGGAGAGCTAGGGAGATGATGGAAACTTCACTAGTCCCCAGGTTTTTTGAGATCCCAAGTATGCACAAGTCGCTCAGGTAACTGGTTTTTCTGGAAGTAAATGCCATCATTTCTAGCAATCCAGGTATAGACGCCTCCACGAGGCACTTTAGAGTCGTATTTGTAAATATCAAATTTTTTAATGTACTTCCACTGAGGTCCGTAGCCAAAGGTACACCAGAAGAGCGTCGTCCCCCAAAAGTTATCTTTGATGTTAAACCGATAATCTTTTCCGGCCGTAATAAACTGCCGACCTTGATCTTTGTTTCCGGATTTACAATGCACAAAGAGGAGATACTTATGTTTCCGTTCGAGATCGTTCTTAATGATTATCGGGTTTGAAAGATCGCTGTAAACCTTACCAATAAGGCAAAGGCCAAAAACAATTAGAAATAGTGAGAGATTTTTCATCCTTATTCTTCTTTTTTTCTTTTCAGATGTTTTTCAAATTTTTTTTTTCTTTTTGTGTGTTAACTTGTTCTTGTGTATTATATATACCATCTAGAAATTGGTATTTCTGGAAACCTATTTTCTTGTCTCTCAACTTTAGAAATTTCTATTTTTTTGAGTCAATGAATTTAGATTAAAGGTTAAAGACCCTGTGTTATTGTGCAGTTATTTTCTATTAAAAGTAAGATGTTTGTTGTAATATGAAAAAAATATCCTTCTTTTTATGAAAATAGATTTGACACGATGAAATATTATTTTGTATTTAGTAAATAATTAAATTGAAGCATCTATTGTATATATATAAAAAAAACAGTTAGATATTTATAAAGATTATGCTTATAAAATATGATATATAGGCTCCAAAAAGTTACATGAAATTTACAAATTGCAAAGCTTCCGAATTTAATTGATTACTTTTGATTCTCCATCAAGTTAACTTCACGTCTTTCGATTGTAGAGTCTAATAACAATGATTTCTAATATTCACATTTTTGTATATATAATGTAAATATGCTTATAGATCAATCAATAATTTTGTTGACTAAAATGTTTTCAATTAAAAGCAAGCAACCATACAAGAGCTATGGCAATTAAGCCAAGCAAGAGCTTAATGTAGATCAAACAATAAGCAAGAGCTTAATGTTATGAAACAATAGAATATCACATTTAAACTTTGCAAACCAATCCTTTACAAACAATTTTTCTAGTTGTTGAGAGAGCCAATGAGAAAGTGATCTTGCACTGCACAATCCAATCCATATTATGTCGCAAATGTTGATTCCATATTTAATTAGGCTACAACAAGATTATGTCGTCCAATTAGCCTTTAAATAAGGAGGGAAATTACCCTTATGGAAATAGATTCCATCGTCTCTAGCTAACCAATTGTACTTTGTGCCATCATCCGTAACGAACATTTTTACCGCTTTATATGCGGTAAACCTCCCATAACGTTTGTAATCAGGTCCTTTTTTAACCACGCACCAGAACTCTGTCGTCCCCCAGAAGTTAGTCTTGAAGCCGAATATCATAACTTCTTCAAATTTCAGATATCGTGGACCAACCATGTTGTTTTTCGATTTACAATACGCCATGAGGAGTCTATTGCCTTTTGGATTGAGTTCGTTCTTCACCGTTATGTAGGATTTGTCCCCGTATACATCATTACTCATGCAGAGGCCTAAAACAAACAGCAAAATTGAGAGATTGTTCATTTATTTTGAAAACTCTTTTTTTTTTTGGGATTTCTTTGCACGTAATAGTTATATATTTTCTTGTCGTGTTTAAAGTTTGTTTCCTTGTGTTTGAGGTATTATACTGACATTTTTTTGCATTTACTTTTGACTCTATTATTGTAATTTTTTCTATTTATATTTGAGGTAGTTGCGAAAACTAATTGATAGATATAGTTCACAAGATTCTGTGTTTTGGGTTTTTGGATAATTCATTTTATTTATACACGACTTTGCTCTTAAAACAAGATACCACGAAATAGTAGTTGTGAAATTATCCGTTTATGGTGGATTTTTTTGGTGTTTACGTACACGTCTATAACTCGTGCATGAAAACTGCATGTTGCTATTTTTATGTTTTTCTGTTATTAAGGTGTAGGCTAATTAGGTAATTTTTTTTTGTTTTTCTGTTAATAAGGTTTAGGGTAATTAGGTAGCAATTTATGATTATATATTTCTTACTATGAAATGTCATTGGGTTTTATATATGCAACAATTTTGAAACTATTACTGCAGTTTAACGAACCCATGAACATTATTGATTCGACCCCAAGTGTTGGGGAAAAAAGGACAAGACTAGTGATGATGAGCTTTTTATTTTAATTTTGGATAAGAAGAAATTAAACCCCGAAATGGTAAATCTGTACAAAATGGGTCAGAGCCATCGTGACTATAAGTTTCTTATGTACAACAAAACACGTCGATGGATTTCTTCTTATAAACAAGAAAACAATACAAACTTGTGGAACCAAACCATTCAGATCGTCTTAGTCTGTGATGTCGAAGTATCTTGGGTTTTCTGGGTAATGGTACTCCACATTCAACTGCGATACAAAGACAAACAAAAACGATTTATATAGTATATGTTACTTTAAAATGCTGTTTACAAAACGCAGGTCAAAGATGCAAATCTCCGTACGTACCTTTCCTTCATCGGAGTCTGTGTGGCGTTGAGGAAACACGACTCTCAAGTCGTTGTACAGATAGAACCTCCTTTTCCCATCTGAATCCAAGTTTTTCTTTTGCCCCGTAGTTTCGGTTTCGTCTGCTTTCTTTGAAGCTTTCTTGGGTAATGGGCAAATAAACCTCAGATGAAGAGCGTACCGTAGAGCACCAGAGCCACCGTTACATTCTTTGGACGACGACTTTGAACAGCTTTTCCCACTTTCGTGTAGCTTCTCAAATGTATCGTCTCCTTCCACTGAATCTGCTATATCAGATCCTCCACATTCTTTTTTGTTTCCATGTTTAGAGTTCTCCTTTTCACAGCTTTTGGCTTTTCTATCGTTCTCTTGCGTTGCTTCATTTGTTGGATTCGATGATCCCAGAGTAACCTTTTGCCGCAAGAACGTCTGCATAATACCAAACGAAAACCAGTTCAACAAAAGAAAACTAATATGTGCAAACTTCAATTTTTCGGCACAACAGAACATCCAGCAATGATCTAAAAGGCGAAGCTAAGATTGGAAATGAAAACAGCGACCTCATCATGTTCTGCTTGTGGCCTTATGCTTTCCTAGAAGCTACACTATTACTCTTCTGGCTATAGCATATACATTATATCAATTCATAATGATTTTTCTTTCTTGAACACAAAATCATGAGAACAGAGAGAAGACGCTACTGGAAACAGGTGTTATCTTTTATGTTAACATTACCTTTGTACCGGCAGGCATATCAGTTAAGTCATAGTTACAGAGGAAGGTGTGAAGAGGTGTTTTCTCAGGGTTGCTGAGAACCTGCATAAGAGCAGTTCATATCATGAGTGAACTGACATTAACGATTTGGATAGTTGCAGCTGTTTAGACCTCTATTGCAACCAACCCTCAAATGAGTGTTTAGCCACACCTTAATGATCCGATAGCATCTATATTACATGCAGAATGATAAAACAAAGAAGAAAGAAGATACCAGTTGAATCCGACCCTTCATGGGGATCCGCAGTTGGCTCTTGGAGCTCTGAGCATCAGAGTTGATTTGACTTGCTTTCAATTTCTGGCCCCAAAATTTGTTTGACTTTGATCCTCCCGCGAGATCTATGGAGGCATAGTATAGCAAGAGGCAATCATCACCGACACTGGTTACTGAGAATGGAAGCTTCTGTGATTTGGGGGAGATGTTTCCCGCAGCAATACTAAGAACGGCTAGAAAACCATCAATCTTCTGTACCAAAAAGACAACACAAGTCAAGAGTCTAAATTAGCTTAGAGCTTTTACTAAGCAGGATGATGATAACAACAACTGTTGCCTTTTGGTTGTTGCATATACATTCGTCTGTTATAGCCAGTTTTACCAGTCCTCAATTTCTAAAGCTGCACATTTTTCATTCATAAAGTGAGTCATAAAAGCATCAGAGTAGAAGATGAAAACCTGATTCGTTGTCCCGCATGACAATCTTCCTGTCAAGAGTGACTCTTCGAAAGAACCAACCAATGACCTCTGAATGGGGCGTCCACTCAAGCTTCTACTGAACCTTTTACATGGAGACACAGGAGCTGATTCTATACCTCTCTCCATTGAAAACGCTCTCCTCAGAGCATATGCATCATCAAACAACCTACGGTTAACCCTTAGTTCTGCTTCTTCACTGGTATTCCTTAGCTCTTCAACTACCTTCCCATTTTGGCCACTTCTTAAAGCTTTTATTCTCTCAGAAATCTTCGGACCAAGTGGTGAGAGAGATAGCGGCGGAGAGACAGATAAATCCTTATCACAAGGTAAGTGCATATTTGGTATGCCAGATGTTTCATATACCGGTGAATATAAGCAAACCTCACCTTTTGTGGGTCGACGGAGGTCCACAGAATCAAGCAATGGACCATCAGTGAAGACCATGGACGAGAGTCTACCACTGTTTGAGGCATTCTTCCATTCCCAGCAAGTAGATGCGGCGGTGGTCGTAGGAGTGGTAGAGAGATGCTGCAACCCACCAGCGAGATTGCAGAATCCATTAGAGACACCAGAACAAGTAATTTGTTGGTGGTTACTAGAGCTGATATCAAGCAGGTCACCTCTGAATTTTACAGGGAAGAGAGTATTCAGAGGGGAGAGCCCTCGTTTCCTGACTAACGCTCCACCAGTAACAGTGGATGTTTGAGAGTGATCAACAGCGACACTCGTTGGTTTGCTTTCCAGTGAACTAGTTTCGCTTGATGCAAAGCCAACTATCCTTCTAGCTCCATTTAGACTCGAACTAACCTTATCTGCAGCATAGCTAGTCGATCCATGAGAACTTGACGAGGTAACGACACGAGTCCCAGGGAATCTACACGAACCATCTGTGAACTCCAGAGGCTCCAGTGATGTTTTCCTGTCAAACTCTCCAATGGAAGAGCAGATGCCTCCTTCGCTTCCTCTGTTAAGGCTATCTGAATCATGGGGAGTGGCGTACACAGGCAGACTTTGCGAAACACTGCAACTCGGAGCAGACGAAGCTTCATGGGATTGTTCACTTGAAGCAGTCTGTGGCAGACCCATACCCAATTCTCAAAAAGGGCTTTATCAGATAATAAGTTACCGTCACGTGAGGTACCTTCTTGGAACTTGTGAGATGTCAGTTTCCAAATCCCTACGAACTACCAAATCCTTGCAATAACAATAATGACTAGCTCTATGATCTATCTCTAGAAGAAGAAATTTGAATCTACAACTATGTATCAGTCACAGGCATCCACAGCTCGTGCATTGCTTGCTTACTAACCCGCATACAAGAAACCAAACACTTGTAATTAATTCGACAGTGGTTTATGTCAGAGCGTCCTGGAGCTACATGGAATTTGAGGGTGACGAATACAGTGTTCATTGCAGTCACACTTTCCTGAAAAGAATAAGATAGACAAACCGAATCAAATTACATATCAAACACTATGACATAGCACAAACCTAAAGTTGTTCAGAGAGATTCTTAAGCTTAAGCATCAATAGAACACAGTTGCACAGGTTTCAGTCAATACAGAATGATAAGAAATGATCAAACAGATCATGATCCGGAAACATTCGTCATCAAACTAAATTACTTTTTAACAAGTGTTTTATAGTTTTCAGCAAGAAGAAGAGGAAATCAAACAATACCAGCCATTCATGAAAAGTGTAAAACAAAATCATGATTCGTAAACCAAAACCATCCTCACAGTGAATAAGTTTCGAGCAAACATCACTATAACACACGTGTATCAGTTTTTGAGCAAAATACAAATGATCAAACACTGCCACAAAATCTTCCCAAAAGAAGAAGAAGAAGTGATCAAACATATCATGATCCACCTGCTGTTCTTAAAAGTTTGGAGCAGATCATGAACGCAACACGATGAACCAGAGATTGCACGGAATAAACTCGCGATCAAATCGATCTGATCAATTGGTACTTAAACAAAAAAAATGTTTCTCAAAGAAGACAAATCCCCAGAAAACAAAGCAGCTCATCAACATCACCACCATCAACAACAACATCGTAAACTCACAAAAACGATGCAACCACGAAACTCGGATTAATCAAAAATACCGAAAAGGAGAAGAGAGGAACTAAAACAAATAAATAGAAACGTCCGAGATGAAAAGACGCACCGGTTAAGCAATGGATTACGAATATCTGTTCAAGAGAACATTTCAGAAGAAGTCCAAAATCGGAATCATTCACATAAAACCCTCTGGATCGATTATCCAAACTGAAATCGAATGAAGAAGAGGAAGAGGAAGAGATGAATCCAAAAGGAAGAAAGAAAAAAAGAATATTGGGGTGAGAGAGAGAGAGAGAAGCAGAGAGGCACACCTCTTGTTCCCTTATCTTTCGTATGTTTATAAACAAATCCCAATAACTCATCGCCATTACCATAGCTCTCCTTTTCTTTTTCTTCTAATTAAACATTTTCTCATTAACGTTTTGTTTTATCGAGATACGAATTTCCCAGATTAAACATTCTTTTTTTTTTCCGTTAATCTACGGATTTCCATTCTTTTGATTTAAAAGAAAACAGGGAATTTGGCAGGAAAACAATACATTTATACACGCATTACTTCTACTTTTGTTATATTAAATTATTTTTAAACTTACCGATTTGCGTTTTTATTGTTTTACCGACACACAAAATATTGCGACTCCAACAACGAACAGAAAAAAAATGGTTGGTTTTTCTGTTTTTAAACAATAAAAAAAAGACAGGGACAAAAGAAAAGCTGTTGAGAATTTGGATGATCTTTTTTCTTTTGCCCCTTCTCTGTTTCACAAGTCTTATCCCTTACTGGGCCATAAATGTTGGGCCCACATACTAGTGGATCTATAGAAGAAGCCCATCTAACTCACGTGAGAGACGACGACAGATGGATGATTCCCATCCACCCATGTAGATGTTCTCAGTAGCAGATTATGAGATAAACGCCGAAACACTAAATTTTTATGCAATATGCTCAATTTCTGTGTCGATGATATACAATATAATCATATGACCTTTTCAAAAACCTAAAAAATTGACAGATTTTACGATTGCATGAGTGAGAGGGAGTAAAAATCGACCTAGAAAGGTCGAGAAGCTTCTTCCATCATTTTCTTCACTCTGGTCATCTTCTCGATTTCCTTCAACACCTGAAATACATTGTTTCAAAAACTTTTCGAATTCGTAATCATAACATTAACAAGAATTAATCATAAAGCTGAAGACTTACTTCCAAAGCAATGTCTTCAGAAGCTAGTGTTTCCACGTCTTCACATTCCAGCTTTGTAGCTATTCCTATTTTCAAGTACAAAAGCAGCATCAGTCATAAAAATAAAAATAAAAATAAAAATGTCAAGGATATTATTATGGACTTAGGAAAAATCCTTACTTTGAAGGGAAATTGTTGCATCTGCTGTATCGTAACCTTTTCTTGATTTTTCGTAACTCGCTTTTAGCGCATCAAACAACTGTGTGCATCATCCATCATGTGAAAGTCAGTTTCTTTGTAATAACGCCAACATAGAAAAACTTTAAGCAGTTCATAGGAACGAAAGAAGAAAGACCTCAGGGATAGGTTCTGAGTTGAATGAATCATCCCCTTTAGCTGCGACATCCAGAGGAACATCGATCCATATGGAGATCCCGTGTCTTAGAAGTGCACTGCTCAAACATATACGATCAAATGAGAACAGACAGATTATAAATTCAAAAGTCTGAGCAGAGTGTGTATGAATTCTAAAAGCTCGAGCTGCTAGAGAGAAAAACTACTGCAACTTATAGAGAACATACAGATTTGTCAAGCTCTGGACCGCACCATCTCCAGCGCAAACTACAAGCCGACCCATAGATGACAGCTGCTTCAGCACTTCAGTCTGTAGAAACATGTTGGAGAGTCAAATCATCAAAAAAAACCATTATGTAGCTTTATAGATTTGATTCGATCAAACCATCGAGATTACCTCTGATTCCTGAAAAGCCTTCTCATCAGCTTCCTTTAAAGCTTGAGCGGACGCATTTCCACCAGCCGCCTCTGCGATCAAATTATCACTACGCAATAAGAGTTGACTAAAGTTAGGGATAACGTGAAAACAAGAAAAGCAGACTGAGATTCTAATGAAGTTACGAGTGCGTACCTATCAAAGTAGTAATATCGTAATGAATCAGCCAAAATCTTCCCCAACTTCGATTTAATGGGGTTATTAATCCCTACATCAGGTCGTTAAAAGCTCAGAAGTCAGTGTGCGTCCATATGAAGTAAACAGTTTGTATAAAAACTGGAGCCAAGTCGGCCTTACCAACCAGAAATATTGAAGCTCCTTTGAGTGCAGGGGCTATGTCCATAGCTTTCCTCTGAGTTTCAGACGGAAATGGTTAAAAAGTAAGAGGAAGGATACATTTGTAAGCTGGTTCTGTGAAAAATCTCACCTGAACAGCGTCAATGGGATCCGAATCAACAACACTGATCCCTACTCAACAAACAATAAACCGAGAAGATAACCCGTGTAAGCAGCAATGTAACAATCAGGTGATAAACTTGATACAATTTCATCGTTTTCTCGAGCAGCCATCAACTCATGTGGGAGAAAAATCAAGACAAAGAGCAGCAGAAGTATGACTAATTCAGCGTCAGACATATCGTCGAACACTTTTCAATTAAGCAAATTGAGGAAATTAGCGAAACAAATCAATCAAGAGTCAGTGAGTGACAAATGACAAACGATTTCGCTAGAGTCTAGGCATCTCTTAGATTCCTAATTAGCGCTCGAAAAACTAACCGGTAAGCGCAGACTGGTCGGCGAGACACCGTGACGGAGCTATACGCCTGTGAGAAGAAATGAGTTTAACGGAGGAAGAAGGCAGAGACGGCGCACAGGAAGTGGTTCGAGCTTGAGGATAGAACAAGGGAAAAAGACGAGGAACGAGTCCAGAGGAAGTTAGAGAAGCAGACGCAGAGATCTCCATTGACGACGACGAACGAACTCGTTCTCTCCTCTCGGGTCCCTAGATATCCGCCACGTATGTCTCCCTATAGAATGAGCTCAACGTGATAATTTTCTTTTACCATATTTTCCGGAAATTAAAATAAATAAAAAATGAAAAAGGAAAAAATGTTGTTTAAATACCGAAGTTTCAAATTTTAGCCCTTTTAAGCCTGACTTTGTGTTTGCCCCGTTTAAACAATATCCTTATTCATTGCTTTTTATTTAAATTACTAACTTGTATTGACCATGCCAAATTAGACACCACGTTAAGTCGCTAAACAGACTGATTAAAGCCGTTAAACCTCCCGTCAGATTCTCTGTTAAGTGGAAACGATATCGTTTCATGAACAGAAAATCCCCAACTCGTCGATCCCATATTAAATCTCCCCCAAATCAGAAAATCTCCAAATCAATAACCCTAACATTCTAAAATCGGCTAATTCATCTCCAAATCCCTAAATTGACGATTTCTGGATTTCCCTTCTGGTTTATCCTTTCTTTTCTATCATCAATGGCGTCTTCTTCTTCTGAACAATTTTACGACAGTGAAAATGAAATTCGAGGGTTTCCGTCGAAGTGTGCATGTGGTTTAGGGGTAATGATTCTGACATCTAAAACACAAGAGAATCCCGGAAGGCCATTTTTCCGTTGTGTACGCCAAAGAGACAGGAGCTTACCTCAAAATAAAAGAGATGTAAGTATTTTTGTTGAATTCGTTGTGTTCGATGTTTATGTGTCAATATTGACATTTATTTGTGTGACTATACGACAGGGGCATTTGTTTAAGTGGGTTGAGGATGCTGTGTTTGAAGTGGTTGAAGATGGATTACCGATCATCCGAGGAATCGAGAGTGAGATTAGCATTGCAAAATCTGAGGTTGAAGAGTTAAAGGTTTTGATTGGAGGACTGAAAGAAGAAGTAATGTCGAGCAAAATGGAAATCCGTAAGTTGAAAGTGACGAACACATTATGTTTGGTCTGTCTTTTCATCATGGCTTGTGTCATTGTCTACATTTGGATTTACAGAGGAAAGAAGACCAAATATGTCCTCGGTTATTAGTGTGAGGAGAATGATTTGTACTCTCTTCGTTGTAGTGTCTTTGTTGTAGTCTATTAGGCAAAAATTTGGGTCTCTTTCGCTTATGTCTCATTGTACTCTTTGTTGTGTTTGGTTTAGAATTGGTTTCATCTTTTATCTCTTTCATCTGTGTCTCATTGTACTCTTTTTATTTGGCTTTACTGTAATCGGATTAAAGAATGAATGAGATGCATTTTGTTTCATTTGTGTCTTCTGTTTAGACAAACAAAATTCAAAATATTTTGTTCTTGATGAGAGAATTAAACCTTGTTCACACAAACAAAAACCAATCCGAATGAACACACAAACAAAAGCAAAACAAATAAGCAATCTGACTCAAAACATCAACAAAATCAATCTAATTCAAAACATTAACAAATGCAATCCGGTTCAAAACATCAACAAAAGCAATCCGATTGAACACACAAAAGCAAAAAACAACAAAAGCAATTCATAACAACAAAGCAATACATCATTTCATAGAAGCTTTTGCGATCATTGTTCTTGTGAAACCCTATGTGCTTGACGCTGAGATCCTTGTAGCTGCAATACTTGAGGCTGCGATCCTTGTGGCTGCGATACTTGAGGCTGCGATACTTGAGGCTGAGATCCTTGTGGCTGAGATTCTTGAGGCTGAGATCGTTGTGGCTGCGATCGTTGAGGCTGAGATTGAGGCTGAGATCCTTCTATTTCTATTCCTTCCTGGTTTATGAAAGTATATGAATTGATCGTATCATATTGCAATACAAATATGTAGTAAAGAAACTATATGAATTGACATAAATAAAGACACAAACCTGGTATTTCCTTGGTCGACCCCTTACTCTTTTTGGAGGAGGCTCAACAGTTTGATTTGAACAACTTTGCTTGTTGTGTCCCTCTTCCAAACAATTTGAGCATGTCACAATTCTTCTCGCTCGTGATAACTTTGTTGTACTTGAGGAAGATGCAGATTCATACCTTGATCTTCTTCTTGCATACTCACTTGGTCTACCAGGATTTCCAAATCTCCATGGTGGTGGCAATACAGGTAACCTATTCAATCTACACCACAACTTCATGCCTTGAACAGGCCTGATACCATTCCGATAAGTTTCCTGCCACATTATTTTTGTGTAATAAAGATTCACATACTGTTCAACCTTCTGCCTCTTTCCTATGATAACACTAGCTGCATGAGCGCATGGTATACCAACCATTTGCCACTTTTTGCAACCACATGTTAAGTTGTTCATGTCCACGGTATATGCAACACCATGCAACTCGACCTCGTGCAATTCATTTCTCGCCATATGTCTTATGCAATGTTGCGCTCCTGCAATCATTTTCTCTATCTCATTGTGAGCTCTTTTTGTGAATAATGTCTTTAACCTTCCAGTAATAACGAACCTCTTTGCATTTCAAATCATACACTGTCGCCTAATAGCCTCTAATAGTTCCAGCAAAGGTTTTCTTCTTGCTTGACGAATGGTTCTATTAAAAGACTCACTCAGATTGTTCAAATTGTCATTACAGCAAGATCCAATCCTAAAGTAAGCCCTAGACCACGTCTTAGGTCTAGTGTTGTGTAGGGAAGCTAAAGCCTGAGGATTGTACCTTCCTAATTCTTCCATATGTTCTGTGAATTCTCCTATGGTGTAGCTTCGTGCTATCTTCCAAAAAAACCTTTCTAGTTCTACATCACGACTGTCTATCTTCCAGTTATTCATAATGTGTCTAGCACATTGTCTATGTTCAGCTTTAGGAAGAATATTACGAATGGCTTTTACAAGACCCTGCAAGGTGGTAAATAAACTGTTACATGTGATTGTGATTGCAAAACGAGAGCAATATATAAACATGAAATGATATATAATGATACTAACCGACTGTTTATCTGATATCAATGCAACCTTGTCTCCATCAACAAGACCCAAACTTCGACTTAGCTGTCTCACAAACCAGTCCCAATTATCATCATTCTCTACTTCAACTACTGCCCACGCTATAGGCACTATTCTGTTGTCTCCATCTCTTCCAACTGCGGCTAAAAGATGACCTTTTATATCCCATTTCAGAAATGCCCCGTCTAAACCTATAATAGGTCTACAAATAGCTTTCCAAGCCTCTCGTTGCGAATGGAAACAGACATAACAGCGAAAAAACCTCTGTTTACTTCCAACAATTGGCCCTGGAACTGTTTCAATTTCAAATTCAGTGTGTGGATTAGACTCAAATACCTCTGCTTGATAATCCCAGATTCGGGCAAAGTGGGCTTCGTGACTTGATTTCCTCTCTTTCATCAGTTTTGTCTTTGCCTTTGCACATTGCTCATCCGTTACTTCTAAGTTGTATTCTCTCAAAATCTCAGCAGCCATCTCTGTCTTTGTAATCTTTGGGTTCACTCTCAATCTTTCAGTAAACAGCCAAGCAATTGTTGAACGCTTGAGCATCTTAGAGTGACCCGATCTGATGCAGTTATGCTCGTTCACAAAAACCTTGATTTGCATTTTATGCTTCCTCCTCTCGTACGAGCAATACACTCTCCACGGACACTGGCTATCTGTATCAGAGCACTTCGCACCAAGCTTCAAAGCCTGTGACCTGTAGAGCTTGATGTCGTATCTGGTTTTCAGAGAGTACCTTGGAAGGGCAAGCTTGAAATCTTCTGGAGTATTGAACATTTTCCCCAACACGAGGATTACATCAGGGTCCTGAATCTCTCGCTCTCTACGCCTTTCGTTATTCTTTTCTTCTTCGCCATTCACGTCATCTTCAGAGTCGGATGACACAGGGTCGGGGATCTTCTCATCATCCCAGATATCATCTCCACTATCTGCATCACTCGCCCCTTGTTCATCATCTCTTGCAGCCTCTCCAAAGTACTCTACCAAGTCTCCACATTCTTCTTCTTCTAAAGCTGGTCCAAACGTGTTTCTGTTGTTCTCATCACCTTCGTCGCTAACGTCATCGAAATCCTCGTCACTAACAACCGCACAGTTTTTTTCTTCTTCATTCGCATCAACATTGTCTCCAATCGCATCAACATCAACCTCTGCTTCAAGTTCGACTTCAACTGAATCTGCTTTGGGTGCTTTGCGTTTCGAAGCAATCTTCTTTAGTTTTCCTTTCGGCGGCATTGAGAAATCGATATCGATTATCGATTTCGATTGAAGATTTCTGTAATTTCGATTGGAGATTTTCTGATTTGGGGAAGATTTAATATGGGATCGACGAGTTGGGGATTTTCTGTTTATGAAACGATATCGTTTCCATTTAACAGAGAATCTGACGGAAGGTTTAACGGCTTTAATCAGTCTGTTTAGCAACTTAACGTGGTGTCTAATTTGGCGTGGTCAATACAAGTTAGTGATTTAAATAAAAAGCAATGAATAAAGATATCGTTTAAACGGGACAAACACAAAGTCAAGCTTAAAACGGCTAAAATTTGAAATTTCGGCATTTAAACAACATTTTCCCAAATGAAAAACTATGCATTACGGGATATGTTCTTTTTAATTGTTTTTTTATATACGATTAAGGTCGTATCGTAGTAAAAGAAGGCAAAACTCAAGGGGATTAAAAAATGAAAAGAGGATTAAGAACAGAGGCTTCAGATTTACAATGGAACAAAAAAACGAAGGAGAATACGGACTTAACTAAAGAATAATACATATTCTGACTACACTATATTCACTTATGGCGATCTCTGATTCTCTACAACCAGCGTTTTGGTCAAACGCGGCGCTGCAGCTTCATCGTTCGATCAGCTTTCCTACTCCTGCATGATTAATAACCTATGGAGGTTTCAATAAATCCACAAACAAAGTCCATATATGAATTATGCAATTCAATATATTTTTTTTGTTTCTTCTATATGAACCTACATTTTTAAGCGTCATTCCAAACGCCAAACGCAAGCAAAACGTACAGTCGAACATTCCTTTTGCGTTTAGCGTTTGAGCTTTATGAAAAACTGAGAATGTTTTTCATTTCAAATTGTTTAGACTTTCTCTCAATCTTTTCATGTAAACGCATAAATGGCGTTCGAAACAATCGAAAACGAAAACATTTTTTCGTTGCATCTTACCTCTGATTTGACTGGTCTGAGCAGCAACTCCCGTGGGCTCAAGTGGCCTAGACAGGCTCATTGGTGTTAACGGTGGGGACGCTACTCTATCTCCGTTCCTGTCGACAGCTCGTTGAGCAACGTCTCTGTGGTTTCTTGAAGGTATAGAGTAGCTTCGAGGAACGACCAATGGAGGAACCGGAAGCGGCGAGGCCACAATGTTGGTGGTGGACGGAGGAGCAAGAGTAAGAGTGTTGTTTCTTTCTTGGTTCCATCCGGTCAGAGGCGCCGAGTGACCAACAAGAACAGGGGATTTGGCTCGTCTTGGCGGTGGTGCAAAGTGGCCTGGTGGTCTCGGAAGCTCGTGAAGCGCGTTAAGCCTCGGGGAGGAGGAAGAAGCAGGAGGTGAAGCGGTAGGGGAGACTCTCGGAGAAGATGATGAATGAGGATGAGGTTGGGGTACAGGAGGAGTCGGCAGAGGACAAAACGCGCCGATAATGTCCGTGGTAGTGACCGGTTTAGTCGAGGACGGTTTGAGAGGTCCGGAAAATGCATGTCTTACCGAAGCTTGGTGTTGATGATGATGATGATGCGTGTCTGTTGTAGAAGGACGAGGAAGACGGGCGTAGTGGCTGTTGTTATCCGCGTCTTTCCCATCTTTCCCGGTTTTTATCGGTTCTAACGGAGATGAATGCCATATGTTTCCGGCGCTGTGGTTTGCTGGCCTAGGATTTAAAGCCTGGGAAGCCGGTTTTATATACCTTGAATCGCTTGGTGTCGGTAATACGTAAGCATTGGAAGAAGGATTCGTCTGTCTCAGTCTCTCTGATATATCCGGTTTCTTTTCCGGGAACAACGGTGCTGAATGGCTGGTCATTCTGTTATTGCGGGTTGAAATCGGGTTTTCTTCTCTGTGATCAGCATTTACCTGGAATCACCAATGAAATTGTCGCAGTTTAGAAAAATTTGTTACAAAAATGGTTATACAATAGTCTTATAGAGATCAAAGGAAAATAAACTTACTGCTGATGCTCTTGTTGCAGAAGGACGAGGAAACGAGGGGTCTGTATCGTCTATCTGGAGGAAAACAAAAGAGTATGAAATCATTCCGCCGAGTCATGTTGTAGAGGTCTGTACGTTCCTTGTCATTTTCAAATTCGACTTACCTTCGTTGAGCCCCATGGTGTAGAGACAGAAGCAGCTTCTACCCTCTGCTCATTTGCTCTGTAAGCAAAACTCAGTTCTTCTCTTTCATCATCATCACCATCATCATCATCCTCACTAGCTTCCATTTCGTTCTCATGAACAGAGAGATCACAGTCAATGTGTTGTTTTTCTGCAGAAACTCTTACGTGACGCTCTACTGACTCAAGCGATTTCAATCCAGTGTGAAACAGACGCATCTAAAAGAATCATTAGAAAAGGAAAAAATAAAAAGAGAGTCAAGAACACATAAGTACAACACCAAATTTCAATGAGAAATGCAATACAGAAATTGAGTTTAATATTTACCTGAGCAGTGTGGTGACGCACTGCTTGTGTGAGGAGACTACGAGCTTGTCCTTCTTTAAGAGATTTCAATCGAAAAATGCACATTGTTGCTTCGTCATGAAACTCATTGTAAGCAGGTCGAGACTCGGGAGGAATATGTCTCTCTCCTTTACTGCTTTTAGGCCTTCCTTTATCTTTCACAAGCGCCATCTCAAACACATTTCTGAGAAGTTTACAGGTAAACAATTTAAAACAAGAGTTTAACAAACTATAAAATAAAAACTTCAATAGTGAAAATTAACAAACCTCTTCTCGTCGCATTGTTGCTTCATATCCTGCTCATATTTCAAAGAGAAAAGAATGAGTAAAAAGAAAAAGTAAAGCGTTTCTTGAATACAAGAGTAGCAAATTATGGTATGTATATATACCTCAACAGTTCTGAGGTCCTTGAGAAGCGCTTCTGATGGGGCAGTAATGGTTTTGAATATATGACTACGCTGAAGAACAAAGACACCGTGACAAGGTAAGTTTATTGAGAGTAATAAAATAAAGCTTCTTGCGGAATTCATGTTTGCAAACAAACAACTTACATATGTGTCAAGAAGTCTTTGGAGCTCAAACTGAACTTTACCCAACATAAACAAGACTCTACCTACATAATAAAACAATGTTACAATTCAGCAGACTATTACATATGAAAGTAAAGATTCTATAGTATAGGCTAATCTTTAGCGTTTACCACTTTCTTCGTCGTTATGAGGCGCGATAAGCTCCAAACAAGAACCCATCTCTCCCAATGATTCAGAGAACTCTGAAATTTCCAAAGTATAACAATAAGAATTTTTTACCACAAATTAGCATACTTGCATACTTGCATATGATACCAAATGTATCTTTTTTTACCATAAGCGCTATTTGCAGTGGCAGCAGCTGCAGCGAGTAGTCTATCGTAGCAGTCTCTCATGTCTTGCATATCCTGAGATTCATAATTATTATGACGATTCCATTTAAAAGTCAAATTTAATGGCTAAATAGTGTTTCGTGAATAATAATTCATGAAACTACCACTCAAGGCAATAAATTTAATGACTAAATAGTAGGTTTATACACCCAAAATCTCATCTAAGTGATCGGAATTTGCTACCTAATCGAGAGTTGCTAAATTGGTACGAAACGGAGAAAAATAGCTCCAAGTCCCGGAAAATGCTTTCGGATTAAGCATTTTCCGGCCAATTAACCTCAAAAACTCGATCGAACGATGAAGAATTTCCAAACTAACTACACCACCAAAGCATAAACCCTACTAAAATCTCTACAACTCCGAGAGAGAGAGCAACAAATTGTGAAAATTCTTAGGTTTAATGAAGCATCGGAATATACCTTCCCGGCTCGAGCGAGTTCGTCAATCTGTGCCGTAGCCACGAGCTCTCCTTTCTCCTTCGCATCGACTTTATGCGATGTCAATCTCCTTAACCTCTCAATCGACGCTTTCATCGTATTACTCACTGTCGAACTAAAAATCAACCCTACACTTTTGAAATTCCCAGCCACAATTGAGAGAAAATCCTCTGAGAGATCGGTTTTTTCTCCTCCTCGACCTCGGGATCGAAATTTCCAAATAAGTGAGAAGAGATGTAGATGATAGAGACTAAGCAGAGAAAGAGAAGAGAAGAGAAAGAGTGAGATTCAAGTATCGTCGGATGAGTTCAACGACATTGAAGAGAAAGAAGGAAAGAAAAAAACGAAGAACAAACAAAAAAAATCAAAAATTAAGAAAGTCCAAAAAAATTTCTTCTTGGAAAAGGTTTGGTCAAAATAAAACAGATCGAAACAGAGAGACGGAGACGGAACCCAGATAACAGCAAGAGGAATGATCCAACGGCCCAAATCTCTCGCTGGGAATTTATCTGAGAGGTGAAGGGACACGTGGCCATATCGTAACGGATGAAAGAGGGAATGGGGGAGAAGAGTCAAAAGTCAAAGATTGATGACAGGGAAAGAAAGGGATTATCATTATTTGGGTTTGACCGCCAGTGGGAGGGTCAAACATCTCTTCCCTTTTTTTGACAAGTAAATTAATTGTTTCTTTTGAATCGGACAAAGTATTTAATTAGATCAGATATTTAATATCAGATATTTAATATCCGAGTTTAATTGAACTCCAAAAATCTGTTTGCGGTTAATGTACATCTAAGCTCCAAAATCTATTTTAGAAAAGTAATTTAAATTCGAAACAACTAATTATTTAATTAATAGTTAGGGTTTTGTCATAATATTAGTTTGATGTTTATTTTTAAAAACATGATTCTACTCGTGACAAAAAAAAAAGGTGGTTCTACATTTATGATAAAAAAATAACATGGCTCTACTTCTATTAAACTTAATAAATTTAATTATAAAGTTGTTTTTTTATAATCATCAAAATAATCATCAAACTTGTATATAAAAATCATTAAGTAACTTTAAAGACAGCTCTTTTCAAAAAAAAAAAAAAATTAAAGATAGCAATATAATACAGGAAAAATTAGAGATAACTTTTTAGAAAATTAAACGAATAACCAAAACTTTGTCTTCCATTATATATTTTACATATTTTTAAAAATAACATTTTGTATAGACTGAGTAGAAAAAGGCTCATTTGTTAATGTCTTGATCCTTTATTTCTTTATCTAAAAGTGTAAAACTTAAATCTTCGTATTCAAATCATATGATGAGATGTGCATCAAGTCAAATCACATTTTATATGATTTGTTTCACTTTTTCGACATTTAAAATATAATATTGCGATTAGAACAAAATATTAGAGATAAATAAAGCGAATAAGCAAGTTGGCTACACAATTATAACATCAAATTATCGATGAAGGGACAGATAATGGGAAAATTGAATGAATCCTAACCAAGTCGGTAAGTATGAAGGACCGAATGGTGATTGAGGCCAGTTGACAAATTGGAAGACGATGGACGATCTAAACCGGTGTATTTGCTGCGGATCTTTGACGATTGGAGCTACCAAATTACAAAAATAAAATAAAAAGAGATCGAGAAAACGATGAACGATCTAAACCGGTCATCCAAATTTAGTTATCCCTACTATTGTGTAGTCTCGGTTTGGGTGTATTTCGGTGATAGTAATAAAAATTTCTTTAGCGGTAAGAGATTTGGTATAAGATAAATATTAGTTATGGTAGTATTGTAGTATCGACAAATGACGGCAACTTAGTGTTATACCAGTACGATAAAAATGATATTACAATAGACTGTTTAATGGAATAGGATAAACTCTGTTACAAGATCGTTTAGATATTCTTTGACCGTGTCTTTTGTATATCTCTTGTACTGCGTAACGGATATCCATATATATCGTTGTAACCGTTTATTTCAAGTGAAGCAAAATATATACAACATTCATGCCTTGCTTTTGGCTTCTCATGGCCTTCAAATCTTCGTCGCTCTCTACTAAAGAGCTATCGTACGTTCTGTGTGTAACGACGCGTCTGCGTTTAAACTGCGATAGCATTCTGCAAACTCAAAGGCTTAAATCAGGAGAGATTTTTACCAGCAGATCTTTTTCTTCACTTCAATTCTTGCCTTGATTGTTTTCTCTATCAACGACTATGGAACGATGGTATGGTTCTACTTCTTTTTGTGGTATCCTTTTTTAATTTTGATAAACCTCTCTAGGGTTTTTCTTAACGTAAGCTCCAAGTCAAACCAACTCATGTTCGTTTTTTTTTTTTCTTGTTCTTTTTACTGCAAAAGCGGTGGTAAAAGTTTGAGAAATGGAATTGTTGCTAATGAGGACAGGATCAGTCAGTTACCTGAAGCTTTGCTTCTTCGGATATTGTCTTTGCTTGAAACGAAAAATGTCATAGCAATGAGCGTTTTGTCTAAACAATGGCGGTCTCTCTCGAAGAAGGTTTCGAATCTCAAGTTTATATGCTCGCTCACAAATGATCTCGAGACGTTTTCAGATTATGTTTGCAGGGTTTTGCTTTCACATCAGGCTTCGGTTCTGCAGAGTTTGAATCTCAAAAATCAACCGTAGGATAAATTTGGATATTGGAATGTTGATTGGAATTGCATTTGGACTTCATGTGCGTAAGTTTGTACTCGATGTTATGGTAATAGCTGCGGAAGCTTCCTTGTTCAGATTTCCTAGAAGCATGTATATATCACTGTGAAACACTAGAGACCTTAGAACTCAAGGGCTCCATTCTTGTAGATGTCCCTTCTCCCGTTTGTCTTAAAAGTCTCTCAAAAATCTACACCTCGATGATGTGCACTACAAAGACGAGGAATCACTTGTCAACCTTTTTTCCGGCTGTTCTAGACTTGAGATGCTGTCGGTTTCTCGATATTCAGATGATGGAGTGAAGACTTTCACTGTTTCGGTGCCATCATTACAGAGGCTACTACTTCTTGATGACGGTGGTCATAAGCCTTTTGTCTATGTGATAAATGGTCTTTCTTTGAAATACTTGAAGATCGAAGGGTTTGTAGGTTTCGAGTCTTGTCTGATTGAGAATGCACATGAGCTTGTGGAAGCAGATATTAACATCTCCAGTATAATCTACATGGGATCCTTCACTTCAGCCAGACGTCTTTCCTTAAAATCAACCAAGCATGTAAGCTTTTTCTTGCAATTTTTGAGTTACTTACTAATTATTGCCTTGCTTGTTTTCTATATTAACACTTGCCTCATACGTAGATCGCATATTCTGCTGGTACCATCTTCTATCAACTGGTATGTTTGAAGGTAGATCTATATGACGCTAGCTGGTGGAATCTACTTACACTATTTCTCTGTGGTTCTCTTAGATTACAAGTCCTCGAGATCACCGATGTAAGTTCATCTTTCATAACATTTTCCAGTTCGGTTTCATGGAATGATGATCTTAATGTATATCTACATTGTGTTTACCCCTTCTTGGTTTCAGATGCATTGCTGTAACGAATTAGATCCTGAGGACAATCAGGAATGGAACGAACCAAAGGATGTTCCTGAATGTTTGTTGCTCCATCTTGAGACATTAGTGTGGAAAAATTACAGAGGGCAAACAGAAATGGAGAAGGATGTGGTCAAGTTCATCCTGGGGTCATTTGAAAAAGGCAACTTTCTCGAGAGTAGGCGGCATTGATCCAGAAAAGAAACTTAAACTGTTGGAGGAATTGGGAAATGTCGTCAGGGCTTCAAATTCAAGCCAGCTTGTGCTCAATTGAAACGTAGAAGGAGAGTCTATAGTTATCAGTCACATGCAACTTTTACTATGAGACATTTCTTAGTTTGAAATTTGTATGTTGAGTTTTAAATTTTCGATTCTAAAAATCCCGGAGAAGTATTTTATAGAGAGCAATTTTAAATTTCTTTGTTATTTATAACAGTGTTATATTGCTAATATGACTAGAATCATTTTCATTAAACATATAAAAATGAATTATTGTTACTAAAATAATTACATATTATGTCACTCACATTAATTTGGTTAGGCAATAGTCTATATCAATAATTTATGATTTTTTTTCTTTTTTTTCCTTATGAAATATATCATATTTATTATTTATATAAACACTATATTTTTTCTTGTATTTTTGTTATTCTATGCATATAATAAACACTATATTTCTTCTCTTATTCCAAATACTTAAAGTCTTTAATGCTTGTTGGCATTTGGAATAACATATTAAAAAGAAAATTATTCTATTATGGATATTAATTAAAAAAAAATCCCACAGAATTAAAGACTTTAGCTCTTATATGTAAGAAAAACATGTCTTTAAAAAAAAACTCTGTGCAAGGATGTTTAAGGCATTTGTGAAAACCGAACCGAAGGATGTTTCATTTGTGAATCACAAAACTCAGTTCGGTTCACGTGCAATTCACAAAAGCTGAATTTGACCAGCAACTATACAAAACCGAACCGAAGGATGTTCCATTTTCAGGTAATCAAGCTCTGTACTGATTGCTAGTGCCTAGTGGATAGTTCTCACTGAATAGTTATGTTTTAAGGCATCTGTGAAAAAGTTGACCCATTCCGCCTCCGCTTTCTCCTCCGAAACCCTAACGCCAGCCGTATAATTCTGCCGTTTCTTTGTCTCCTCACCGCCGCCAATTCTCACAGCGGTCGAGCTTCCCCGTCCCGGAATTGAGTCGATCTCTAATATCTATCGAAGAGGAGTGCGTTTGCAAGGTGAAACGATGGTTGAAACTGTAGGATCCGAATCACTTATAAAAAAAAAAAAATTGGGGTGTTTGTTTATTTGTTTACAGCAAAAGCTGCGGTCAAAGTCTGAGCACTGAGGACAGGATTAGCGAGTTGCCTGAAGCTTTGCCTCTGCAGATATTGTCTTTACTTCCGACAGAAGAAGTCGTAGCCACTAGTACTTTGTCTAAACGATGGCGGTCTCTTTGGAAGATGGTGCCTAATCTCGAGTTTGGTTACTTTGGCGGGATTGATTTCCAGACATTTTCAGATTATGTGTGCAGGTATTTGCTTTCACATCAGGCTCCGTTTCTACAGAGATTGCATCTCAACGTTGTTTATGAAAGTAGTAGCTGTATGGATCTTGGACTTGGAGTATTACTTGAAATTGCATTTGGACTCCATTTGCGTGAGTTTAAACTCCAAGTTAGCTACGGTGGAGGGCGGTTCCCATTTCCTAGAAGCTTGTATAACTGCGAAACACTAGAGACCTTGGAACTCGTTGCTTCTTTTGGTTCCATTCTTGCACATGTCCCTTCTCCGGTCTGTCTCAAGTCCCTTAGAACTCTACACCTTCACGAAGTGGACTTCAAAGACGTTGAGTCAGCTCGTAACCTTTTAGCTGGATGCCCTAGTCTTGAAAATTTGGTGGTTGAGCGAGATGCATATAATTTTTTGGAGACGTTCACTATTGCGGTGCCGTCTTTACAAAGGCTGACAGTTATCGATTATGGTTTTCGGCCGGTTTATGTGATCAATGCTCCTTCTTTGAAATACTTTAAGATTAAAGGGACTTATGGTCGTTGGTCTTGTCTGATCGAGAACGCGCCTGAGCTGATGGAGGCAAATATTAACTTCAGTGATGTAATATTCAGTGAGAACATTATGGGATCCCTCGCTTCAGTTAAACGCCTATCCTTGAGAGTCTCACCCTTAGAGGTAATTAATTGGAGTTACTTTGTTATTGCAAGTTTTCTCTACTAATATATTGCCTCCTCATATGTATAGATTCCCTTCCCCACTGGTAATATCTTTTATCAGTTGGCATATCTGGAGATATGTACATATATATCTGATTGGTTGAATCTGCTTACGGTCATGCTTGATTCGTCTCCTAGTTTACAAGTCCTTAAGCTCATTGGTTTCAGCATTGTAAGTTCGTCTTCCAGCTTGCTTTTTTGGGTTTGATGATCTAATATATATTATATATATAGTAAACGTTGTCTTTCTTTCCTTTGTCGTTGGTTTCTCAGGAATGGAGTGATAAGTATAAAGATTGGCCTTGTGGAAAATGGATTCAACCGAAAAATGTTCCTGAATGCTTGTTGCTCCACCTCGAAACATTCGTGTGGGCATGTTGCGAAGGGATATCAGAGGATGAGAAAGAGGTGGCTAAATACATCCTAAGGAACGCACGTCATTTGAAGAAGGCAACTTTCTCCAAAATTGACATTGATTCCCAAGAGTGGAGAGTTAAGATGGTCAAGGAGCTGGAAAGTATGGTCAGAGCTTCGAATTCATGTCAGCTTGTTTTCGAGTGATGCTTATATATATAGAGAGAGTCTTTGTTGTCACAATGTAACTCTTTCTATGTTGTTACTTTGATCGGATATTCAAAATTTCTGACCTAGTGGACTCAAGATCTCTGACTTGGTTTGATGTAGCTGTATAGCTTGTTGGGATTTGTAAGGAGAGATGCGTAAATAGATTTGATGAATGATGAGTAAGAAAACTCAAAATAGTAAAAAGGTAAAACATAGACTAGGTTTTCTTTTTATATACCTTATTTTCTTGAGAAAATGTAATTTTTAGGTGAAACACCACAAATGATGTCAAAAGTCAAAACTAGTTTATCTTGAATATATATATATATATATATATATGCCCCGGCTTATTTTGTCTTCTTGGTTTTCATCTAATATAAGGTATAGAAAATCTTGGTCCGACCAATTCCTCTTTTGCGATCAATAAAATGTGCATATGTAACCTTATAGTTTGTGTTAGTTCAATGTTGATGTGTCATCATCGGTTTCAAATATGCATAATGCTAAAGAGAAAACGAAGAGTATTTCCTCCATATTTTCAGTCTAAACCTCATGTTTTGTTATATTGAAGAACGAAAACTCCATTAAATTAGACGAAAATACTTTAATCCGAAACTCTAAGTCGACATTTCGACGAAGATGCGGAGGAAGGTAGAGTTGCACTTGGAGGATGGTTTAGAAACTTCCTGACATTGTTAAACCTTCTTTTTATTTTCAAACTCACTGCTTCTTGTCTCCTCCCTCTCTGCTCCTTAACAAAAGAACATACAAGCGTTACATATTTAACTACTTTTTTTTTTTTTTTTTGAATTATAAACTTTCATATATTACTGTTATAGTTTGTGGTTGTAATATTACTTGTTTCATATTCAAACGCAACAACTAAAAATTCCATGCATATGAAGTTTATATCCAAGCGTTTCTAATTTTCAAAACTTTGAAATCTAATAAATTTTTTTTTCTTTCTGATTTTAACAAATGCAACTTTCCAAACATTCAGATTTTTGTGTTTATACCTTGTTTTCGACTGATATGCACTTGTTCCGTTGCGGATCATCAACGAGGTCTACAAATACAACAATTGTATCAATATCAATCAAATGTATATAGTTTAGTTTCAAAACAATCTACATATTAGAAGAAATATTAGCAAACTAACAAACGAACTTAACTGCAGTCATCATTAGGGTCTCTAGGGTAAACGCAATAAATACGAAAACTCGGAGCTTCAAGTGAGATTGTTCGCCCGTCTCCTTTCTCTTCTTCATCTTTACATTCATATTCCTCCTCTCTACTCGTCTTTTCACCACAAGTTTTGGATATTTTGCTATGTGTAGACATTTCTTGATCCAATATGATGCTCTCAGCAGTTTCGCTGTTTTTACCGGTAGATCCTCCTCGACGAGATATAATCTTTAAATCTCCTCCTTCTCCTCCATCTGTCTCCGGCCTTGAAACACCACAACCCATGTTGTTGTAGGAGAAGCCGGACCAGAAGTAAACAAACAAAAAAAATAGTTGACCTAAGAACAAAAAGAAGCTAGAGGAAGATTACATCCATTGACACTAGAGAAAAGAAAGTCAAAACCAATTTTTTTTTTTAATTACCAATTCCATAACAAAAGAACCACATATTTCAAGGGAGATTCTAATGCTTTGAATTATCTTGTAACTTAAAATTAGAAAACCAAAAACCCCATTTTTAGCAAACTTGGTTTTTTTTTCCATATCTTTTTCTATACCAAAACCTTTAATTCAATATCATTACAAGATATGTTCAAGAAGAAGATAAGATTGTCAAGTGTTTTCTTTTTTAATCAGGAAAAATGTCATCATCAGTATAAGTAAACTCATCTATAAAGCTTTAAAGAACAATCACATTTTTATTCTGACTTTCAAAATGTTCTTCATCACTACATTTGTTCCTATTAAAACCAAGAAACGATTCGGATTGTTAAAACAGAGCAGTACATCCTCGTATAAACTGGGACTGTTTATGTATCATGCATGTACGTATATAATGATTGTTATTTGAACGCAATATCAACATGGCTTGTGATATATTAGGCGAGTAGCTGACTAAAACCTAACCAAATCGAGACGTGGGAGTTAAGCATCACATTAAAAAGGGAAAAAGATGAGGCTCATAGTCCAATCAAATGGTCCTCTGCTTAAATTTACTTCATAGTTGTATTTGTATATAGATATTTTGTCTTTTCTATTTTAAAAGTCAAAAGAAGTACCCGCGAATTTACATACACTGAAAATTTTGTACTGCTTGTATTGATAGTAAAAAAATTGTAGTTAACGTGTTAAAACGACAAAAGCAATTTATACAGATGTTACATAGCCATTAATGAATGAGAGATGGAAGGAGAAGCAGAGCAATCGGCGCATTAATGGCGAAAACAAATACCATTAATTGTTTTTCTTTCATCTTCTTCTCCTTCTTCACTCTCCCTCCTACATTTATTGCTCTCTCTCTCTTTTTCTCTGACTCTCTCGTTTTTCTTTTTGTTCTACGTGCAATCCAGAGCATTGATTTCATGTCAGACCGTAAAATTTCGAAAACTCAAACAAAAAAAAGTCAAGGAACACGACGAACATACATGACCGATTTTACCGATTTTCTACGACATGGGTTAATCTAAAGATACGCCCTTTAATCATGGGTTTCATCTGATTTCTCCGTCTAATCGAGATTTTGATTCTAATCCCAATTTTTGCTCATCTCGCATCTCTTCTCTTCCCCTCCATTTCCCAGCGACCTTGGAGCAGAAGATGGATTAAATGATGTGGTGGATTCACTGAACGGTGATGGCGTCGATGGATTTTTAGTGTTGTGTTTCGGCGGAGGAGCTGAACAAACTGGGATCACTGATCTAATATGAACAGCTGGAGCAAGTTTTTGATGGTTAAACCCAAAACCTCCTGCAAACATCTCGGAAATCGGCAAAAGCTTACTGTAGCAATCTCTCTCCGTTGTTGTTGATGATGATGAAGTAGTAGACAAAGGAAACGATTTGATTATCTTCTCTGGCTTAGCGTCATTTGAGCTCTGTTTCCTCGCTGCATATTCTCGAGACTTCTCTAGCAATGATTTGACTTTGGATTGTTGTTGTTGGAGATTTGTTCTTGAAGGCCAGAATCTCGGTGGTAGTGTTTGGTGTTGTTTCTGTGATGAGGATGAAGAAGCTTCATTGGTATACAGATTGATCAATCTGAGTTTCTCACACAACAAGTCTCTTGTGGTTGTTGTGTCTTGGCGAATTGTTCTTCTTCTTGCCTGATTTGGTTCTCTTCGTCTCACTTCTTTGGGTTTAAATCTTGAGAGGACTCTTGCAACTACCTCTTGTTCTTTCTCTTCACCTCTTTTCTCTCCCAGGAACTCCGAGCTTGGCACTGTGCAGCAACAAGTGTGAAAAATCAGAGACATAAACAAGATTGGATTTTTAAAAGTTTTGAAATTTAAAGGTTGAGTTTTTAGTTCACTTTTTCTCAAGGAGAACCAAGCTGCAATAGCTGCGAACTTCTCAGCTTGCTTCTTAGTCTTTGCTGATTCTCCTTTGAAACTCATTCCAGCAAGCTCCACAGTGCAAGAGAATGTCGGGATGTGACCCGGTCCTGATCTCACACTTTTGTAAACCGGTAGATCAAGACCAGCTCTATGCGCAGTCTCTTGAAGCAGGTTCTTGTAGATCCCAGTCTCATCCTTACAGAAAAACCAAGAACATCATGAGACTTCGAAAAACATGATGAAAGATGGGAAGAGATTTGCATGTTTTTGAGGAAATACTTACAAGAACTCTAGCTGTTAGTGACTTTGAAGGTCCCTTGGAAGAGAGAGCATTGAGGGCAACTTCAGCAGCTGAATGCTCAGCTTGTCTGAGAGTGGAACAATAAGTGGGGCATTCAAATATTTCACCATTGAAGTTTACAGAAGCTTTGAATCTTGGAGCATGATCTGGTCCTTCCCTTGTGCAAGTATATGAAGGGAGGTTGAAACAGCTTCTCTGTGCAAGCTCTTGCAACTGATTCTTATACATATTTTTGTGTGTGTGTGTGAGCTGTGACAAAAGCAGAGAGATTGAGAAGAAGAGGAAAGAGTAATATAGAAAACTCCACTTGAGAGAAAAACCAAACCAAACCCCAACTTTTATCCCTAAAATCGAGAACCTGTCAAGGGTTTAAAGAGAGAAGACAAAGGTAACCCACCTGCTTAAATCGGTATTAAAGATTTGGTGTCTCTTTATAAATAAACAGAAGAGCTTGTCTCCATCATGTGATGGACTTAAGGCTCTACAGCGTTCGAGAGAGAGAGAGAAAGGTAGCAAAAAATGCAACAAAGCCCACTTGTTAAATTGCAATTGGAAGGGTTTTGGTGTAATGAGTGTCTGAATGTAAAAAGCTTAGTGCTCTGATGTTAAAAGGTGAATTTAGAGGACAGAGCGAGAGATAAAGATGAAAAGAATAGTTTCAGAGGTTTTAGAGCTCTCTCACATGGTGGTTCTATCACAAGTAAGGTTCTAATAAAGAGGAGCAGAGGCTACTAAATGATAACAGTGACATTTCAATTGAACTATGGTCCATGTTATATGAATATACATATACGTCTGTCTATATAACTCTGATGAGAATCTTATTGACTCTCTTTCAAGATCCTGTCTTTATGATCTGATGTTTGTGTGAAAGCTTAGATTTTTCATTTCTCAGAAAATTAATTTAGTCTCCATAATTCAAGGCTTTAATTATTGATTTGGACATTTTTCTTGACTTTCCTTGACTCAGCAGAGACCTTAAACACACTCTTCTTCTGTAACCTTGTCTTATCAAAAAAAAACAAAAACAAAAATTTAGAGGGAGGAGCATTAGGGGTTCTTACGCATTAATTGCAAAGCTATTGCCTCAATGAACAACTATAAAAATGGTCTGTCTTCAGGTCCACATGTGTTTGATAATTCAATTTCAACTTCTTGATGATAACAGAGAAACCTCTTTTTGTTTATATTCATTTGTTTGTTTCTTTTTACTGTAAAACATAAATCTTTGGTTAAATATATGAACACAACTATAAAAGAACAGTCTGAAAAATCAAGAAGAAGCTCACTCATACAAACAACACACCAATTCCAACCTTTTTTTGCTTACCACAAGAAAGCCAACCAAAGCCAAACACAAACACTTTCCACATTTAGAACATTAGCAAGTTCTTTTCCTCCACAAACCACAAGCTTGCATAAACATCACTGATTATAAGCTGAATAATCCAAAAAGAAAAAAAAAAAACATTTGAAAAACACCCCTTCAGATTTCATCTAAAAACCTGTATTCACCATACCGAACTTCGGCTTCGTTCTTTCTTCCTTCCGTGCTAAACCGTGTATCATCAGAGACTATGTAGGCCGGTTCTCAGTCACTAAACCGCTTCCGCTGCTGCTTCCTCCACCGTTCTGGTTATGTTCTCCTACTCTGGCTGCTAAGGCCATAACTTCTGGTGACATATCCCAGCTTCCGCTTTTCCTTCCCCAGCTTGATCGCCTCGGGTGCACACCAGGCCTATCGCTTTGTTCATCAACCGTCGTCCTAACGTCTGGAGATAGCTCGCCTAGCTCACCGTCCTTAACGTGCAACCGTTCATTGTTACCATGTTTGCCGTCACCATGTTCTGACATTGCTGGACCCATGTCTGCCCAAACAGCTTTCCTTCCCATTTCAATGTCATCATTGGCTTTACCCATGTTCGGACTCATGAAACCGCCTGCTACAGATCTAGGAGGCAATGGAGGTTCACGCTGGACCATAGCTCTAAAGTTGTTCTTTGAAGCAGGGATCGAAGAACAAAACGTTTCTTTGAAGTTATTAACCAGTCCCTTGTTATGTGGGTTGCTTCGCCGATCATATCTGTATCGGAAATTCTCGTATGTAGTCTGCATGGACGAAGGAAAATCAACGATTCCATGATTTCTAAAAAAGAGGATGAGGATATTGGATTGGTAAGCAATATTCACCTGGTTTGTGCTGATGAGATATAGATGGAAAGCTGTTAAGCCACCAACAAACCACATCGATATGAATGTGTAGATGATCAGAACAATGGAGGCAGGAGTTTTGAGCATTGCCTTCCAAATGGTTGTATGCTCTGATTCCGTGATCTTCCTTATGTAGACCCAGCAGAAGGCAAACACATATATACAGAGAAGGGTCGTGGAGAAGACAAACATGAAGAAGAATCGGTAGTTCCTCTGCAACAAACCATAAAGAGAGTATGACAATGGATTTGTTCAGAGCTATGCTTTATGTAAATAGCTTTAACTCGGATTGTGACTCACCAGTCCAATACACTGGCCAACCCAAGGGCAGTGATGGTCAAACCTCTCAACGCAGTTGTTGCAGATCGAGCAATGCGAACAGCGAGGAGGCCTATACAGCATGCAAGTGTCACAGTACTTGACCTTAAACGTGACTCCGTTCAGTTCTACTTCCTTGATGCGAGGCAGTCGCAACTGCGGAGTCTGGCCAGCTCCTGCATCCATGTTGCTGTCAAGGGCTTCAGGCTCTGGAGGATGAGCATTCCTTGGGATGATTCCTGGATCTCTTCCGGATGTAAGCAGCAGAAGAATTAAATCCTGAGAATGTTGTGGACACCAAAAGGTTAAATGACACTATCGCATCGCTAGTCATTAGAACAACATCTGCAACGCAAAGCGAAAAAAGACTGTGACTTACATATATGGTGAACACGACGGCGACAGCTACTATCGATACTCCCCAGCTATCAGAGAAGTCATCCATTAGCTTCCTCGCGACAAAGATGCAGAAAATTGTAACAGGGACAGCAATGAGACATATTGTCAGCGCCAGTGATCTTACATCTGGCCCGAATACAAATCTTCCCTGAAGAAAGAATATCTGGAAAAAAAAAACGAGTGAAGTTTATCAAAACTGGAGGAAGAAGACTCCATAAGAGAAAGCATGTCCCCATGAGCTATATCCTGATAACAAGAATCATCTTGAAAAAAACATGTCACCAGTGACTGATGAGCAGAGTTTATCACAGCTATAGAGTCTCAAATTCAAAACCTGTTTATTTTAAAAGTTACTCAATCTATATCATTGAGCTAATACTAGATAGTGGTAATCATATTAAGATAAAGTTCAAAAATGACTTGTTTCGCTTAATTCCACTCAAATAGTAAATCACCTCAAAAGCTTATGGGGAAACATTTGAAAACGACATCAAAAATCTAGGATTTCTCGAAAACGTACTCGTTAGATTATCAGAAGACTCAACATTTTTTATTTTATTTTACACGAAACCAAGTTTCAATTTGAACTAGGTTGAAAATGGGAGAGAGCTAATCTGAGTCTGAGAAAGTTCGTGAGAAGTAAAATATAAAAACACAGAGGAAGAGTAATCAAACAACTAGCACAAGAACAACAGAGACAATAAGACTGGGAAAATCGAAAATGAAAAAAAAAGCTCCGACTCAAAAGTTCACACAAAAACTCACATTGCTGCCTTTCCAAGTCTGATAAACCCTTAAATCACCGTTGGATCCCGAATCGGATCGAGGCGGAGGCACTACATACATCTCTCAACCTCAATTTCTATCTATCTCTTTCTCTCTCTCTCTTATCTCGACGGCGTCACCAAGAGCTCAGCTTCAAACCCGTTTCCGCAGGAGTAAAAAGCAAAAAAGGGAAACCCAAAGAATAAGAAGAATATCAGGTAAGAAGAAGGAAGGGTAGTCTCCGGCGAATTGATTCTTCAGATTCCGGCGAAGTAAGCCGACAAGGGCACGAGTAAGCCAGCGAAAAAGAAGGGTTTTTTTTTTGGTTTTGCCCCTTCTCCCCCAATTTCAATGGTGGGTTCCCTCCCCCACTTTTTTTTTTTCCTTCTTCTTCTTCTTCTTTTTTTCGTTTTTATATTAAAAAGTTTAAAAAAACTATAAAAAAAAAAAAAAGAAACTGTAACTGTTAGCTACTGTGACCGTCGTTTTAGTCTATCAATCTTATTTTGACAGCGAATGGGAATGGGAATAACTGGATAAGTAATATATTAGCTGACGTGTCATTAATTCATTGGTTTGTCACTTATTAAAACGCAGTAAAAATGCTTATGTGGGGTCCTTTGCTGTACAACTACAACTCGCCCTCATCATATTTTTTTATTATTAAGTGAAAAGTTTTGCAATGAAAAACCCTTTTTGTTAATAGTGATTGTTAAAGTAAAATAAAAATGTATCTTTTAAATCTCGAGAGAAAAAGGTGGAAAGTAAAATGATGACAGCCAGTAGAAAGATATGCAAGATGGGTTATGATGGACTCACACACCTTCTGTACAAACATTACAATATTTTTTGACCCTTGAAAATCTAAATTACGCAAGTGGGCCTAACAATATGCCCATTATACAAAGCGTTAAATTTTAATAATAGTTTCAAGTAGGAGTGACAAAAAAACTGATTATGAACAAGATACATTTTATCAACTAGAAACTACGGATTAAAAAAAATTAAACCATAACTCGTCTATCTACGTTTTATTATCAACAAGATACATTTTATTAAAATTGATTTTGGATGTGAATATAACAAGAGTATATTATTATATAATATCATAGTTATTTATTAACAAGGTTTTGACTTTTAAGTGCTAGTGCTAAATGCCAACCTCCGGATTCTTATAATTGTAATTTTCCTTGTTTAGTTTCAATATAGATATAAGATATAGTAAACTCACAAAAATTAATGATATTACTTTATAAAATAACTATAAAATTTTATACATCATTAATCAAAATTTAAAAATAATATTTTGATCAAAACATTCTTTTCTGAATCGGTATGATATTCATACAAATGGTAGATGGTTATTTGAGACTTACGTCTGTCTGCAGTATATAATCCATTCTATAACAAAGTGTCAACATAATCTTTATACTTCTAAATCACAAGTCATTGTGAATTATGAGTTTGACATGTGTCATTTTTTACTTTTAATTAATTTTTGTTATGTTTTTTTGTTTAAAATAATTTTTCCTTAATACAGTTAAAGTTAAAGAAAAAATAACTGTAGTTGCACGTGTAATATTCATTTTCCAGGATTAATTGCGGTTATCTCCTTCTCCACTCCTCCACTTTTTCCAAAAAACAAGATAATTATTCTCTTTAATATTTATATTTTGTTTCCACACTATTACTACCAGTTGACAACAAATATTTAGGAACAAAACATTTCATCTTCATTAAATGTAGAAACTAGATATCTTCTCAAGTTTAATTTTGGTTACGATTTATTTTATATGAGTGATGAGTCTCTATCCAAAGCTCTTCGCATTCTATATTGATTTTCACTGATTTAAGGTAAATAATTTGCTCTTTTTTTCTTTTCTATTTTAATTTATGCACAATTTGTTACATATTTACTTTCCAATAAGAATTTTCATATATTTAAATATTACTGATTTAACACAGATCTTTTCTCGCTATTAAATTATTCCTAAAAAGCTTCAATATGATGGTCATGTTGCAATACCTAGAAATAATATGTTATTATAATAAAATTTAATTTAATTTTCATTTGTTTATTAGTAATCAATGATAATTGTTTCAATGTTCATGTCTTTCTTCTTTGAGATAAGTCAAAGTTAATTTATATCTATAATTTTTTGTTGTATAAAATTGAAATTTAGTTTTATTTGTAGGTAAAATTAAATTCCCGTGGTTAGCACGGGAGATAATACTAGTTTATTATAAAAAGGAAACGTTATAAAATTTTGATATTTTGTGATATACATTCAACCAATAAAAATGTAAGTTTTTTCGGCATGAAATGAAGCTTTTAACAAGTTCACTTTTTACAATTATTTTGCAAAGTTAATTTTCGAAAAATCATTTTATATATTTCAAGTCAGGATAAAAATGATAACATGTACAAAGAACTAAATAGTTGGAACAATTTGAGGTTAAAAAAAAAGTATACAAATTTTAACCCAAAAAAACTATGAAGTCTTTGCACAGTACAGTAAAAAAAATCTAAAGAAAAACATTTGATTCACTAATAAGAATTTGGAATTGCTGGCATTTTGCTTGGCGTCTGTAATCTCGCATTTTCAGCCCAATTTTTAGCTTCAGCAACGGCTCTCTGTCTCTCATTTTCATCATTTTCATTGCGATTCAACGTCTTCATTGTTTCCTTCGATGGTACGGTCTCCAATTCTATTCCTTCTCCATGTACAATGTTCTTTCTCTTCTTCCTTCTCCTCAAGCTAATAATTATATAATCGAGAGCATCTACTACGTCGCTGATCGATGGTCTAGCGTATGGATCTTCTTTCACACACGTAAATGCTACTTCAAGCGCTTTTTCCAAGGTTTTTTCTTTCATGAAATCACTTTGTCTACGTAGCATTGGATCTACAATTTTCTTTATGTTTTTATTCATAAAATGTTGCCTTGCCTGTAAAAAAAAAACACAATAAACAAATTATCATCATAAAAACAATCTATAGTTTATGATTAAAGACAAATAAACCAACAAAAAAAAAAATCTTTGTAAACAAAATCAGATTTAGAACATTACCCAATGCACAAGTAAACGGCTATGACATATGGGTGATTCAATAATAGCTCTGCGTCCAGTGATAAGCTCTAACATTACAACTCCAAAGCTGTAAATGTCAGACTTGGTTGACAATTTTCCGCTAAAAGCATATTCAGGTGCGCAATATCCCTGAGTTCCCATAACTCTAGTAGAGACATGGGTCTTGTCGTCCTTTGGACCAAATTTAGCAAGTCCAAAATCAGAGAGTTTCACCTTGTATCCGTTGTCTAGCAATATGTTTGAAGATTTAAAGTCCCTGTAAATCACAATAGGGTTAGCCTCACAGTGCAAGTGTCTTAATCCTCTAGCTGCTCCTGCAGCTATCTTCATCCTTGTTCTCCAATCTAAAACTTCTTCTTCAGTTGTGTAATCTAACAACAAAAACAAACCAATAACAGAATTCAATATTTTGTGTACTTTAATTAATGAATCTCCCTAATGAATTTCTTTTATTTATTTTTGTTACCATGGAGATGATCTTCTAGAGATCCAAGAGGCATGTATTCATAGACGAGGATTCTTTGATCGCCTTCAGCGGAATAGCCAATCAGTCTCACCAGGTTTCGGTGGCGCAAGAGCGAGAGCATTAGGACTTCCATTAGAAACTCCCTCTCTCCTTGACAGCCACTGGGATCAAGAATTTTGACTGCCACATTCTTCAACTAAGACCAACAACAAATAAAACAAAAACAAAACTCAGATTTTACGACAACAAGAACAATTCCAGAGATTATTGATCTGATTAATAATCGAACTACGTTTTTAGTTACCTGTCCAGTACATTCAAGCTGTCCTTTGTGGACAGGGCCGAATCCTCCTCTCCCTATCAAGGATTCTCTACTAAAGTTGTTCGTTGCGTTTGCGAGTTCACGGTATTCGAATCTCCGTGTGTCGAGCTCATACCTTAGCCGTGTTTCTAGAGAAGATGATGGAGCTGCTTCTGCAGTGTCGGCTACAAAGGAACAAAAACCAAACACAATGAGAGTCTGTAGTCTGTACCACACGTAACTGCTTCAAATGGATTAGAGAAACTTTAATTTTTTAACCAAAAAACAAACAAATCTTTGACTTCCACAACACAAACCCTTTATTCAATACTTATATTATCCAAACAATGACTATCATTAGTTAATAAGCAGCTATACAGAAGAAAAACACGAAGACTTTTGGAGCAAAGATTTACTGAAACACTTTTGTAAAATCGAAATCATTAAATTGTAATCAGATTTGTATGAGTGGAAAGAATGAGAGGAACCTGGGGAAGTTGGCCTCTCAAGGCTGCTTTCCTGACAAGCAGTATTGCCTGTGAGTTTTTTATTCCGTGTCAGGTTGTTTCTAGATATCGGACCAAAACACATACAAAAAGACATGATTTGATGTCACTCAGAAAACGACACTCAGCTCTGTCAGAACATTGGGATCAGAGAAGGCGACAAGAATTAACGAATCCCCAAAAAGATTAATGATTCGAAGAACCAGACAAATCTCGATCAAATCGATGTCAGAATCACGAGAAAGAAGGAGAGGATAACATTTAAGAGAAATGAAGGGATGATTATGAGTTTTCGGGCGTTTGAGATAACGTATAAAAAGAAGAAGATTTTCGATTAGAACGAGGTTTTAGAAATTGAGAGGCTTAGAGAAGACAATTAAGGATAAAGGATATTCGAGAGAGAGGTCTGAGAGGTCTTTGATTAGATAAAGAAAGACACGTAATCCACAGAGAAAAGCATGGGTGCACAAAATGGTACGTTACACCAGCTCCTTCTTTCCTTATGTTCCTTAAGACAGCAACAATACATAGATGTTTTTTTTTTGCTCTCTGGATATAAATTAGATTTAATACGTACGATATTCAAGTTTATCATCATCCTTCATAGCCTCAGAATTGCTTCATTGCGATATCTATTGGATTAGTTCATTACTTTTAAAAAAAGAAAATATTTAAATGTTTTTCCGCGGGTTTTTATCAACCGTGCGATATATGCAAAGTTAATAATTTTAAATCGTGGTTATATAATTAAAGTTGATAAAAAGTAGTAGTTTCAGAAGTATTGAAAAAAGTAAATACGTTATGTATATAAATTTTCATTTTTTTTCATGAGTATAAAAGAATAAAATGTGAATTACAAAAAGAAAATATTATCAAATTCAAACTATAAAAAAATTTAGGTGTTTTCCCGCAATTTTTTTCCACCGTGCGTTACGCAAAGATTAAAAATTTAAATCGCATTTATGTGATCATAAGTGGAATAAAATCAATGATTCGTGTATATATAGAAAAAAAAATCTGTTATGAATACTTTTTAAAAAATCATGAACGCAAATAAGAAAAAGTAAGCTAAAAATAAAGGAGATGTTATCCAGAGTTATATGAAAATATAACTAATTTGAAATACAATATATAAACTGAAAAAGAAACTGGAAACTATGGGAGAATTTTTTTTCTTTTTTACTGACAAGACGGAAAAACCAACAATATATAATTTTTTTTCTTTTTCATTGACAAGCTGGGAAAACCAACAATATAGAGATTTGTTACACGCAAAGATTAAAAATTTATATCGTATTTACGTGATCAAAATTAAAAAAAAAATCAATATATATAGAAAAAAAAATCTGTCATGAATACTTTTTAAAAAATTATGAACGCAAACAAGAAAAAGCAAGCTAAAAAATGAAACACCTAAAATTCTTCAAAAAGAAATTGAGATGTTGTCCAGAGTTATATGAACATATAACTAACTTGAAATACAACATATAAGACGAAAAGAAACCAAGACTGAAAACTATGGGAAATTTTTTTTCTTTTTCACTGATAAGACGGGAAAACCAACAATATAATATAGAGATTTTTTTAACAAGATATGTTTGCATCAGTTCGGCATCACATATCCGCCTCGAACCATTGATTCTTTGGATCCGTGAATGATCAATTTCACTTCAAACTTCAGGTAAACGCGTAGGACCTAAATAAAGGTGCATGTGTATCAGATAACCTAGTGTCATGGAGTCCCAGTGCAGGTTGCATACTCCACCAAGTTACTTACTAGCATTTAATTTCATTCAACTTGCTTGTCAACGGAGTGTTTATTACTAGTTATTTACATTCATTGTAAATATTTAATACCTTATCAATGATCCTGATCATTCTCAAATCGACATTTAACCTGTAAAACACTGTATTTATGATCGGAGTAGGTAAAAAACTAAGATTGTTTAATTATCGTTAGGAACTTATTAATCCTCGCATGACCATTTAAAATGGTCTCAAACTCTTAAGAAATTTGGTGAATAGGATAATCGAAAACTACACTTATATTAGAAAAAGTTTGATTGCACGAGATAATGTTCCATCTTCAATCCCTGACAAACAGCTTTATTCCTCTCTTAGCACCTACGAAGTCATCATCTTTAATCTACTTTCTATCTAATAATAACGTCGACACTCTTAACTTATGAGCTGGGTTTACAAGATATCTAGTTGGGTCTAGTTATTTATAGACATGGTAAAAAGATAACTTCGGAGCTGGATTTAGTTTGGCTTGGGTCCGGTTATTTAGAAATTCTAAGATGGCCGGTTCAATTTTTAAGAAGTATAAATAGATTTGAGGAATAAAACCCGAATAAAACCAGTGAAGCTGATTACCAAGAGATCAAAAGAACTTCACAGGAAGGCGTCACTAAATGATTGTTACAGTATTCAAGTACTCTTTCTTGGCGCTACAAAAAGCATGAAACCGGTCTTCGTTAACCGTACCAAACCCCGAAAGCTCAATGCCAAAAGCCGCAAGCCTGCGAGTGTCTCGTGGGATGGGGGATTGCCATAAACCGTCCCACCAACCGGGAGGTGCAAGCGGCGTGAAGGCGCATTGGTTCGACTGTTTTGGACAGCTCAACGGTCCAGCGTATCGGTTCCAGACATGTCCCCAACCTACCTGGTTCTTGAGACCGTCCGCCAACAGATTGCTCTGGAAACTACTCAGGAACGCAAAGCTCGAGTTGCTCGAACCCTCCTCTGCGAATATACAAACCAGTCAAGGCTATGACAAAGTAAGAGATGCAAAATAAGTGTGAAGGAAAACTAAACCAGGTCTTAACTGAGACTGTTAGCAGCGGCTAATGCAGCAACCAGCTGAGCGTAAGTAGTCCCGACTCGCCTGTTAGCACCGGAGACCACAGCTTGACTTGCACGGCACGCGAGGAAGAAATCTACAAACGCAACCCATCTTGGTGCCGGACCCCAATCCTTTATCCTGAAATCTAACATCGGTAATCCGCGGCCGCGTTGCACGATGTTCCCACGGAAAAGCTTATAGTCAAAATGTAGAACCTGCCAAACCCATTGCAACTGATTTACCTCGCCGCTAATAGAAATGAATCATCTACTGAGAAAGTTAGAGTGAGAGAGAAAGAGAGAGTTGTTGCATAGGTCATTCATACCTCAGCAAATGCGCTGATATTTGGCTCGATAGCTTTCACTACAGATGGCGTGTCAGAGACAATAACCACTCTCGGTTTCGATATGCCAAGTCTGTTAATTGCTTTCCCTAGGCAGTTTATCGCTGCACGCAGAGGTCTTACAGATCTAGAAAGAATCGTGAGATGTAAGATTTTAGTAGGCCAGCTTGGAAAACAAAAGACAAGAAAAACAGACATAGATAGATGCGAGTTTACAACATACTTGCTCGTTAACATTCGCATGTGTAGCGAAATATCAGGATCTCCAGTCTCTCGTAGAACCCAGTCCACTGCATCTTTCACATCTTTCGTCGGAGATATGAGACTCATCATCAACTCTCCAAACACATTCGCTCCTGGCGCTGAGTTTCCTTCCTCTCCAAACAGCTCAGATGCAGCAGCTCTCATCTCCGGATGCACGTTCTTTAGGAAAAACTGAGCCGCCACAGCGTCTGTTGTGCCTTGAAACCTGGAAAAATCGTGGCAGAAAACCACAATGCCTGGCTCAGTAATGAATTATAACTTTCACAAATGAAATCAATTCGTATCTTTATTGCTTTTTTTCTCACTGACCATATAATAGGTTCCTCCCACTTCTTCCAATTGCTGCATAAGACGTTACTCTTGGTCGGTTTCTCAAAATCATCCAGTCTCATTACAAGCCGCCTTCCGTATTTCTTCACGCAGCCTTTTTGACGCCAAAGATGCTTCACTTCATTCATTGTATATGTAGCATTGGAGTAAGCAATGTAATCACCGAAGGGATATTTCCCCCTGAAATGCACAGAGAAAGATGTAAACAGACAGACAGATAAACACAAACTAAAACAAGCAAAAGCGAGGGGCTGAAATAAGTTCAACATAGTTCCCAAGAAATTGAGAAAAAGGATTGAGAAAGAACCAGTATATGCCTGGTCTGGCCAATGATCAAGGATCTGTTCAGCATTATGCTCAACGCTGCCGAAGTTAAGATCTTGTACATTTCATTCCCGAAACCAGCTTCTGCTGTTTTCCCAAGAACATAACCATGTCGGCAGAATTCCTCCGGAGCGAGCTCACGAATTGCTGAAGCGCCTGGAAAACACAAAGAAACATTTCTTTTTAATCATATATTATCTCACATCGAACACTAATTCAAAATCTTGCTATTAGAAACAGACGAATTTAACCAAACACTAATCATCTTTACTGTGAATGAACAACACAAAAGAAGTCGAGTTTCGAAACAGAATTGAAAAAAAGATATAACATTCTCACCATTGACGTGAAAATGGCGACGGATAACATCTCGAACTCTGAGGCTCTGATCCACGAAACCTCCATCGAACTCGCTTCCCATCTCCTCTACCGTCGCGCACAGCCTACCTCCGTCGACCTTACCTTCTCCGATGGAAGAGGAATTGCTCCACCTGGCGTTCTCCTCATCGGAACCGGATTCCGAAACAGCATCGTCGTCGTCGTCATCGATGAAGGACGGGTTAGGATCCACGGAGCGGAGCGTGAGCAGCAACAATCCGAAACCGATAAAGAAAACCGCCGATGCCAACAGAATCCTCCTCCCGAACAATCGCTTCCGTCTGATTCCACCGCGCTTCATCTCTTCCTCATCGTTTCTTCTTCCCGTCGAGGATACTCAAGCTAGTGTGTGTTCAGAGCTTCGTTATCACAGCTTTCGATGCGATCGACACGTCATAACGTGTCGGTGCCAGTTACTCTACTTTCAACGGCGTCGTATTAGGAGCTAACAAATAGCCCATCAGAATAATAATGCGTTATATGGGCTTGGGCCTAATAATGAGACCTTAAGCCCATAAAGAAAATAAGAAATCATCCGGTGGTGGTCGTCCCACATCTTCCACAACGAGGAGGATTGTTTCCAAGTTTTTCTTCAACTGCTCAACTTCTCCGGTGGTTTTTGGGAGACGTCATCAGAGAGAACGGCGCCGTTTTTTGGATTCCTTTGGCCGCTTACTGATATGTTAGTCTAGCTCGAGCCTCATCTCCTGCTCCTCTTTCTGATTAGTTTCTCTGTGTAATCCTCCCAAAATTCATTATATCGCGCTCTTTGTTTTTTGTTTTTGTTTTTTTGTATTTGCTTTCTGCTGAAATCTGTCTCTGGATATCTCTCGCACATTAGGGTTTAGACCAGTTTCGATGTCTTTGTTTCTAATAATATTCGAAGCTTTCACCCTTTTTGTCTTCTTCTCCTCCATTGCTTCTTCGATTCGGTTGTGCTGAAGTAAATGAATCTAGGGTTTCTAACTTGTTTCTTCTTTGTTTCCTGCTCTCTAGACTCGTGAAGGCGCACATTAGCTGGTGAAACAATGGGTAGTTCATTTAATGCTCAGATATTAGTTGAGAAGCTTGCTAAGCTCAACAATTCTCAAGCAAGCATAGAGAGTATCCTTTTTTTTCAATTGTTTATCTAATCTTGATTGTGGTAAAGCTCTGTACTTTAATTGGTTTCCTGTAGCTAAATGAGTGCTTGGAAAAAAGTAGACTATCTAAGCCAATGAGTATAAGAAGCTATATGGTATTGTGGTCCAGAGATACTTTTTCTGGACTCTTTCAACGTGCTACCTCATAATCTTCCGCCTTTGTGTTGTATACTATCCTGTTGTGTGAGTCTCTCCTTGACACTATATCCAGCTCTATCGCATTGGTGTATCTTTCACATGAACAAGGCGAAACATGTTGTGGAAACATGGGGCACGCAGTTTCACTGCTCCCCGCGTGAGCAACGATTGGCCTACTTGTACCTTGCGAATGATATCTTGCAGAACAGTAGGCGGAGAGGCTCAGAGTTTGTAGGTGAGTTCTGGAAAGTACTCCCGGAGGCTCTTCGTGATGTGATTGATAATGGTGATGACTTCGCAAGAAAATCTGCACGTCGATTGGTACGGTGAAGTGTTAAACTTTTTATATACCACTTCCTCTGAATTTCTCCTTGTATTGGATTTTAATGAACATGAAGATGCCAGTTAAAGAACTGCACTGCTGATTGTCGTAATTGTTCTATTCAAGGTTAATATATGGGAAGAAAGGAAGGTTTTTGGATCTCGTGGACAAATTCTCAAAGAAGAAGTTCTGGGAAAGCAGCCTGAAAATGGAACCAGAAACGGAACGCTCGTGCCACTAAAGCTTGTAAGTCAGACTGTTTTATACAACCAATTTGCGTACCTCTGAGTTCATTTGTCAATGTGGTCCACCGTTATGTGATCATATCTGCTCTCGAGTTCTTCCAACATGATCAGCTCTGTTATATTTGGCAGACTGTTCAACAGAAACTGGCAAGTGGAACCCCGCTGGAGAAAGTAGTGTCTGCTGTTGAAGCTCTTCACGGCGTTCAGGTTGACGAGGATGTTGTTGTTGGGAAATGTACCAATGCTGCTGCTTACCTTGAGAAAGCAGCGCAGGAAATTGAGAGAGAACTTAGTTCAGGTATCACCGTCCATTGGCTGCTACATTGCTGCAGATGTGTCCATATGCTTTATTTATCAAGTGACAAGCTACATAGCTGCAGATTTCTACATTTGTCTCTTCTAAGAACTCAACTCGTTTGGTCTATTTTCTTACCACACACCTTTTGTATTAGAACCGGAATCATAAATAGTTTCTTTTTTACCACACGCCCTTTGTTTCCAATTAGTCATCCTTTTCACATGGTGGCTCTTACCAATTTGATAAGCCGAATCATTTAATGGGGGAAGAGAATCCACAAATTTATAAACCCCTAATCTCCAACCAGAACCACCAGTCGCACACAGTTTGGTTAATTTTGGATCCTAAAAGAATTTTTATTAAAGTTCTAATTGCTGGGATTTGTCTATATGTTAACTGCTGGTGAATATGTTACACCTCTTTACTTTTAGGATAGAGAAAAGCCATTTCTTGTTCAAGCTTCCACCGTGCTCTTTTCACTATCTTACTTGTTGAGTGTTGCTTTAAAACAGGACACACCCCTGGCCCCGCGGTGGTAAAGGAAGTGCAAGGACAACATGCCATACTAAGAGACTGCATCGAGCAGCTAGGGGCAATGGAGACATCCAGAACAAGTCTTGTCTCTCATTTGAGAGAGGCTTTACAGGAACAGGTTCCATCATTTATACAACTGCTTACACAAACTATTATCTTTGATTGCTCCTGCCAAAAACCTGACCTTGTTTAGTTTTTGTCCAGGAACTCAAGCTGGAGCAAGTCCGCAACCACCTTCAGGTTTAAATTCGTACTAACTGTGATATCCGCTTTTCACACATTCTGTACATTTCATGTCACACTGGTGTAGCTTTCGATCTGGTTTAGTGAGTTTGCTCAGAGAAGATCGACACAAATCTAAATAGGGCTCTTCTTGGCTGATTTGTCTCAACAAAATATTGCCTTGTCTTTAGGCTGTTTAGTTGAATTGATATCCACTGTGCTCCAATTTTTCAGACTGCTCGGTCTCAATCAGACAGAACTGGTGATCTCTGCAAAAAACTTCTAGACCATGGTGGTAGTTCACAGCCTCCAGCTACGGAAAAAGAGGAGTCAAAAGATGCCATCAAAGTTTTATCCGCTGCAGCAGCAGCACCACCACAAACCTTCACACACAGTGATGTGGAACAGTCTGCACCGGTTATGTTTGCTCCAAACCCACCAACACACAGCGATGTGGAACAGTCTGCTCCGGTTATGTTTGCTTCAAACCCACCAACTCAATCAGCGGTAGACCCAAGAAAAACCGCAGCCGCCGCAGTCGTAGCCAGGCTAACCGCATCAACCTCCTCAGTCGAGATGCTCTCGTACGTTCTCTCCTCCTTAGCCTCTGAAGGCATCATCGGAAACAACCCACCTGCTGTAACAGAAACTCCATCATCCGACGATTACCCGCCAGAGAAAAGACTCAAGCTTGAAAACCATGACCAGTCGTATCTCCAACCGCACCAACAGAACACTGCAACAACATCTACAGTCACCGCCTCTCCACTACCGCTTCCTCCACCACCACCACCACCGTTCCAGCTTCAATCTCAGTTCTTGCAGCCGTTACAGCCTCCCGGGCCTGTAAACCACACACCGTTCAACTACACCATAGCAACCACTGCTGCAACCACGCAGCAACAACAACAACAGCAACAACCACAAGGCTCTTGGGTTCCTGGGCTCGCTGCAATTCCAACAACCTCTGCACCATCCGACAGTTCATACCAGAATCTTCAGGGACAAGATGGCTTCTATGCCATGAACTCATCAGTCTCTATGACACCTGTTACCCGGCAGTAGAGGAATCAGTTTTTAGGGTTCATATAGCTAAAAAAACGCACTTTTTTGGTGTTGTTAAAAGTATAGTTTTAATGGGAGTTTGATAGGATTTGCGTTCTTGAAATGTGGCTTGTATGCTTTCTAATTTTGCGTTGGTCTAATTGAATGTTGATGCACATATCTTCATCACGTCTGTAAACTTCAAACAAACAAAAACCTTTCTTTGCTGTGAGATTCTTTCTCTCTGAAGTTTTGAAGATTCCATGGCGGTCATTTCAAAAAGTTAAAAGCCAGATTGGACCAAGTTTGCTCTTCTTTTCAAGCCTGGTCAAAACGCCGACAAGGTTTTCTTTTTGACTAATAAAAAAACCATATTTTTCCACATTTCTCTTGTCTTTATCTTCTTCTACTAGTCAGGGATTCCCTGTAACGCGGCAATCCTGACGAAGGAAATATCATAAAATTTGAGAGAAGCAGACATCAATAGGAGCAAAACTTCGAGATTAGGTCATAACCCTTTTTAAGGGTTTCTCTCCTATTTCTCGATCTCTCAGTCTCAAGACCTAAACCCCCTGGAAATTCTGCTGACTGTAGCTGCTTATTGAATCTCTCTCTCTCTCTCTGTGTCTCTAAGGTTTAGTGTCCCATGCCCCTCGTTTATCTCTCTAATTAACTGTACAATTTCTCCCAGTTTCTGCTGATATTGTTTCTAGATTAAGAATATTCAACAGACTTCGAGATTGATTGAATGTCTAGTTCGAGTTACGTTTGTGTGCTGTGTGTTAATTTTGTCTGACGGTTTAGGACCTTAAGTTATGAGTTCATAGTTTTGATCTTGTCTTATCGTTGCGGGATTTTTTATTTACCCATCCCCGTAGTTAATAAACGCCGTTCTTCTATGGTCCAAGTTCTTGATTTCGACAATAACTGAAAATTCATAACCGATCCTTCAAAATTTGACAATCTCTCTTTGCTCTTCTTATTACAGGAAAAGTTTATTTGAGGTTTCATTTGGGTGGGATTATTAGTGCTGAAATCATCTGAGAGTTATAATTTGAGAGAAAGAGAAATCAAATGCCGGAGGAAGATTTGGTAGAACTGAAATTCCGGTTATATGACGGTTCAGATGTTGGCCCGTTTCAGTACTCTCCAACCGCCACAGTCGCAATGCTCAAGGAGAGAATCGTCTCTGAATGGCCAAAAGGTGAGCTACAGTCTTTAGTACAATTGCCTTACTTGATTGCTCTAGATTTGGTGTTTAGTTCCTTTTCTGTGCTTGCTTCATCGGTTTTTTCCGATTTCTTAAACGGTTACTTGAGCTTGTGATTGATGTTCTTAACTGTTTCTTCAGTTGGGGATAGACAAAGATCATACAAAGTGTAGGCTAGTAATAGATCTTACCAAACATCTCTTTGAGACTGTAGGACGAACATGGTTCTGGTTCTGGTTTCAACAAAATCTTTCATTTGTTACAGTTATTGTTTCCTATTGTAATTGAGTAACAATTGAATTTGAATGTGTTGTTTTGTAGACAAGAAGATTGTTCCAAAGTCGGCTAGTGACATCAAGTTGATAAATGCTGGGAAAATTTTGGAGAATGGTAAAACTGTTGCACAATGTAAAGCTCCGTTCGATGATCTCCCTAAATCCGTCATTACAATGCATGTTGTCGTACAACCGTCTCCAGCTAAAGCAAGACCAGGTCTTGTTTTTACTTAACTCATTTCTTATCTTTGTACGTCTTGTAAAATGAATGCGTAGGAGTTCTTGAAAGACAAACAAAACAAAACTCCTTATATCATTGGTCTTCTTTTCTATTACAGAGAAGAAAATTGAAGAGGAAGAAGCTCCACAGAGAAGCTTTTGCTCATGTACCATAATGTGATAACAAGTCCCAAATCTACAATCTGAAGAAGAACAAAAAAAAAAGACTTTTCCAAGGTTCTTGAAGTTTTGCTTCACTGTGGTTTTTGCTAGAAGAACAAAAAAAACATAAATTACCATTTTCACGCTTCGTATTCTATATTCATCAGAAGTTCAAAGAAAGCCTCATCAATGGCGTTATAAAGCTGGTCTATTGAAGTTGTTTCTCTTGCACTGTGATGAAAAACTGTTGTTTGGAGCATCCTTATATAAAAGATAAGAGTTTTGTTTTTGTTTTTTCTTACCCTTTTTGTTTCCAACAATTTATATGGTCTCTGTAACAAATTATATGGTTCTGCTTTGTTCATCTTTATTCTACACCCAATCCTTGTATCAACGCATCTTTATCCGGTCCATGGCTAAGTGAGAACCAGTAATAAACCGGTCTCACCGTTTGAAATACCACATTTTTTTAGTTGTTGGGGTTGCAAACACTTTGATATGTAGATGGTCCATGCATAAGAAATAAGTGGCATTAGTACCTTTCTCTTCACTTTCCAGAGAGCATTTCTGGATTTAGACACAAAACTCCAAAGAAGCAAAAAAGCATGAGATCTCAATAAATGTCCTCTCACCTAACTTCTCACTGTCTCTTCACTATCTTCCACTTAATTCTCTCATTTATAACCTTCACTTTCAGTCAGTGTCTTTCCACTATCTTCTCTGCTTTTGCCTTGTAGTTGTAATTATATTCCTCTCTTCTCATTTATAACCTTCACACCAAAATGCGCCTCTCTTTGTTACCCCCACACTTTCGCTCGATTGTCCTCAAAGTTAATGCTAAGAGACACGTCTGCATAAATCTTTGTATATTAAAAGGAAACTCAAGGACGCACATTGTGCCATTCTTGTGGTCAAGATGAAGAGAACACTGATAATGTTTTCGTTTATTCTTCTGCAACTTCTGTTAGGAAACTCTCTTTCTCCAAAACATTCTTCACCCAAACCAAATGCAGAAGTCACTGTAATGGGTTTTGTCTACTGTGATGTCTGCTCCAACAACAGTTTCACCAGACACAGTTACTTCATGTCAGGTATATAAGAAAACAAAAACCTCACAAAAATAGATCTTTTTTAGAATCTTCAATACTCTGTTTCTAACGATTTCTTGACACACAGGCGTGGAAGTGAGAATAGTCTGCAGATTCAAAGCAGCTTCGTCAAGAACAAACGAGATGATAACATTCTCTGCAAACAGAACCACTAACGAGTTCGGACTCTACAAGGTAGCCATTACTTCTCTAGACTGTGCTGACGTGGACAGTCTCGCGAGTTCTTGTCAAGCGAGTTTGGTTGGAAGATTAAGCTCAACGGATTCGTCTTGCTACGTTCCTGGTTATAGAACCACGACGGATCAAGTCGTGTTTAAGTCCAAACGGTCTAATCTCTGTGTCTATGGGTTCAATGCTTTGAATTTCAGACCGGTCAAGAGGAATCTTGCCTTGTGTGGCAAGAAATAGAGATCTTTCACTGTTACTTACTCTGTTGCTTCTACACAGAGATATTGTCTACTACTAGAAACGAAAAGTTGGTTGATCGTTTATAAGCACTTTATGTTGAAAGATGCAAGATCATGTATTTATTATTTAATCAATAATTGAAGTACGTTTGTGCTAAAAACAAAAACATGAAAACTCAGAGAATTCAATTAAAATATCCTGAAATTTTTGGCGAATGCTACAAACACACAACGCCACAAACACACACAATCCTCCTAAAACGTCTCGAAAAAATTGCACAACTGTTATTAAAAAAAAAAAAAGTACAAAGCTTAAGATTTGGTTTTGAGAGTAGTATCAAGCTTGGCCCATCTTATTTAAACAATTAATTCCTTCTTCCATATAGTCCTCTCTATTGATCCAGAACTCTGGTGCGTCCTGCAAACATAAACCATTTCGAATTGAAAATTTCTCTGAACAATCATTCTCAGACTAACACTTTGCAGAAGAGAGAGCATTGAACTTTTGTTTACCTTCATGATTCCTGCAAGAACAGCGCCTCCGAGGTATACCATGTGTTTCCTTCTAGGTGGATCCTCGATCCGCAATCTGAGTTTCTGATTGACAAAACAGAAAGTGAATGTAAAAAACTCGAGTTAATAAAAGTGATCACGAACTCATCAGGATAATTTTTTACCTTGAGGCCATCTTTGTTTCCTTTTAGAACTGTATCGAGATACCGATCCTGGATTTCTTTCTCAAGACTGAAACAAAGAGAAACACACAAGACAATAAGAGTAAACTATCGAGCTTCTTTTCAGATTATGAAACAGTTATAGAAAAATGCAAACCGGCTAGGTAATCCAGGGTACATGGTGCTTCCTCCGCTTAACACTATGTGTTGGTAGAGCTGTGAACAACAACAAAAAAAGAGCCAAGGGTTTGAGAAAATATATGATTTTAGCTTTTTGGATCATGTGGTTCGCAAGAGGCGCACGTACCATCATGCGGTTATCAATATCCATTTCTTGAATACAGCGGAAAACCATGTCTGCCATTCCATCACCTTCAACATCAATGAGTTCCTGCAAAATAATAAAAGAGGAAACGTTTTGCTCTGTGATCAGCCTCGAGATTCTTGGAGTGTTGAAATATAATCAGAAAGAGAAATTATTAGGCAAAGGGTGTGCATAAGGCTTTTACCGGTGTAAAAAGCGCTTCAGGTGCTTGGAATCTTTCAGTGCCTACTTTGATGACCCTCCCATCTGGAAGCTGATCACAGAACAAAAACATTACAGAATCAGTAGTCCGGGAAAGAAACTTCCGTGACTGTCGGATGAAAAGTCACAAACAAATGGCCAAAAGAAACAAAGGAAAAATGGCAAGAATCTTCAACTTTCTTAATGAAATCAAATTCGCTAGGAATTTGCTATCTGTTTGGTTCTTATCATGAATTGGATTCCTATTAGCTTAACGTAAACTCCTGACAGGTTCATACCAGAACAGAGAACTTACTGTATAATTCTTGACAAGGATGGTTGTCTCAAGACCAAGCTGATACTCTCTCTTATAATCATAACTGCAAACAATGACATAAAAAAAATTAGATTTTTTATTTCATACTCTTGTGATGCATTAGTACTCAGGTACTAGAGGAAAACAGTGAAGAAAGTCTTCCCATACCCTATATAGCAGAGCTTCTCTTTGATTTCCCTAACCGTCTCAAAGTCAGCCGTTTTATTCATCGCATATCTGTTGAAACACACAATGTTTAGCTAATATATAAAAAAAAAAAAAATCTCACATATCATCGAAAAGGTTAATCAAGCTTCAACATAAGATTCGGTTTTCTCACCCTCGTCGAGAGAGGAGATCAACAAGATATGCTGTAATGTGTCTGCCAGCAACATTCATTCTTTTGGTAAGATGAGGGAATGAATATCCATCAACCACCGGAACCTAAGATGTGACGCGAAGAAGGTTAAGTTTCTCTATAAGCAAGCACAAGATTATAGATCTCACTAGCTTACCACATGAGTAACACCATCACCAGAATCAATAACCAAACCAGTTAGCAAACCTGAAATCAAGAATCCAACACAGAAACAATAATATATATAATAAAAAAAAAAAGCGTTTAAAGTCTTTTTTTACAGGGTGACTACATAAACACACAAAAGAAAATCTAAACCTTCAATAATCTCCATAAGCACCTTGAGCATACAGAGTCAAAACCGCCTGGATCTGAATGAAAACTCCCGCGAAGTTGTATTTCTCAAACATTGTCTCAATCTGTTTTCACAACATGAATCAGTTACTACTAGTCCAGCAACCATCAATGCAATTGAGCAAACCAAGACTTGACAACATCCCTACCATTTTCTCGCGATTCTTCGAGGGATTAAGAGGTGGATCCGTGAGCAATATCTTACAATCTGATGGACTGATCTGTTAAACAACCAAAACCAAAAAAGTTCAAGAGCAAGTCAAGAAAGTGAGAAAAATAAAAACTAAAAAAACTTCCAGGAGAAAGGAACATACTTTGAGTTCGTTGTAGAAAGCGTGATCCCAAACATGTTCCATATCCTCCCAATTCTGCACAATGCCGTTGTGTACAGGATAATTTATATCCAATTGATGCCGCAGCTCAGCGCAAGTCTCTCCCACAACTATATCCTAATTTTTTTTTTTTTTAAAGACATATGGAATTGAATGATGCATATCAGTCAAGAGGATAGCAAATGTTCCATAAGGAGGAAAGGCCACAGATATTAATACAAACCTTCATTTGCTGCTCTATGAGTGATTCTTCATACCGAAGCAACGGTCTTCCCACGACACAAGGGAAAACAGATGTTGGGAAATTCTCTCCAGCAAATCCACATTTTACATACTGAAATTTGCCGAGAAAAAAAAATCTGACATTTTAGAGACTTAACAACGTAAAGTTGTTCTCAAGCACAATCCAAAACGTACACACATCACTCAGAAACTCCAAGTTATTAGCTTCGATTCGATACACGATCTTACACAAGCCCAAATATCAAAAGTTCAAAATTTTGCAATTTTCATACAAACCCAGATAAGGAAAAAAGAAGCTAAGATTAATGTATGATCAAATTCAAGTAAAAAAGCTCGCCGATTCTATGGATCGGATACTGAAACAACGAGAAGAGAAAGGAGAAAGGAGAAAGAAGAGTACGCCGGTTCCGTTATCGCAAACGACGACGTTTTTGTTGTCCATCTTCTCCGATTTATATGCTCGCTACAGAAATTTTTAGCTTTCTATCCAATTACATGAATCAGATCTCCTCGACCTCTGAATATAAAACTTCTCTTTGAATCGAAGCGAAGAATCACTGTTCTCTACTTCTTCCGCTTTGCTTTAACCGGTCACACTGATCGCGATCGAGACACAAATCATCTTTCCGACAAAACAGCCCAATACTGTTTCCTCGTTTCTGTGAAAGAATGCGCGACGTTTAATCTACCTCAAAACCTCACGTCGTTCAAATGCGCAATAGAAAAACAGCGTATTTATTTGGGCTTACAGATGAAATTCTTCATGGGCCTTAAACACCATTTTCTCTTTGTGGGTAACCATCTTCATTTTAAGAAAAACATCAAAAAAAAATGAGCGAAAACCTTCTTTAATACCTCATTTTTTAGGGAAAAAATGAGAGAATGAACAATATTCACTCCTTTATTTTTACTGTTCAATTTTATTTATTTAGAAATTAGTGTCTAAACTTTTATATAATAGTACTTTATATTCAAAAGAAAGTTAAACATTTATATTTAACATTTGAATAAACTTTTTACATATTTATTTATTAGTAATATAAATTTATAAATAAAAATAGTTAAATATGAAATTAAATTAAAAATACAATAATATCATAACTAAAAAATTAAGTATATAGAAGAATTTGTCAATTTTTAAAAGTTAATGAATCTTTTACTTAATTAATGATAAAATAATAAAAGAATATTATTAAATATTCCAATGATTCCCCTCATTTTTTCTCTCAAAATGAAATATTCCAAATATTTTTTTTTGTTAATGAAGAGAATCATCTAACATATATTAAACAGAAAACATTAGTAGTTTATGTGTCATTATCTCCGAATTTTGAATTTTTTAAATTTCAATAATAGTTAAAAACTTAAATAATTTATTTTTGCAACTAAACACAATCTTTCTTGCAACCAAACAAAAATTTCTCTAATTATTTATTTTTAATTGTATTTAATATTTTAAAAATCTGTAATTAATGTCTAGGTTTTTTTATATAATTTAAACAATTCGATTTAAATAAATATGACAGATTAAATATTTTTTTAAGTATCTAATATATATTAAACAGAAAGCATTAGCTTAGGTGTTATTATCTCCTTTTTCTCATATTGTTTTATTGATTTATTTTTGTGTGATATCTTTATTACCAAACACTTTATTTTAAATCACTTAAATTAAATCGAATTTAAATCGAACCAATCACAAATAATTCGATAATTTCATTATTTTAGTAAATTAAATTAGTTACTTGTTTTATTAATGGATATAAAAATTATTTTCATGTTTTAGATCTATAGGTATTTATTGTTTTGCAACAGCTTTGATTCACATATTATACAAACGTAAAAAGAGTATTATTTTTTGAAACCTCGTTTTGTATAAGTTTAAATTAAGAACGAAAATAACTAATTTTTTTCTCAAATCTCGACTGAATATTTTTAGATAGCCAAATATTTTTCAAAATTTAATAAATTATAGAATCTCTCTTAAATATTTTTACAAATATTACCCTGCACAAACATGCGGGTAATAACCTAGTTGGAGTAAAACACTCCTTCATTTTACTGTTTCTTCATTTTGAAAGAAAAAATGAGGAAAACCCTTGAGATGCTCTTAAAAGAGCATGAGCTATTTTCTGTTTATCGCTTTGCATGGACCAAATAAATTATGGATTTTCAATGTACATTTGGGTAGTTACATATTTCATTTACCTAATTGGCTAATTAAGTAACGTAAAAATGAGAAAAGAGATTTTAACTTTTTCGACTTTTTGAGCAATTTAGGGTACTATTATTTTGGAATTTCTTCAAAAGCACTGCAAATTTCTGAAACAAACTAAAAGTTTCTGAGCAAAAAGATTCAATCTAAAATTAAGCTGAATAAACGTTACGTTATCTGGATCCTAACGCCTTTTTATACGGTTAACTTCACATCGACCACAAATTCGATCAAACAGAGATGTCAAAGATACTCAGAGCAACAACATGAACGCTGGTAAGAGTTAAAAGAACCAAGCTTTAAGAGATTCACAGCTCACTCCACTGAAGCTCAAAGCCACTGAATCAGAAAAAAGCTCAAAGCCACTGAATCAGAAAAAAGCTCAAAGCCACTGAATCAGAACATGCAGCGAAGTGTTTTACACTCGACTTAAACTAAAGTCTTGGGGAATGCTATAAAAGAACACAATGTGCAAAAGAAGCTAATAATAGTTGATTGCTGTAATTTTCATTTTATAAATGTGACGGAAGACAAGTACATATATCGAAAAAGCTGGTTTCATGATATTCAAAAGAAGCAAATACACACAGAATAAGGAAAAAACAGTCTATTTGGATCAAACTTATACTCCAAAGCTTCAAAATAAAGGAACAAAAATTCTCTGGGTGTGTCTATCCACAAACTCCACCTGCAAGTTTCAAACAACTGCCAAAAAGAAAATGTCACAAACACTCAAAAACAGCTCTTCGAGTCTCTCTTGTATCATTTATCCTCTGAAAGTATCAAATTGAAACCAGACCACCATTTTTTGCAGAGGTTTTTTTAATAAGCATAGATTATCACTCTCACGCAGTATTAACCTTTTTCTCTCTTTTTTTCCATGCTAGTTGTACAATTACAACAATATTTATCACAGAACAAAAGCCAAAAGCTTTTCAAATCAATGATTTAAAAGCCCAAATTAACGCCCTGACCCTTGAGAATCATCTTTCTCACCACTCTCTTGCTGATGATCTTCATGTGATGGGTTATGATGAAGAGTATGGTGAAGAACTCTACCCTGGGAGTGAGCTTGAGGCTGAGCTTGAGCCTGAGCCTGAGCCTGAGCTTGAGCTTGAGCCTGAGCTTGTGCTTGCTGATAAATCTGTGTAATATACTGGGGATTCAAACCCCCAACATTCCCTTCCTGAGACAGCCCTAACTCAAGTCCAGGTATCTGGTTGTTATTACCACCAGCACCCAAAATGGACGCAAAGCTCATGGCTCCAATGTTGGAAACACCAGGAAAATCAAACCCAGGAAACCCAATTCTGTAACCAGCTCCATCACTCATCAGCCCTGTGGTTTGCAAACCAGCTCCAAACCCAGCTACATTTGGCCATAACCCACCAGTTGGTAAAATTGACCTAGAAGCTCCTTCTCCGCCGCCAATTCCCCAATTTGGTCTGCCACTACTAGACCCACCACCGTCGAGGTCATGACTGATCATCAAACCAGCAGTGAGAGACCCGCCTTGATGATGATGATGGTTAGAGACAGCAGCTGAAGCCAAAGCAGAGGCCGGTATGGTTCCTGAACCGGTGGTTGCGATAATAGACGGCTCTGCTTGTTGAAGCAGCCACTGGATTGTCTCGCCGTCCGATTTGTGACCCAATTCTCTGGTCAATTGGAAAATCCTAGCTGCACAGAGCGCAGGCATCCTGATTCTCCGACCCCTACCTTCGACTTTAGTGTGTCTGTCTTTGTTAGAGCTTCTCTTCGGCCCAAGCTGATGATTCTGACTCTGCTGCTGCTTCTTACCGCTGTTCCCTTCTTTGTCGGAAGCGACCACGATCTGGAAATCCTTAACCTCAGCTGGTTTGAGTTGTTGAAGATGATGATTATTGTCGTCCTTGTTTTCGTCGGAAGCATCTCCCATGCCCTGATTTCGCGGTGGCTGTGGTGGGTTCAAGAAATTTGGTACTTGGTGTCGATTTGGGTTCTTGGGATCCATCAAAACAAGAGAAGCTGTGTGGGGACTTTCAGGGTCCAGACTTATATAAATCAACCCAAAATTTTATCTCTCTCTTTCTCTCTCGGATACAAATTAAGGGTTTGTGAATTGTGAAGAAAAAGGCATCGACTTTGTGAAATTTACAGTGGTTTTTTTTTGTTGTTTTCCGAATTAAAAATTTTGCTTTTTGGAAATCCAATAAGACCCCGTAAGATCCCGATGCAGAATGGAGAAGAGAATAAAGAAAAAAAAAGTTACTATCATCCTTTCGATCTCCAAAATGGGGTCAAAAAAGAAATGAGAAAACATTACAAAGTTAGAGACTTTAGTTTTGTCTTTTTCTTCTTTCTTTTACCTTTTTTTTTTTTGATTTGTTACGAAAACATAATTAACTGAGAGGTACCGAGTCTCTCACATAGGTTTTCTCACCGAACAATGAATCGTTAAGACAACAAACAGCAAAGTAACCAAACTAGTGAACTCCTAAAGAAAAAGCAGTGACCGTTTCACATCTAGTCATTTGTTCAAAGGTATGCCACTTCATGTCCCACTAGATACAATCAATGATTTTGTACACTAATTTTGTTTTATTTTAAAACTACCTACTACAGGTTTAATTTTTTAGTGAAAAGGTAAAATTTGATAAAAATATTGTTGTAACTGACCTGACATTTTAATAAAATTTTCTCTAAAGTCTATTTTTAATTAAAAATGTCAGGTCAGTTACAACAATATTTTTATTAAATTTTACCTTTTCACTAAAAACAAAACTTGCAATATACAGTTTTCAAAAAAAAAAAAAAGTTGATAAAGTCATTGATTTTAAACAAGTAAAGTAACCAAACAAGTAAATTACTAAAGAAATAACAGTGACCGTTTCACATTTAATCATTTTATTTAAAGGTACTAAGAATCAAAGATATACCACTCACTAGATAGATACAATCAATGACTTTGTCCACTAATTTTTTTTTAAAACGTCCTATTGTAGATTTTGTTTTTAGTGAAAATATCATTAGATGGTGAGTTATTGGTAAAAGGTAAATAACTTGAGATCAATGGTAAGTTTTTTTTACCACTTACCAATTGCGTAGTAACGTAGTCAAAATTACCATTATGTAGTCAAAGTCAACGTCTTCTCAAATAAGGAAGTACTAGTCTATCGAGTGGATCACTAGTGATGTCGACAGTTGGAAGGTCCATGGAGGGTTTGGTTCGCTTGTAGGGCAAGATCTAAAGAGATTGAATGACTTTGAGACTTCCATCATTTATGGACCGACAACATCATACCATCTCTTTTTTTACTTGCACTATATCATCATTCATGTCATAACTACTCATAAGTCTTAGAGTTCAATTAATCTTATTTGAGTTAATTAGTCTATATAATTAAAGGCATGAATCTAATACTAATGGCACTCATAATCACGTTTGATACTCTAATACCTGTCAAATTATCTAATGCTCCAATACCTGTCACATGATCTCTTGCCTAGTCCTTTAGGAGTAATATTCAGTTGATCTAATACTAATGTACCTGTCAAATTATCCAATTACTACTATAAGTAATAGTATTCAGTTTTGGAAATGTGTTTGTCTGAAGACTCGCGATTCACGTGACTCCAAATTTTCAAAACAACGATTTGTAGAAGTAAATAAATTAGATGAATATGTCAATATTTCGTAAATTAGTATATACCTTTGTAAATACTTCTTATAACCCTATTTTTACACATAAGTTGACAACTAGTAGTCGGCATAGTAATTCTATGTTGGTGGACAAGTGGAGTAAAGTAAATATGGAATTTGAGTTGGTGCAAGTGAAAATTTGGATTGAATTATGCTCCCAAAGCAGGAAACACACAAGGGCCCATTCAAGCCATCACATAACCCTTTTTCACCTCATCAATTTTCAGTTGCTTATCTTTTTTCCGTAGACAATTTCTTAGTTTTTTTTGAACAAAAGTTTACAATTTCTGAGTTTTTACTTAGGTAATATTCTGCATTTGACATGAAAATGCATTCAACAAATTATATTAAACAACCAGTGAAAACGAGGGTAGCAACTAAAAAGATACTAGTTTTTAATCAATAATAGAAAGAAAGAAAAAAAGAGCTAAGATATTGTTGACTTCTACTCTCATAGCACTAAAAAAACTGATTTTCTACAGAAATATTGTAATAAAATGGTACAAAAGTAATAGTGAATAAATGGAAATTCAGAACGGGATTTTCCAGAAATAGAAATAGGATGAAAATATAAAAATCAAAATAATTATTCAATATATGTTTCATTTGAAATTTGAAACAGATGAGACGGAACAAGACAAAAATTCTCACAAATATTGAAAACATAATAATCATAAAATTTAAAACATATTCGTCAATTATTTATTTTTAATAACACATTATATATCATGAACCAAATGGAAACAAACTTCCAAAAAAATCAAAATTCATGAAAAACTAACATAATTCATTATGATATATATAATTATATATTAAAATTATATGCACTTAAAATATATATTTTATTTGGAAAAGTCCATTCACGTCTTATTCCGTTTTTTTCCAAATAAAAATCAAGAATTTGGATATTCCCATATAGAACGAGAATTTGGAATTCAAAATAAAACGAGGTAGAACGGGATGAGATGAGAATTATGCCCACTTATAATTAAAAAAATGATTATATTCTACTATATTTCTACAAAATTATTTCTATCACTCGTTAAAAATTATTAATGATAGAAAAATTCTAAGAATTTATGTTCTGAATCAATTATAAATTTTTTTTCCAAAAACGAAAAAAAACCATGAAATCCACAAAGCAAAAAAAAAAGGTAAAGAAATTTTGAATATACCGTGTAATTGGAAACGTGTGGTGGAGAGGACTGATGGGAAAAACCAGCGGCGAAGAAGACATGTTTTCCGACAAAGGTGGATTCTTGTTAAGCAACATCCAGTTTCGTTTGATCGAAAAAGATAAAAGAGTAGATACGACGATGATAAGAGTAAGAAGATAAAGAGAAATAAATATAATTTAGCGGGTGAAAAAATGATATAACGAAATAACTAAGGAGAGATATTAACTTCCTTGTTTCTCCGTCTAGATTTAGATTTAAAGATATTTGAGAAACGAAAAGAAAATAGATGCCACGATGAAGAGAATAAGAAGATAAAGAGGAAAAAAATCTAATTTTATAGATGAAAAAAAATATGACGAAGTAATTAAAGAGATATAGTAACTTTTTAGTTTTGTCCGCTTAAATTCAGATATAAAAATATTTGAGGAAAACAAAGAAAATAGATGCGTCGATGAAGAGAGTTGGAAAATAAAGAAGAAGAACTATAATTTTGTAGGTGAAAATTATGATAGGAGACAAAATTTCTTAATTTTTTTCCTTTAGATTTAAATCTAAAAATATTTGGAGAAAGATAACAAAAATATATAAAGATAAAAAAAATATGATTGTACATATGAAAAAGAGCATATACCAAAATAATTGAAGAGAGGAGTTAACTTCTTAGTTTTGTCCGATGAAATTTAAATATTAAGATATTTGTTTCACAAAAAATGGTAGATAGAATCTGATTAGTAAGAAAGTAGAAACTCTATAAATTAATAATATTGAGACTTTGATATTTTATTAATTTATAGAGTTATTAATTTATCGGTTTTAAATAAAATAAACTGCATATTAATTATCAAATAAAAATAATATTTTAAAATAATTTATAATATTTTACAAAATTTTCATTATAAAATTAGATATAAATAATAAAAAAATTAATTTAAATATGGAAACGACAATATATTCATATTTTAATAAATTATCATAATTATATATTTACATAAAATTATTTTATATAATCTTTATTAATTTATGATATTAATGAAACTATATTTTGCATAGGTTTTCAAAAATATTTATAATAATTTATTGATTTGTAATAAATTTTTATCCGATTTAATTCGGAACCTAGTAAAATTATTGATTTATAGAATTTATTAATTTATTGAATATTAATTTATAGAGTTTCTACTGTAGTAAGTAATTTTATTTTAATATTTATTTTTCGTATATTTACAATAATTAGAAAATGGTTGAAATATTTTGACGAATTTCCTATTTTATGAATGGTAAAAAAGTTTAACTGATTTTTTTACGGAAAATGAATATAATAAAAAATTAGTTTTTTTTTTGGTGAGTTATAAAAAAGTTACAGATATATGATTGATTTTTAACATTTTAATCCATAAAAAAATTTCATATTTAATGATTTTTTTATGAAGTAGCGAAAATTAAGTCACGAACTCGTTTCGATCTCAGATTACAGTAGAGATATGTTTTTGTCTTTGGCATCTTGCACCAATCACATTATTCTTTTACACACAAATCCACCCTTGAACCATACGCAGTATCTCACTTTTCCTAAAACCATCGATATAGTCTAGGAACTATTCCATCCCTCATTTATAATCTCGCTCTTGATTGTAGCAAGATCATATGCATATCCTTCGATTTTCAACTTCCAAGTCGTTTTCTTCCCTTCTCGGGTTTTCCATGTGAACAGATAAAACAAACATATAATTGTACTTTTGCTTTATCATTTAAATTTCAATTCAAAATTGGTGGAATTTGATTCGTCAGTCTCAATCAAGATAATCTGCATCCAATTTATTCAACCAAAGTCCCTATCCTTTTATTTCGACCCTTCCCCATTATTTTCAATTAACTTGTTTTTTCCTCAATGATTTTAATATCCGATATTATTCAATTTCAAGAGTTTGTGCCACGATTATCTCCACCAATCGTGCCCCAGTTAGGGTAAATCGAGAGATTTGGGGTGTCATCATTACAAATTTACAGCTTCTTTACATATTAAAGATTAATTTAATTATGCCTACTTTTCAATGTATTAGCTTGTTGAGGAAACAA